CGTAGGATTTGCACCAAAGCTAGCTGGATTTAAACGACATGCAGACTTAGCGCCTTTAGCGTCAACGCATAACTTTTGAACTCGTCCTCCGTACGATGCGCGGTTTAATTATACACGCCATTTGTCAGTGTGTCATGTGTCCGGGAAAAGACACGAGAGGCACGAATATGGCGAAAAGTGTCGGCAAGTCGCGCGCGGGCAATCAAACGGACCGTGCAGTTTTGGGAGTGCTTTCCGGCGCGACTGTTCCGCGGCAATAATCACCCTAGAGCCATTCGAACTCCTCGTTCAACCTGTTGGTGCGTGAAGCTTGCGCTGCGCAAGACTCAAGTTGCATCTTTGTTGATGTCGACGTGCCGCGTGCATATATAGCCGTCAACACGTCAAGGTTATTTGGATAATGTGCCTGAATATCCACTGGTCTTGATGGAGTCGTGGGTACCGACCGCGAGACCCCGTTCGGATCTCGGATCAAGCATTGATGGAGTTTAGGATCCGCTCCTTCTAGACGTTCTTCAGTCTCCATCGCGCTCGAGATGGTGGTGTGGGCGGCTCTTGAGTTCCATAAAAGCCTTTGGTCGATGTTGAGGCTTTGAAACATGGACAAAGCGACAGTCTCTCGTGCAAGACTCGTCACTGCCCTGATGAGTTATCGCGGCGTGTGATACTCATGCGTTCCTCGAACTCCAGGTTGCAATGGTGTCGTTGTCAATTGATCTTGTGAGGGAAAACCTTTGCCGCGCAAAGGGTAAATGGTTGTAGGTATTTAACCCTACTGTCCCCCACGCCAACTCTGACGTACTCTGTACGTGCGTCCTTGGCTGCCAAGTGCCAGCACTGATGCATCCGTCGGTTGCATTCAGATAATGTAGCTTTTGACAGGGTCACTTGCGATTGTATTATAGGTACGTATTGTGCGGCTGGTTCGGCTCTTGTTTTGCTTGCCGATTTCGCTTCATGTTCCTACAAGGTACCTTACCATAGACTTTACAACCACCTTGCTTGAGCAAAAATGAAGTGAGGCAGGCGGTGGTTGACGTTCATAAATCCAGGTACTTTACCTCAGCTTCCGCATTGCGAGCTTCAAGCCGGAACACTTTTGCGCCAGAACACTCTCCAAAGCCAAATGTCAAACATACCCGCGTATCGCGCATGTTGTTTGATCATAATGCAGCTCTTCTTGGCGACGAGACGATCTGGGAAGAAGTTGCCACCACAGTGTGCAGGGTAAGCAAGGAGATTCAGCAAACACAACAGACCTGTAGCCACACAAGAACAAGTAGCGCTTTGCACGAAAATCGACATCGAAGCAACAGAAGCCAGCCAGGGCACTAAAGTGTAGGAGCTGATTGATCCTAATGTTATTGCGAATGAGCACATGGCTGTGCGAGCAATCATTGCACACATTCACTTCCTAAAGTCACATGATCAGGCGTCGTCTAGCCGGGCCCATGTAGTGCCGACGCCGTGCTTTCAGGCTACATGATTGGTTGATTCCAAGCCCGACATGGTAACTTTTCTCGCCAAATGTCACAGGAGAAGCACGCGACGACCTAGACGTCAAAGGCTGCCAGTCGTCACCACATCGCAATGGCGAACCCATCGAGTTTGTGGCATACAGCCGGCCGTGTCGCACAGTCGACAGGCCGCTCGCTAGCTACACCTTCGCTCACATCGCAATCTACCGCCCGTTTCTCTACATCGGCACATCTTTGTAAACGCAAGCGACGTGCGACAAACCGCGACAACAACCCGAACCGCGGCGTGTCTTCAATCTATCGATCCGGACCCCGCGAGCCATTGTCCATGTCTGACATTCCGTTACCGCGCCCGAGAGAATTCACGCCCAAAGTCGAGGTGGACAAGGACCATGGTCTCTGGGGGTTCTTCCCACAGCCGGGGACATGCCTCATGACCCCAGAAGAAACCGAGAAATATGGACGATCATGGACAGCCGAGGAGTTGAGGCGCAAAGGATGGGAAGATTTGCACAAGCTTTGGTGGCAGTGCTGCCGAGAGCGCAACATGCTCTCTACGAGCATCAAAGAACTGAAGAGGTCCAAGCTTGGCTTTGGTCAGTCGGAATTGGAACAACGCGATCTCACGGTTAGACCGCCCTAGCAATTCGTTTTGTTTGAATCCGGGACTAATCTGCGTTGCAGGTCCAAGCGACAATGCGCAATATCAAGGCCGTGCTCACAGAACGTTACTACACCTGGGAGGATGCCCAGGCGGTAGCAGCCACCGACCCCGAAATAGATCTACAAGCCGTCGATGGCTCAGCGTACAACCCGGGGTCGTATGTCGATGAGTTTGAAGCCAATGAGGACGCCTGGGCAGGGAAGAAAGACACTCTCCCCGATGCTCCTGAGTTTGACGACCCGGCAAAGGAAGAGACCAAAGCCGAGAAAAAGCTGCAGTCATGATGAATCGACGAAGACATTGCGTCGGTCGAGGAGCTCAAAAATAAGGACCGACGCCAAGCTTCTGTATAATTGTTTGTATTAATTACATACCGCGACGAGTTCCGGGAACCACGTCATGTAGCACATAAGCGAAGCATGCTTGCCCGAGATTCACTGCAGCACCATCTCAAGGTACACGACATGCATACTTTTGTGACCGGCCATTGATGGATGCAATTCATGAATTGGTCTGTAGAGTCCAAGTACGTACGCACCTCCAAGGTTTGAATTCTACATGTATAAGGCTCGCATCCTGTCTAGAGCTAGATGTGAGGCCAAGAATCACACATGGCAGTCCTAGACAAACAGCACTAAGGTCTGCGAGATGATCATCGACTAGAAATCAATATGGACATGTTGCTTGAGCTTCACCAGTATGGCTAATGAATGCCTAAGGTTCCAGGTAGCCCGAGACCCAGTCCTTGCCACTGCAGGTACCTGGCATTTGCTCACCGACCATTTTAGCTCCTGTCACCATGACAATCCCAGTGGAGGCCAGGCCTTGTTGAACCCCGCCTTGGAGCAGCTCCCGCTTTCAACCCACCGACTGACCTCCTCGACCTGTACCTTACCTTAGCTGTTGCACTTTGCTACTGTACATCAGCCGAAGATAATTTCAAACGCCCATCATGGATGAGATCGCACCCGAATACGATGTTGTGGTGCTAGGCACTGGTGAGCCTCTCGACCTACCTTCTTCTGGCTGCTTGCCATCTCCACGCGGGGCAGCGGCCAAAGCCGCCATTCTGGAGAGGAATTCCGTACTGACGTCCTTCTTCCAGGCCTGACCGAGTGTATCCTGTCTGGGTAAGACAATGCACGATACTTGAAGACTGTCATTCAAAGCACTAACGATGATCTTGTAAAGTGTGCTCAGTGTCAAGGGCAAGAAGGTCCTCCACATCGACCGCAACGCGCACTACGGCGGGTATGAAAGCTCCAGGACCCCTACTACGAAATCGCCAGCTAACCAGACCGCAGTGAGGCCGCTTCTGTCAACCTCGAGACGGTATGATATCCAAATGCTGCTGCCAGCCGACCGAACATTGCCTGACCACAAGAATAGCTCTTCAAGAAGTACGGCAACTACTCGGAGGGCGAGGAGCCATGGAAGAAATACGGCCGCCTTAATGACTGGAACATCGACCTGGTCCCCAAGTTCCTCATGTCTTCTGGCGAGCTCACCAACATCTTGGTCTCCACCGACGTCACCCGTTACCTCGAGTTCAAGCAGGTTGCCGGTAGCTACGTCCAGCAAGGATCCGGCCCCAAGGCCACTGTGGCCAAGGTGCCTTCGGATGCTGGCGAGGCGCTGAAATCGCCCCTGATGGGAATCTTCGAAAAGCGCCGCATGAAGTCGTTCATTGAATGGGTTGGCACCTTTGACCCCAAGGATTCGTCGACACACAAGGGTAGGACAGTAGAGCGGACATCAAAGAAGAGCTATGGCTAATGTGGGTTAGGTCTCGATATCAACAACTGCACCATGAAGGATGTATTCGACAAGTTTGGCCTGGAGAACAGCACCAAGGACTTTATTGGCCATGCCATGGCTTTGTACCAAACCGACGAGTTCATCACCGCCAAGGGCAAGGCACCCGAGGCCATTGAGCGCATCCGCCTGTATGGAAACTCCGTTGCCCGCTACGGCAAGTCTCCTTACATCTATCCTCTCTACGGCCTCGGAGAGCTGCCTCAGGGGTTTGCCCGTCTCTCAGCCATCTACGGTGGTACCTACATGCTTAACACCGATGTCGACGAGATCAAGTACGACGGCGACAAGGCCGTGGGCATCAAGGCTACCATGACAGGCATGGACGAGATGAAGTTCGAGACCAAGGCTGGCATGATCATCGCCGATCCTTCCTACTTCCCTGGTCAAGCCAAGGTCGTTGGCCACGTCCTGCGCGCCATCTGCATTCTGAAGCACCCGCTGGCCGGCACCAACGACAGTGACTCGGCTCAGCTGATAATTCCCCAGTCGCAGGTTGGCCGCAAGAACGGTACGTGATGGGTCCCTCTAACTACCAAGATCATATTAACATTACAGATATCTACATCGCCTGCGTCTCGGCCGCGCACAACGTTTGCCCCAAGGACTACTGGATCGCCATCGTTTCGACCATTGCCGAGACCACGTCGAACCACCACCTCGAGCTGCAGCCTGGTCTGGAGCGTCTCGGAAAGATCGAGGAACAATTCATGGTATGTGACAGAGCCCCGGCATGCCGGACGCTTTCTGACAATTTGTACAGGGTGCCCCCATCCCCATCTACGAGCCTACTGAGTCTGGCTCGAAATCCAACATCTTCCTCTCCAAGAGCTACGACGCGACGAGCCACTTCGAGACAACCACAGACGACGTCAAGGACATCTACCGCCGCGCCACTGGAGAGGAGCTCAAGGTTGAGGGTCTTCGCGAGGGCATCAATGTTGAACAATAGAGGAAAGGCGGTGAAAGTTTAATGCGTAGAATGAAATGATATCAAAACCGAACTGGCCCGAGTGGAATTCTGAGCAGTGAACGCTTGTAGGTTCATCCATAGCAATGATGGAACGAATGCAATTGTATAGATCATAATCATCAAGAGCGTGTCGCTCTGTATCATCTAATCAGGATCAATCCAGGCAAGCCCTTGCTTGACACGGATACTTTTGGAAAACCCCACGCCTGTAACGCCAGCACGCCGTAACCACACCGCCAGGATGCCACGAGAAATGGATAGCGGCAGTGGTAGCCTAACGACGATTCGTCTTGCCCATGCCACGCTTGCCGACAACCTGCAGTCAAGTTAGTCAATGATTCCTGTACAGCCTTGCGAGTTCGGGTTGGTCTTACCAAGTGCTTTGTGATCGAGGCGGTGGTGTGCCTATCGGCCTCACCCTGCCTGGCGCTCCTGTTCATCTTCCTCTGGTTCAGCTTGGCAATGCGCTCCGCATTGGTCCTTGACTCCTCGTTGGCGGTACCAGCTTCCCTGCGGTTCTTGATGGGAGCTCTGCTGGCGGGCCTGCTCATGGAGCGGACGCGCGCACGGGCGCTATCATCGAGGTCCATGGCATCGCTCGCCTCAGTGCCCAGGCGGCTGCGGGACATGGAGCGACCACGGGGTCTGGACTCGGCACGGGTGCGGTCCATGATCTCGGCGGTGTCGATACCCCGGCGATCGAGAGCATCGTCGAGCTCCGAAAGCTTCTTCTTCTGCAGGCTTCGGGGGATAATGGCCTGGTTCTTGAGGCGCTTCTTCATGCGAGCCTCGTTGCGGGTGAGGGCAATCTGCTCCTCAATCTGCTCCGCCTTGGCCAGAATCTCAGCGGCTTCATCGTCATCAATGTCCTCGTCGGATTCGTAGAAGCCCTCAGCCTCAAGTCGCTCCTCCTCCTCCTCCAGGGCAGCCAACTTGGCCTCAATATCGGGATCAATGAAGTCGTAGACGTTCTTGCCATTGTGCAGTTCAGGGATAGCGTCATACTTCCACTCGGGGTTGGCGAGCTGCCAGTCGGCACGCATGTCAACGCTGAAAACACCGGCGCCACCGTTCTCCACCTCTTCGTCGCGGGCGAGCCTGCGGCGCTCGGGATCGCTCTTGTCGTACTTCTTCCTGTCTTTGAGACCTTCGGGAATAAAGGGCTCTAGAGTCTGACCACCCATGGGCTGGGCGACGTGGATACGAGACATGACATCCGCAAGACGACCGCCAATCTCGCCGCTGGCGTTGGTACCGGCCTTGAGCTTTTGGTTGACACGATCGGCAATCAAGCGCTCGCAAGCCGCGTTCTTCACCTCCTGGACACCCTCCTGCGTGTTGCAAGAGAGCTGCAGCAGTTCAACTTCATTGGACTTGAGGAGTCCCTGAATTTCCTCCTGGGTCTCAATGTCAAGGTCCTCAGGGCGGACCACGTCGATCTTGTTGATGACAAGGAAGACGAGCTTGTTCGCAAACAAGGGCTTGATGCTGCGGAAGAGCTGGATCTGGTCCTTTACGCTGTAGCCGCACTGCTCGGACAAGTCCATAAAGTACATGATGGCGGACCTCAGATGGGCAATGGCCGTGATACTCTGCATCTCGATGGTGTTCATCTCCTCCAGGGGGTGATCGAGGATACCAGGGGTATCGATGGCCTGGAATCGCAGGTATTTGTAGTCGAAATGACCCACAAACAGACTCTTGGTGGTGAAGGCGTATGGCTGAACATCAACATCGGCGCGAGTGACGCTGCGGAGGAAACTCGACTTTCCGACATTGGGGTAGCCGCAAATCAGGAGTGTGCGGGTGTTAGGGTCAATCGACGGTAGACGACCCAAATGCTGGCGAACCTGGTCGAGGTACATGAGGGAGTCTTTGAGTCGCTTGATGATAGTGGCCATACGACCGAGGGCAGCCCTCTTGAGTTGCTTGCACTGGAACAAGGATTGCGCATACTTGATGAGGCGCACGTAGTCGCGGGAGATGGTCTCGATCAGGTTCTTGGCTGTCGACAGCTGACCGAGAGCGATCTTGAAATGGTCGGCATCGTATAGGGTATTGAGGAGATCCTTGTGGAACGGGTGGATGTCCTGGAGGCGAGGGAAACTCTCGAGGATGGCGCCAAACTTCTCGGAAAAGGTCTCTTGGGTGAACTTGACCTTTCGGGTGTAGAAGGCTGCGCGATGTCAGTTGGAGGCCTGGGTGGTGTGCATTTGCTGGTGGTGTCTTACCTCGGATTCTGCTAATTTTGAAGCCAGCGCGAATCTGCGTGGGCAGCTTGCGCTGTGTCCTGCTGAGGACAATGTCGAGGAACTCCTGCTGGGTAGGCACCGGAGGGATGTCCTTCCATGTGGTCTTCATGATGGGCGAGTTTTCTGGTGAACCGTCGATTGAATGCTCGCAGAAAAGAAGGACGAACGACAACCCAGCAAAAAGAGTTGAGAGTTGGGGAGCAGGATCAATCACTATCTGCGGGCGGCGGCGAACTGGAAGGCGGTCAATTTTTTTCCCAATGCAAAAGGTGGGCATTTGCTGGAACGGCTTATCGATAAACTTTTTTCTATGGACCCCAAGGGACCTTCAGGCTGGGCCGCTGCAGTCACCCCGCCAGGCCCACCATCCACTGATCGGCCGTCGTGATTGATGCCACTCTAAGGTAAGAATTTATCACGGAAAGAATCGCGTTGCGTGATATATCCAAGCTGCAAGAACATTTCCTACCAGATAAGAGCCAGATTCACCTACCGAACAAAGCTGCAACAACCATGGCCTCTCAACTCCCCGAGTACAAGCAGAAGTTCCTTGAAGTGTGCACCGCGGGGGGCATTCTCAAGTTTGGCAACTTTGAGCTCAAATCGAAGCGAATCTCGCCATACTTCTTCAATGCAGGCCTATTCCACACAGCGCGCCTAGCAGGTGCCATCTCCGACGCCTTTGCACACGCCATCATCAATGCGCAGAAGGAGGACGGTCTTGAGTTTGATATTGTCTTCGGCCCCGCGTACAAGGGTATCCCGCTCGCGTCCTCCATCACAGTCAAGCTCGGCGAGATTGAGCCTGCCAACCTGGACACCATCTCCTACTCATTTGACCGCAAGGAGGCCAAAGACCACGGCGAAGGCGGCAACATTGTCGGTGCTTCACTCAAGGGCAAGAGGATCCTGATCGTGGACGATGTCATCACGGCCGGCACCGCCAAGAGGGAGGCTATTGAGAAGATTGAAAAGGAAGGCGGCAAGGTTGTCGCCATTGTCGTCGCCCTGGACCGTCAGGAGAAGCTCCCTGCCGCCGATGGGGATGACTCGAAGCCTGGACCTAGCGCAGCAGGCGAGCTTCGCAAGGAATACGGCATCCCAATCTTTTCCATCATCACGCTGGATGATGTGATCAAGGGCATGCCGTCGGTGGCATCGGAGGAGGATCTCAAAAGGACCGAGGAGTACCGGGCCAAGTACAGGGCTTCAGACTGAGCGCTCGTGCGCCCCGTTCAGCCAAAAAATGAATACAAAGAATTACAGTTCTCAGAGTTGGCGTGTTTGTGTGTTGTACTGCTTGATCACATGCCATGCTTCGAGTCGCACCGCAGGTACAGGTACGGTACCTTAGGTACTAGGCACCGCAGAATGAGTCAGTCGATTTCGAGAATTCTCCTCCTTCGATATTTCATCTCTTCAAGAGACTGGACGCATCGTGTCTGGTGTGCATTTGATCTCGCCTCAGTTTTGTTGGACTGGTCATAGCGGGGCATTGCGTCAGCGCTGAAGCTGCCTGAAGGCTGGAGCTTGATGAGTTAGCAACGTGCGGACTTATCGCAAACGTGACCTAATGATAATCATTTCGATCAGACGCGCCCGAGAGTTGACGAGTTAGAGCACTTGGGACAAACAGTCAATCAAAAGGCTCTCAGCGTTGGTTGTTGCTACGTGTTCATTGGTAAGGTAGCGTAGCATAGCCTCCAGCCTGAGACCCCGTGGGCGGATCGCGCTTGTGACGCCCTGGAGCTTGTTTGATCGCACACTCACCATCCTTTCTCTTTTCCACATCTTCCAGCGGGTGCCTCCAGTCTGTTTTTGTTTGCTGTGCCACTTGCTCGACTATTGCAGCCTCGGCTCTTTGCATACCACAATGTAGGATCTGGCGCAGTCCTTGGCAACTCGAGTACTGACGAACTCCAGGCGCATCACACTCAATATATACAACCTCCGGGAGGGCGAAGATGACAACCTCATCACCCTGGAGGTCTTCCCCGAAATGACGGTCGAAACACTCCGCGAATCCATCCACGCCGAAAGCAAGGTCGCGCCGCTCTCGCAGCACATCTACCACAACGGAAAGCTCCTCTCCGACAACTCGAAAACGCTGGAGCAGCTCGAGATTGCGGATGGCGAGATGTTGGCGGTCCACGTACGGGACATGCGAGGCAGCACAGGCGTTCCAGCCCAGCCAGCTGCAGCTCGACAACCCCAGCAGCCACGCCCACCCCAGGGCGGACAGGCCCAGCCTGATCCCGAGATGATTCGATTGCAAGTGCTGGGCAACCCTGCAATGCGCCAGCAAGTGCAAAGCCAGAACCCGGAGCTGGCAGCAGCCTTGGAGGAACCCGCTCGCTTCGCCCAGATCTTGCGTGACAGCTACGGCCGGGAGCAGAGGGAGCGCCTAGAAAGACAGAGGGAGATTGAGAGGCTCAATGACGACCCATTCAACATTGACAACCAGAGGCGGATTGAGGAAATGATTCGACAGGAGCGAGTCATGGAGAACCTCCAGAATGCCATGGAGCATAATCCTGAAGGTACGCCCGTTATTGGTTATTCAGATTTGAGAAACGTGTCACTAACACACTCCTTTCCTCAGTCTTTGGCCGTGTTCATCTGCTCTATGCTAATGTCGAGGTGAACGGACACAAGGTCAAGGCTCTTGTCGACTCGGGAGCCCAGGCCACCATCATGTCACCAGACTGCGCCGAAGCTTGCGGCATCTCCCGTCTCATCGATACGAGGTTCGCAGGTGTGGCCCGCGGTGTTGGCACAGCCAAGATCATTGGTCGCGTGCACGCTGCCCAGATCCGGATCGGCGAGTTGTTTCTGCCTTGTAGCTTCACCGTCATGGAGGGCAAGTCCGTGGAGCTGCTGCTGGGGTTGGATATGCTCAAGCGATACCAAGCCTGTATCGACCTCCAGAAGGGTTGCTTGGTGATTCAAGGCGAGAACATCCCGTTCTTGGGCGAAGCGGAGATCCCTAGGGACATGGAGGAACAGGTAGAGGGCGAGCCGACGGCCCCAGGGCCAGGCGGCACACAGATCGGCCAACGCTCCGGTGCGATCCTCCCAGCGCCTTCGTCACAACCCGAACAGTCATCAGGTCGCCCGGTTGAGCCTCCGGCAGCACCACCACAGCAGGTACCTGCTCCAGCGGCGCCCGCGCCCGCCCCCGTGTCCGCTCCGGCCGCAGCGTCGAGACCATCTGAGCCTGGTGTCACCGAAGCCCACGTACAGACACTCATTTCCATGGGAGCCGACCGAGCTCGCGCTGTTCAGGCGTTGCAAGCCTCCGGGGATAATGTCGACATGGCCGCCGGCATCCTCTTCTTCGGCTAAGCCTCGCACCACAATCTGGACCTATGAGTTCAATAGACGGCAAGGGTATCAGGGTGTTGTCATCTGGCGCAAAGAAGCATAAACATGGCATGTGGGATGGCTCATTGCAGAAAAGGTACAAGGCGCAGTCATATTAGATGCCTGGGGTATATTACCACGCCTTGGGGCACTATAAACATATAGTAGGAACTTGGAGCCCGCCCCTTACATCCAGCTTTCTATCGAATCTTATAGACACAAGGTTTGAGGACTGTAGCCTCATCGCCTTCATTCTCGTCCTCATCCATCTTGCTGAGATCACGCTTTGGCGTGATGCCCTTCTTCAGGGGCCTCTTCTCCTGGGCCTTGACGCCCTTACCCTTGACCGGCGCGGCGCCCTTTGTGAAGTGCATTTTGACAAACATCTTGTTCGAGAGGTCGATAGCCTGGTGCTTCTCCCCTTGGAGAACAAAACCTCTCTTGCGCAGCACCTCGACAAACGCCGACACGTCCGTCTCCCTACGTCGGTCATCTTCACCATCCACCTCGACGGCCAGATCGTTCTCGAAACCGGCACCCTCTTCTTCGCCAGCCTTGGCCTTCTTGGCCATTTTCTTGCGGTTGCCCACGCTGTGCGTCACGGGAGCGTTCTTGTTCCGCACAGGTCCGAAGCGGCTCTTGATTTCGGCGACCCACAACTCGCCCTTCCAGTGCAGGATGCGATATGCCTCCTCGATAAAGTCGACCCAGTTTGTGCCCATCAGCGCGAGGCAGAAGATGGCCACGTTGACCGAGTCGTCTTCGAGGGGCAAGTTGGCAATGTCCGCCTTGGTGACCAGCGGACTCGGGCTCTGGAGATCGTAGCTGTTGATCTGCACCTTGAGCTTCTTCTTCTCTTTCTGCAGCTCTGCGGCCAGTCTTGCATCGCCACAACCTAGGTCTGCAATGGTGCATATCCCCTCTGTTCTTGGCAGGGCCTGACGCCCAACCTCCTGTGGCTTATCCCCCTTTCGTGGCGGCTTGACCTTGGCGCGTCGGCGGATGTCTCCAAGAAAGCTGTCCACGGGGTTCTCGGGCCAGACAGTGACCTGCCGACGGAAACCTTCGTGGTACTCATCGAACATTTCTGGCGATTCGGCGAAGAGAGCGAGAGCCTCCGCCGAGGGTCGCGTGTAGAGTGTCTCGTTCAGATGGCGGAATCGGGCAGAGATCAGTTTCTGGCGCATGGACGCTTGCAATGGGGTGAGCTTTGCAGGAGCCGGAGGGAGAGGAGGAGGTCCTGGGGCCGCGACGACGGTCTTGTCTGCTTCAACCTCGGGGGCCGCCACGTCCTTCTTCTGCTGCTGCTGCTTCTTCTGCTTCTTGTCCTTTTTGGGCTTCTCCTCCATTTTGGTTGTGGTGGCGGGTGAGGGTCCTGGGCTTCCACCTTGCGCCGCCGGTTTGGCACCCTCTGCTACGTCTGGCTTGGGCTTCTTGTCCTTCTTCTGCTTCTTGGACGGTTTCTCCGCGTTTGAGCCCTCGGCTTTCCTGCCCTCAATCACACTCTCAAACAGGTCGGCGACATTGTCCGCGGTCACAGCTTGGCTCCGACCCGGCCTCTTGCGTTTTTTCGACTTTGTGGGTTCTGAAGGACCTTGCGCGGAATTACTTGTGAGATCATTCGACGATGTTTGAGGCTTGAGCTTGTCCGCCGAGACGGACCACCCTGGAACCTTGAACATTTTGTTGTTTGTTGGTGTGGTGAATGAGTACTAGGTGAGGTGAGGTGAGGTGAAGACAGTGACTGAAATTTTGGCATCTAACTTTCTGGTGTGGCCCGTGCGTTCTCGGTGTGGGAGACTAATAACGTTAGAGTTTGGAGACGGGTCCCGGGTAGTCAATTGACGCGTCTAAGACTAGACGCCCACGTACGAAGTGACTGTAAGTTACGTTGCATGGAACGCATGGAACGCCGTGTGTCGATGTCTCCTACCATTCATGTGGACACCCGAGACAGGCTCGATAACGCGGGCATGGCCAGCAGCATCTTGTGAATCCGACGGTCAACTGCCGTACTAGGTCGTACGTTGCTCACAATCAGTGGAGCTATGGAAGGAAGTCTTGCATCCGCGGGTGCGGGCTGCATACAGCGTAAGGCGATGCTTGCAAACTGTATCCGTACGTACTGCATGCAAAGAACAGTGGACGAAGAATCCGTATGGCCTTGGCGCTCATTGATGAAGCGGCAGAGTCGAAGCGTAAGGCGACTAGGGGTAGAATAAGCCTAGAAGGTTGGTGGACCGTGGTGCCACACTCAGTGTAGCCTGGGGCTGTACTCCGTAGCTGAGCTGAGATCAACGAGACCTCCCACCCCACTAATTAGAGATCATACGTACTTGGAATGACCTGCAAGAAAATCTCCTAGTGGCCAGCCACGCAAATGCCGAAAGCCTCATCCGTGAGCTGAATACGAATATTAGTCGAGCCTCCAAATGCCGCTGTCATCATCTTCAACGTAAAGGCAATAGTACTTGGACTTTTGGTGTTTGTGCTGGGTTACGTAATTGAGCCAAGATACCGCAGGGTAGGTGCTCAAAGTGTACCACCAGGCAATAATGAGCGCTGTCTCTCGACTCCGACCCGAAACCGCCCAACTACATACACCATCTGCTGCAGCGCGGTCATCAGTAGCAAAGAGGGACTGGATGCCAAGTTGACAATCAACTGTGACCTCCTCTGCTGCAAGCCGGGAGCCCAAAGTACCTCGCTTTGCTTCCTCTGCCGGTCCTACCTCGAGCTATCAGGCACGCTCATCCATCTTCCGCGCCTGCTCGCGGCCTCACCACTCTATCCACCGACTCATCGCTGACGATGTGAGGAACTCCTTTTCATTACTTGTCCCACGGCTGCCCCTGGAGAACCCAAGTTACATAGGCCAATCAGATTGGACATGCAATCGCTTGAACGAGCAAAGCACCTACCCCACGCCATCCGGGAGAAGGACTGGAAGAAGCGGGAGATTGCACACGAAAGGCACGTGTTGCTGTCGCACTCCGACTGTCTCGACTGTCGACAGGATGCCCATGCTTGACTACGTTGCATGTTCGCTCTCGTTGCCGGTCGAGTAACACAATCATTTTTCACTACCCGTCCCCGACAACCCATCATCGCTCGCGGACGAGTGCTTGGCTTCGAGGTATATTCAGGAGCATTCTACGTCCACCTTTCCCACTCCCACGACGCTCCTCGCGCCATGTCGAACGAACTAAGCTGACTGCGATGATCGTGTCTAGCTAGCTGTCAGTCACGACCTACCTTACTCAAGTGCGCCTTTGATCTCACCCTTTCTACAACCAAACGTAACCTGTGCACAGAGGCACCACCAGTCTCGTATCCCTGGACACCTCGCCCGTGTGATCGGTGGCATTGCTAGAGGAAAGACTCACAGCAGACATTACGGATCCGAGCCCCCAGACTTGGTCGGATTCACGCTCACCGATCTGCTGGCCATCTACCAGCATGATACGGTCCTCCTTGTCGAGGCCTGTTTTCGCGTACGACTGCTAGCTTGTGCTGCCTTCGCGAACCATGGAGCTACCGGAGGGAACCCTCCATAGCACGGCCGATGTTCAGCCTGATGCTAGTACTTCGCTAGGCCTAGGCGGGGGAGGGGGAGAGGAAGGAGGAGAACAGATGAGTGGCAGCGGGAAGGTTCGAAAACGAACCAAGACCGGATGTCTTAGTAAGGCTCGTTCGATTCAGACGGAGGACTGATATCTGATATCTCTCACAGCCTGCCGCAAACGACGAATCAAGTGCGACGAAGGACGACCGATTTGCAACAACTGTTTAAAGTCCAAACGTCACTGCGAAGGGTATAACGCCAAGTACGCATGGAAGACAGACAGCGTCGGCGCACACCCATTGGGAGCTAGTCCCTGGGGTCCCTACGGTGCGTATAACGTCGGCGATCCCATGCAGATGATCGCTCCCCACATGCGCTCTGGCCCCAATGGACGACTTCAGACGATAGCTCCCCGGCCCAACGCCTCCAACTACCAAGCAGCCCAGTCTGATGGCCTTGGCTATGCCACTGCTTTGCCACAGCAGTTCTCCGAGTATGGTCTTCCTCCTTCAGGTCTCGATCCGCGAATGGTGACTGCTATTACTGCCCCGGACGGACAGATACAGGAGCAAGGTTTTCAAGGTCCAGTCCCTGAGTACCCGGCAGATGTAGCTCTTCAACTATCTCTTCCAGTTGAGTCAGCTGAACAGGAACTTTTCAGTTCTTCGCAGACAGCCCCAGACTCCTCGACTGGCTCATCGGGACCGTCTCACACTTTGCCGAATCATGCCGAAACTCGACATCAACCATCCGTCCTACCAGTCAGCGATGAAGATGACTCTGGAAACGAGTCGCCGAACGGAGAGCGATGGCCTCTTCAGGTCGTGCAATCCCATGTACAAGCACCGAACCGCTGTCAGATGATCAACAGAGCAAGATTCTACACTGATTATGCACAAAGTACTGCATTGGGCGAGTACATGAGATCGCCACACGCAACCGAGTTGCGAGACGACGCAAAAAGACAGCTTTTCGAGCATTTCATGCGCATCACTGGACCGACAATGTCTCTATACGAGCGGCATGCTTTCGATCCCCAAGAGCGCCAATGGACATCTCCTGAAACGGGAAACAGCATTTGGGAATGTGAGTCTTCCGACCCTGCTTCGCCTAGCACTGATACTCTGACACTCAGTAGTCACGGTTCCCTTGATGTCCTTTCAGCATCCAGCACTACTTCACGCTATACTAGCCATGGCCAGTCTGCAGATAGCCAAGCTTCAGGCCTGCCCGCCAACAGCTGCACATAGGCACTACCATCTTGCACTCCGCCGCGTGGCCAAGAATGTCACACTGGACCACAAAAGACGCCAACCAGCAATCCTTGCGGCTATACTGCTTCTGGCATATTTTGAGGTCTGGAGCTCCGAGCATACAAAGTGGACCAGTCATCTGTACGGAGCACGCATGATCTTCGCAGAGATGCCTCTACTAGCCATGGCAAGACGATGCCTCCCATTCAAACGCCAGCAACACCTTCAACAGCGGCGGATGATGAACTGGCTGAACACTGACCTGGAGGCTGACTTTGACCTAAACTACGACTTGCTGACCACGATCACGGGCGCTAAAATCACAGCAAGCCACTACAATCTCGACCCCGAAGTTGTCGTCCTCGATAAAGGAGTGCCGCCCACAGCAAGAGACATAGAGACTTTCGAGACCATCGTAGACTTATTCTGGTGGTACTGCAAGATGGACGTCTACCAATGCATGCTAAGCGGAACGAAGCTCTTGTAACCTCGCCCAGTCCCTGGATTACTCGCATGCGGCTAACATGAGCAGCATGGACTACCGCCACTGGACCCAGTGTTCCCCTCGAGCCCCAGCCTCCTCCATGGCCAGCATGTAAGTTTCCCTACTCTAGTCGAGACGGAGGCTTGCGCTAATGCTATTACCATAGATACGGCACATATGATCACCTTCTTCTGCTGCTTGGACGACTAGCAGACTTTGCCTCCCGCGACATGGCTCGGAAAAGGGCGGCTAGTCGTGCCAGAAACTCTCCTCCCACAGACACCCCTTCACCTCCCTTTTCAGGGATGTTGCCCACGCAAGGTCCCTTCAGGGCACCGCGAGGTTTCGATAACCCTCAAGTCGATCCCCGCAAGGATGCGCACGATGTGGACGATGCGCACGCGAGCTACAACACGGCATTGCAAGAGTGGCAGGATATTTGCCATGCTTTCGGTGCTTTCGAGAAGTACTTGGGAAGGGACTTTTGCCCACTGTCGGCGGAGTTTGCGGACAATCGGCCAACACCGTTTGGACCATCGAAGCAGTACCGTACGTTCTCTGTTGCTGGCATCTGGATGAACTACAATATGGGCATGATCCACCTATACCGCGGCCACCCAGACATGCCACCTACTGCGCTTCAATCTGTCGGTTTGGCGGCGAAGCAGACGGGCTACTATGCGCAGGAGATTGGACGCATCGCAGCAGGCCTCTCGGGAGAAAGCTCGACCATGGACAAACTCCACAACGCTTTAGCAGCTGCCTACATTGAGAGCGCATTCTGTCTCTTCTACGCGGCTGTACAGGTAAGCCATCTGACCTTCTTCCGACCCAGGCACAGCGCTCACGGGACCTGCAGTATCAAGATGCACAGCAACGACGATGGGTCGTCAAGAGAATGCACGAAATCACCCGCTTGACAGGCTGGCAGTCGGCACGCCAGATTGCAAATGGCTGCGAGTCTGGCTGGATTAAGGCGGCGGAGCTGGGGCGCGGGCCTCCGTACACAAGATTGACGCCAGAGGACCAGCCGCCAGAGTCAGTATGGGTATCTGCGAGACGTCTTGACCGCAGACTCCAAGAGTTGCGCGATAGCTCCTTGGCGGAGGGAACAGGCGCCGGGAATATTGCTCTGCCCATGACGGAGAGGGCGCACTATGCCGTGGGGTTACTTGGAATAGAGTCTGACTTTAACCATCTTGAGCTGACGGATGACGTGTTCCACGGCAGCCGGTAGTCGCCATGGGCATGGGAATATTGTCGATGCAGAGTAGCATCTTTGGATAGAATGGATAGACTGGCAATTAGTTGAAAGTTTCATCTCGCCGCCAGCGCGGCCTTGTGAGGGGCGTTCTCTCTCATTCAAGGTCATCATCATTAAGGTTACATTGTAAGTAAGTGTGGCCTCCATTGCGACCGCGGACGAGATACGCAAGGCGTCTAGTGCAACGGCACGTTCTGACCGTGATCTTGTCCATTTGATGATTGACCTCAATTGGCGGGTAGCCGCTCCACAACCTCAGCCATCTCCTCGTCTGTGTATATCCTGAAGCCCTTGTCCTTGGTGACGCTTGCCAACTGCACGTTTTTGTGGTCGAGCTTTTCCTCCATGACCTGCTTCAGGGTTTTGAGGACCAGGGTCTCAGCATCCTCGAGAGTAAGGGACTGTTCTCGCGTCAGCATTCGTTTCGGCAGGCCTCTTTGGTAAGGTAGATTCTACGCACCTTGTGGTATTCGTTTTGCAGCTCCGCCTGTGCACCCTCCGATCCAGAGCCAATAGCTTTGGCATCGTAGCGATAGAACGTCCCGCTTGGCTCCGCATGGAACAACTGAGGCCCGTTCTCGTCGTGGCCGGCAATGAGCAGAGCCACACCGAACGGTCTGCTCATAATCGTCTCCTCGCCCTCGGCACCCTCGCCGAACCGCAGGGCCAAGTCGCAGATGGCCTGCGTCGTGCTCTCCACGCCCAAGGGCTCGTTGTAGTTGAACGAGTGGCTCTGGCACTCGACGCGGGCGTGCTCGACCATGGAGCGGGCGTCAGCCTGGAGGCCAGACATGGCGCAGCCAATGTGGCGGTCGATCTCGACGATCTTCTCGACCGAGGATGTTTCGAGCAAGGTGGAGGTGACACGCTTCTCGACGCCCAGGATCACACCCTCAGATGTGGCGACACCGATCGCCGTCGAGCCGAGCTTGATAGCCTCTAGGGAGTATTCGACCTGGAAGAGACGGCCTTCTGGGGAGAAGGTGTTGATACCCCGATCTGGAGGTGTGGTTAGCTCCTGGTGACCTGAAGTGGGATGGATGTTGGCTCGACCGACTGACCATATTCTGACCTGGCCATAAACATCTTGGCGGCTTGGTGCTCTCGTAGAGCTCGTAATGGCTATGTTGCTGGGTAAAGAGAGAATTGTGAAGCTTTGGGGAGAGCGCAAAGCGGATGCCTCGTCAGGTATGGCTTGGAGTTGGAACGTTTGCTGAAGCTTAGGACGACGTCAATCGGCTTGGAGGGCTATTAGGCACGTATGGGGGGTACGTTAGCGGCCTTGAAGTCCGTGAAGCTCTATGATTGGTCCATGGGAGCAGATCTCCAAGGGTACGTACCAGCCGCCCGAGGGGACTGTCGGCGGGCGCTTTTACCAATAGTCCGCAGCGCAAACGCGGTCGCTGAATCCCATCGCGTCTCGCCGTGGCGGGGGGAGGGAGCTCCACTAATACAGTCGGACTACGCATTTACGGGTCGCGTCACTGGCAGGGGTGCTTGGCAGGCACCGTCAAACCCCACGATGAATCTATGCCCAACCGTTGAAGATGGAATAAGCCGTAACAACGCGAATTGTCACACTACAACGCCCGAGCAGTGGCACGAGAAGCTGCAGGGCAAACTGCCTCCCATGTAGTGAGTCACTATGTCCTCTGGCCCAGCGAGAACATCGAGCCACGCGAACTCTCGACACGAAGACGGTGGACGCCCGCGCGTCGCAGCGCACAGCAACAGCTACAGAAGCGACATGAGACCGAATGCGCACAGCACCACCAAACCGTCTTCGCCACAGCCGCCACCAGGTAGTCACTATGCCTCGACATCTCACAAGAGGTCGGCTTCAGGCCGGCCGGTGAGTAGGACACCCCAAGAACGGAGGCACGAGGAGAAAAGGGTCACAGAGAGGACCTTGGAGACGCGAGTACAGAGACTGGTACCGAAGACCCAGAGTCGGGAAGCAGAAGAGCGGCGTAGCGCGCCACAGGAGAAGAGACAATCAGATGCGCCCAAGCAGAAGCTGCCCGACGCTCGTCCAAGGGCGACATCGCAGGCACCATGGAACCCAGAGGTCACCCTGCTGCCACACACAACAGCACCTCTCGCCTCTCGCAAGTCAATACCTCCCTTGGGGTCAACTGTACCGCAAGCGCCACAGCCTCGACCGATCCATGAGCTGAGTCTGGAAGTACAAGAGGCCGCCATCGTCGAAGACCTGTTGTTCGTTTTCATGGGTTTTGAGGGACAATACATCCGTTTCGCAAAGGGCTACAACCCCGAAGAGGAGAGAGACCGGCTGACAGGACCGTCCTTCAAGATTGCCCCGGGACTCGACCCAAGCTTGCACGATCTGACACAGAGCATGCTCAAGATGGCGACGTATTACTCGGCACTCGAGACGTTCGTGGACGTCCAAAGCAGGGAAGAGTTCGGTTCCGTCAGCCATGCCCTGTGTGCATCGATACGGAAGTTGCTGCAGGATTACCTAGTCATGATCGCGCAACTTGAGACGCAGTTTCTCACGAGTGACACATTTACTGTACACGTGCTCAACATCCAAACCACCTCAACACAGCAGATGATGTATCAGCTGTACGCCCTGGCACATGAAGTATTGAAGCGCAATGCGCTACTAGACGAAGAAAGCGACGACTCTGATGACGACGACGCCGATGACTATGATAATATCCTGGAGAACTTGAGAGATGGTGGCGAGCTGGTGCCAGGGAACATGACCGGCAAGAAAATCTGCAAAGGCGGTGCCGCGATTGGTCTCATTACCAAACGGTTGGAAACAATGTCGGGAGACCCAGCAGCGCGGGCGCTGCTCACGACCCTGCTCTGTGATGCCAGCAGACCCTACATGGCGATGCTCAACGAGTGGCTGCATCATGGCGGCATCAGCGATCCCCATTCCGAGTTTCTCATCAAGGAGCAGAAGAGCATCAAAAGAGAGCGGCTGGAGCAAGACTACACGGACGAGTATTGGGAGAGAAGGTACACGATGCGAGACAGCGATGTCCCGCCACAGCTCGAAAGCGTCAAGGAGAGGGTGCTCCTGGCCGGCAAGTACCTGAATGTGGTGCGTGAATGCGGCGGCGTCGACGTCAGCAAGGTGGTTCAAGACGTACCTACATCCTTTGACGACCCCAGGTTTCTCGAGAATGTCAACAATGCGTATGCGCACGCCAACGAATCATTATTGCGAATGCTCCTGACGACGCACTCACTACCTGCTCGTCTACAGTCCATGAAGCATTACTTCTTCTTGGACCCTTCTGACTACTTCAACCACTTTCTGGAGCTGAGTGCATCGGAATTGCGGAAACCGGTGCAAAAGGTGAACACGACCAAACTGCAGTCGCTTCTTGACCTAGTCCTCCGGCAACCCGGCACAATCGTGTCTCTCGACCCTTTCAAGGAGGATGTCAAGGTCGAAATGAACGAGATCACCCTCACAAAATCCCTGCAAAGAGTCGTTAACATCACCGGCATCGAGCAAGGCGAGGCCCTGCAACCCCTCGCCAACCAACCGATGGAGAACGACAAGAACGCTACCGGATTCACGTCGCTACAGCTTGACTATGCGGTCCCCTTCCCCGTGTCACTCGTGATCAGTCGGAAGACGGTCTGGCGATACCAGGCCCTTTTCCGCTACCTCCTTTCATTGCGTTACCTCGAATCACAACTGTCGACCACTTGGCAAGTACAGACACGGGGTGTCAGCTGGGGCCACAAGGGCTCTAACAGGGCACTTGAGATCTGGAAGCGCCGAGTGTGGACACTGCGCGCTCGCATGCTAGTCTTTGTCCAGCAGCTCTTGTACTTCTGCACGGCAGAGGTCATTGAACCAAATTGGACCAAGTTCATGTCGAGGTTGAGCAGCAAAGACGACGGGCCCGAGAGGAAGCCAGGCGGATTCATGCGCACAGTGGATGAACTGATGCAGGATCATGTGGACTTTCTCGATACCTGCTTAAAGGAATGCATGCTGACCAACAGCAATCTCCTTCGGGTGAGTCTTCATCTCCTCGCGGCGGAAAACGCATAGACACTGCTGACCATCGCTCCAGATCCACTCCAAGCTCATGCAAACGTGCACCATCTTTGCGGCCTACACAAACTGGCTCACGCGCGAACTTGAGAAGGCTGACCCAGACCTCTCAGCGGCAAACAAACCAAGCACAATGACCACGGATCAGTGGAACCGTTTCCAGGCCACGAAAGCGGCCGCCGCTCGTGCCTCGTCCTCGTCAGTCGCCGATACTTCCACGGCCTCGGCAGGTCCCGCCGACGAGGCAAGGGTAGACAACCTCGTCGACATGATCGCCAAGTGGGAGGTCAATTTTAGTAGACATCTGCAGATCCTGCTAGATGCATTGAATCACTACGCTGCGACCGAGACGGTGGCGTTGTTGAGTCTCTGTGCAAGGTTAAGTACTGCGAACCAGGGAACTAAGTATACGGGGTTGAAGCATGACGAAGACGGGTAAGGAGCCTCTGCGATGAGCCCTGCTGTTGATTGAGATACCAGTATATCAATGATGAATGATGAACAGATCTGTGCTTGCCGGTCCTTTCTTCGTGATAGTGTGTATTATGGAGTCTCGCTACGTTCGTATAGAAGCTCGTCTCTCGCGTCTACCACCGCTGCCAAGGCTCCCATTAAGGTCCATGATCATCCCAATCAAACCTGGGACCCAAACAGAAATCATATGCTACCTATCAATATGGCTGAGCGTCGTGTCCTTGTCTGCTAGCCGACTGTATGCTCCCAATTCTTTGCCCCAGCTATTCTTCTGACCGGAAGTGTAAAACGATAAAATAACCCGAATCCAATATCTGTACCGAACCGACGCCCCTCCATGTACGCTCCGTTTTCTCATTAGTCGTGAATGCCTTTCCTTACTTGAAAAGAATCTTGAGGTCTTCGAGTCTCGTCTTCTGGGCCTCGGACTTGTCCTTTCGGTCGACAGCAAGGCTCGCGAGCTGCTTCTTCTTGTCCTGCAAAGCCAGCATGTCTTCCTCAAAACTGTGGTTCATAATGTACTTGACAGTGCGGACGGGGCGCTTCTGACCCAGACGATGGACACGGTCGATAGCCTGTGCTTCAGCGGCAGGATTGAACTGCGGTTCCATTACGTAGGCGGTGTTGCCCGTCACCAAGTTCAGTCCCAAGCCTCCGGCACTGATCGAAATGATGATGACATGAACCGAGTCGTCTTCGCGAAACTGCTTGATGGCCGCGCTGCGAGCAGGGCGTGTCATGCGGCCGTCCAGCCTGACGAATTTGATGCCAGCAGGCTTGAGGGCCATCTCAATCAGATCAAGATGGCGTGTCCAGCCGGAGAAGACCACGGACTTGAGCGGTGCCTCTTCAGGATGGGCTTCGCTGTGCGCCTTGGACTTCAAAAGATCCTCCACGAGAGCTCTGGTTTTTGTGTGAGGACCCATGTAGTTTTTGAACGCCTCAACCTCTTGCTTCTCATCCGAGCTGGCGTCGCCCGTGTGCTCAGCCTCGACGAGTGATCGAGGGAGCGGTACAAGCTCAGGCGATGTGGGCGCATAGCAAGTGAGACACGATCCGCGGCTACGCTGGACGTGAGCCTTGAAGCGCGGAACGTAGTCTCCGGCGCAGTTTGCGCAAATGACGTGGAGGCAGGTTGTCATGTATCCCATAATGTCGTCAAGCCCATCATCGTCCACTTCGTCTTCGTCGCTGGCGCCTATCTTTTTCTGGCAAACCATGCAATTATCGCCATTCGATTGCTGCAGCAGTGCGAAATTGTCATGCTGTTGCTTCAGCTGTAGCGTCGCGGCATCAATGTCGGGCTCGTCATCCAGATTAATGGCCGTGTCAGCAGAGACACCTTGAACGCGGCGGAAGTCAGATTCGTTCAGAAGATCTTTGCCATGCGCGCAGACAAGTCGCATCATGAGGATGGACTTGAGAACGTGAATATAAGTATTCTGGGGGAGTTTGGCCCCTCCGGCAGCACCCGCCTCGCTCGTCAAAGCATCGACACGCTTTTTGGCATAGCTCTTGAACGTGTCGTGCAGCTTCTTCTCATCGGGAGAAAAGTCAAGCCTGACAATCAAATCAGTACGAGGAGGGAGCGGGACCTTGTCCTTCAAGCGACGGATGGTGACGGTATCGACCAGTGCGCGCAGCCGAGGGACGACCTCCTTGTCAGCAGCCTTGAACGGTTCGAGAATGTAACGGTTGAACTTCAAGCGATGTTCGAATGGATGCAAGCGAACAAAAGCCAGTAAAGAGCCAAGGTCGTCGAGGCGATTCTGCACAGGCGTGCCTGTTACTGCCCATCGCCTTTGGGCATGGAGACGGACAGCTGACTTGAAGTTCAAGGTGTTCTTCTCCCGAATCATGTGCGCTTCGTCAAGCACGATTCTGAACCATCCAATATGTTCCAAAGGGTACGATCCACCACGACCTTGGTGGCGCTGACGGAGCTCGCTAGCAACGGACCCGTACGTTGTAAGAATAATATCATACTGAACAAGCTTCTTCACATCCCGAATGCGGTTCGCGCCGTGATAGATATAGTAGGAAATGCTATTTTCCTTCGTGTGCTGCTTGATCTGCTCCTCCCAATTGGTGATGGTGCTCAAAGGGCAGATCAATAGGGTGGTCTTCGCGTTCACCGTCAGCTTTACCAAGTCGAGGGATGGCTTCGGCGTGACAGCATCCTGTTTGTTGGCTTTGCTGTCCGCTGGTGCCGGTTGAGCAACGGGTGTCGCAGCCCATTGTTCTGCTGCAGGAAAAGAACTGGAGATAAGTGAGAGTATGCTGAGGGTTTTGCCCAAGCCCATTACATCGGCGAGAATGCCGCCCAAAGTCTCGGGCGGAGGTTGGCGTTGTTCTGTTTGGGTAATGATGTTGAAGTACCTCGTTTCGCCGGATGCCGTATGGTCCTTCTTCCACAGGGAGGGGATCATGTTCTCGCGGTCTTTCATCCACTTGTCGTGATCCCGGTGGTCGCCCTGTACTGCTCGCACAGGCGATGAATAGTAAGGTTCCTCGCGAGCCTGCATAAACCAGAGACCCTGCTTCTGATGCGTGAGCAAGGGTGTAACGATGCAATCACCAGGTTCCGCCAATGGGAGATCCTCGCTTTTTGTCATGCGATCAAAAACACCCATAACATCTGCCTTGACTTCCTCAACCGTACGGACGGTGGCAGCACCGTAAGACGATGTGCCCTGTGCTGAGCCAAGGCTTCTATTCTGCACAGGGAGTGGACCCCTTTTAGGGAACAGAACGTGCGGATTGTACACACGTATGCCTTTCTGTACCATGGTAGGTGCGTTCAGGCGCTGCTCCTGTTTCTCAAGCCAATTACCAACACTTTTCGCATACTTGATCTTGCCGTAGAGAGTGACATCCAACTTGAATGCATGAGACACAGGTTTCCCTGGCTCTGATCCTGGTGCCTTGGGCTGCGGTGGAAGGCGACATTCGGTCCGCAGGTAGATGTTCGCATCGAGCAAAGGGGAGAGAGCAGAGGCGCTTTTTGGGTCCACATGGCCAATAGTCACCCGCGTGTAGTCGTAGACTTGGATACGAGTTGTCTTGTCAGCCATGACTCGCTTCAAAACGACTTTGATGACTGGCTGGTAGTTCGGCCCCCATGTGCTCTGTGCACCAAACTTGGACGATGGTGCCACCGTACAGTTGAGCGTACACTTGAGCAAGCCGTAACAGACTTCATCGTCGCCAGGATCGCCGATGGTGATAACATCTTCATCATTCCCTTCTCATGTTAGTCTACGCTTGGAACAGTGTTGATGCGTCGTAAGCCTACCGTCTGTCAAATCAACAGTGGCTGTCTGTGGAAGGGCCCCGGCGTTCGAATCCGCGTCTGCGTCCTTGAGAGCTTGACCTAGTGCGCCACTGCCACTGGCGTTTCGCATGGCGATTTTGCTTCGACCTGGCGAATCTTCCGAATCAACCTTGCGACGTTTGGATTCAGAGACCTCTGTGCGATCCTGAACATTGTGTACCTTCTCGATCCAGTTGCCAGGACCTGTAAATGCGCTTGGGTGAGCAGACTCAGAGCTGTATGAAGGCGTCGAGGCTCCGGATGTTGTCTCGTTAGGGTTTTCGAATTGGAAATGCTGGGAGCCGTTGGCATTGGCTTGCTGTGTGAACCATGCGCCGCCTGCCTGTGCTGTAGGCAAGTCCGATGGAGTGCCTCGCTGTGAGGACGCTGCTAGGTTGCGATTCGGTTGAAGCAGAGCGGCCGGATTCCATGATGGCGGCTTGGGTTGGCCTGCAATGTCAGCGTCCATTAGAGCATTCAGAGTGTAGCTGTGAAGTGGTGATGAGTTTGAGTAGGTAAAGGTAGATTTTTTGGTTGGAACCGCATGATCTTGAGTCGCGACTGGTGCTGATGATGCTCGGGACTGGGCTGTGGTGGTGGTAGTGGTGGTGTTTGGCGTACCATTCGTCGCCATGGTTCCAGTGTGAGGCGCCGAAGCATCCGTCTTGAACGCCCTGATCCGCCGAATGAAGGGAAGATGATAGGAAGTGAGCCTAGGACAGCAAGCCCTTCACTATGGTCATGCGCGTTGCTGGATGTTGTAATATCATGAGAGTGGTATCGAGATGGCGTGAAGATGTGATGAGCGTGCGTGCGTTTGTGGGCGAAGAAAGCGAGAGAACAATGATGTAAGAGGCCGCTTGAGGATCTATTGTGCAGAAAGAAAAGTTTCGGTGCTAATCATGAATCCAGAGGAATAATCAAGTTACTTTGAACTCATTGCCGAGCTCAAGTGCGGATGAATAACGACTGGAGCTAGCAGCAGGCCCGGGTGGAGGGCGAATAATAGAGGTGGGCAGAATTAGAAAACGCTCTTGAAAGGGTGAGGTTTCAAAGATGCAAAGAGCATGCGCTTCTTAAGAAGTCCAGACGATAAGTGACTCTTCTCTGAGGCTGGTGGCATCTGAGAACTCTTCGCCCAGGCGCTGCGTGAAAGCTCGACTGGACCGTGAAGATGATCCGCTGCGATCAGCAGCGAGGGAAAGCGCGGGTAGTAGTAGCGCTTGCCTGCAGTCGCAAGTCGTTGATGCTGGTCACCTGCACGGCAGTGTTTTAAAGGTGGTGTGGGGCCTTCCGCCGCTGCGAGTCGCCCGCCGTTCCCCTGGCTGGAGCGACGCGCGCAGCAAGCACGTGAGCAGCTTGCCAACAGCCAGGCCTGACGCATTTCACATGTTTCGAAGCCGTTGGCCATGGTAAGTTTCCTTCTACTCCGTATGGAGAAATGTAAGGTCGCATACTACGTGATACCCTATCAACCTCATTCGGGCGTAGCTACATGTACCCGTTATGTTCGTAATGGTGATATGAACGCTTTAAGTGTCCCGTATTGAAGGTTTCCTGGCGTCTTCGTCACATGTGAATGACAGACCAGAAAGAACCATATATGGCTGAAAAAAAGAAACCAAAAGCTTTTTTAGCGCAACACAAGACAAAATCCAAGTCTCTCGACGTACAATTGCTGCATCATCTCACTGTTCTCACATCGACTCGGCAGACCCTTGTTCTGAGATTACATAAGCAAAAAGCGACTTCCTGCCCCGCCATTGACTGCTCAGGCTCGCCCCTCGCCCAGCACAACCACACGTGGAGAACTTCAATCAGATCCCAAAATCTCAAGAAGGCGACGTCGTCACCGTCATACATGCGGCGACCATGGACATTACAATTTTCGTGGTCCAAGGGCGCGACAAGGCTCTCCTGTATGGGGACTATTCGACATACCATACCCAATGCTCCAAACGTCTTCTAAGCTGTCGCGCGAAGATTGGCATCGTGACGAAGAACCGGGGTAAATTCCACAAGCCGGAGCGTCTCACAGCTGAGCAAATTGGCGCAAACAGAGAGTAAACTCTAGTCCGTGCCGCATACTCCTGCGCTCATGCTGACATGCGCTTAGATATGTTCACCTTCTCCTGCTCGCCAGTGAGCGCGCATGGGCGCAAGCCATGAGCATGAAATCCTCTCATGCGTCCGACGACAAGGGACTCAACAGCCACGCTCGATCTCACATTGTCTCTCGACTCACCAAAGCCACTCGTGCAGCTGAGGAGCTTGTCGAAGCGCTCGGTGCGACCGACGAGTCTGGCGCGTCCACGACCGATGTCCTCGAGGCCAAAGCCTATGCAGCTATGATTCGAGCTGCGATGTGTTTCGAGAAGCACAATTGGGAGGCATGCCTGCACAATTACGCTACCGCTTGGATCGTATACAGTGCGCTGCAGTCTTCAACCAAGACCGATATCTACAAGGAGCTCCTTTCGGAGACAATCGATCCATCGATTCGCTACGCCGCCTACCAGCTGAAAACTCCCCGAACTACCCCAATCCCTGCCATCGCGCGCAAAGCTTTTCCTGAATCCGACAGTGCATTGGTCGAGAACGTCAATCAGCTCGACCCCGCCATCTTGAAGCAGGCGGACGCATCTCAGGACGCGAAAGGCGGCGAAACCATCCCCCAAACGCTGACATGGAGGTCTCGAGAAGTCAAGATTGAGGACGCTCAAATTGCCGAGGCATGGGCCGCCGTGATAAAAGCAAAGGAGACATTGTCGGAGAAGATCAAAGAAATCGACGATGATCATCACTTTGAGAAGGCTGCTGCGTACGATGAGATCCTTGCCACGACTGGCGATGCTGTCGATGCAACGAAAACCGCTATCGATGAGCTGCGCGCTGAAGGGGTCGGCTCAGGCGACCCCCGTATGCAAAGTCTACAGATCACGCGCACCGCTGTGAACTACGAAATGGTCAGCTGGCGAATCGGTCGCAACCGTGTTCTGACAGGCAGCGACGATGGCGCCGCAGAGCGCTACGGACACGGCAGGAGGCGGAGAAACAAGGCCAAAGCCAAGGATGAGCCTCTCAAGGATGAAAGAGAGCTGCCGACTTCGAAGAAACTCCACAAGTTCAAGGAGAAGGTGGCGCTGTATGACGGCACCCTTCAAAACTTGCAGACTATCAAGGAGTTGCCCGGTGTGGCGGCGGATGAGGAGCTGGCGGCGAAGCTCGATGCTTCCGTCAAGTACTTCGAAGCGCTCTCGTAAGTTCTCTGGATTCTGTTCTCGTGCGGGCCATGGCTAATGTGTCCAGCAACCTCTCTATTGCCCGCTCGCATGCCCTGGTGGGCAACGTCACGAATGCTCTTGCTCTCATCAACCACTCTCTCAAACTCAGCGAGCAGGCTTCGAGCCAGATGCCCGATCTCGCAAATGATCCAACAGGGCCACTGAACGTGGACGTGTCCGCCGAGTCGATTGCGAACCTCTCGGCGCTGCTGACCGGGGAACTCCAGCGTCACCGTGCCATTGTTCACATTGACAACATCCGCAAGGAAGAGATCGCAAAGGCTCACTCAGGCTCTGCACCTTCAGCGGCCAAGGTCCCTCTTGTGGAACGTCTCTACGACTATCCCATCGGAGGCGTCGACCTGGCCAACGTTGTCGAGTTTCCACCCAAAAGGGCTCTTATTCCCGTCAAGCCCATCTTCCTGGACGTGGCTTGGAATTACATTGGATATCCTGGCAAGGATCCGTTGGCTGCATCAGATGTCAAGGCTCAGAGTACGCCAACTGCAGCGGGCCAACAGGCGGAGCAGAAGCCAGAAGAGAAGCAATCGGCCAAGAGAGGTTGGTTTGGCTTCGGCCGGTCGTAGACCACTTGTTAGGTGAACAAACACCATGTTCTGTCATCAATGGATGTGGCATTGAAGTGCACATTGTACCCAGCGGTGAACATACATGTATAGAAGCTGTTGTATCTTGCAGATTTACAAGTGGTATGCATGTCCGAATAAAAAGGCGCAAAGTGCACTTGCCGGCCATCATAGTAGTGAGGAGGGGGGAAGGTAAATTATCATCTAGCTTGGCTGTTTGTACAAGTAATCCAAACCACCCCACCGAGGACCATTGCCCAAAAGTTTCGTAATACAATCCGTAGGTTCCTCGGAACAAAGTTTTGATGCACCAACGCCAATCCGCCAACCGTGGTATTAAAAGCAAGCGCAAACATGTAACGCAAAGGTAAGGCGGAAGTATGAGTACAGGATAGATACATCGAGCGGCGAGGCAATCCTCAACACGCCGCTCATATTCTCACAAACATTGGAAACATAAGCATGAGCTTGGTGAAGACGTGACAAGCTTTTTTAAGGCTTGTTCTCGTCCTTCTTCTCACCCTCCTTGGGCTGCTCAGACTCCTGCTGCTGCTCGCCAGCCTCGTTGCGGGCCTTGTGCATCTTGTCGAAGAGGTTCAAGCTGGCCATCTGGAGCTCGTCGGTCTTCTCCTTGATCTCAGTGGCAGTAGCGGTGCCCTCGCCAGCCTGGCTGGTGGCGATGAACTCGCGGAGAGTGGTGATCTTCTCCTTGATACCGTCGGCCTCAGCCTTGTCCAGCTTGTCAGCGTACTCGTTCAGAGCGCGCTCAGTGTCGTTGAGAACGCTGTCGGCACGGTTGGCAGCCTCAATGGCGGCCTTGCGGTCCTTATCGGCCTCAGCGTACTTCTCAGAGTCCTCGACCATCTGCTCAATCTCCTTGTCGGAGAGACCAGAGCCGGAGGCGATAGTAATGGACTGGTCCTTGTTGGTGGACTTGTCCTTGGCGTGGACGTGCACAATGGAGTCGGCATCAATGTCGAAGGTAACCTCGACCTGGGGAACACCACGGTGGGCAGGAGGGATGCCAACCAGCTGGAAGTTGCCGAGCATCTTGTTGTCCTTGACAAGCTCACGCTCACCCTGGTAGACCTTGATCTCGACGGCGGTCTGGAAGTCAGCGGCAGTGGAGAAGACCTGAGACTTCTTGGTGGGAATGGTGGTGTTGCGGTTGATCAGACGAGTGAACACGCCACCGAGGGTCTCAATACCCAGGGACAGGGGGGTAACATCGAGCAGGAGGAGGTCCTTGACCTCACCAGAGAGAACAGCACCCTGGATAGCAGCACCAATGGCGACAGCCTCATCGGGGTTGACAGACTTGGCGGGGTCACGGCCGAAGATGCTCTTGACGGACTCGCTGACCTTGGGCATGCGGGTCATACCACCGACGAGGATAACCTCCTGAATGTCCTTGGCCTGGAGGTTGGCATCCTTGAGAGCCTTGCGGACGGGGTCGATGGTGCGGCTGATGAGAGGATCAACCATCTTCTCGAGCTGAGCACGGGTAAGCTTCATGTTGATGTGCTTAGGGCCGGAAGCGTCAGCGGTGATGAAGGGAAGGTTGATGTCAGTCTGGAGAGAAGAGGACAGCTCAATCTTGGCCTTCTCGGCAGCCTCACGGATACGCTGGATAGCCATGCGGTCACCAGACAAGTCAATGCTGGAGGTCTTCTTGAAGTCCTCGACCATGTGGCGGACGAGGTGGATGTCGAAATCCTCACCACCAAGGTGGGTGTCACCGTTGGTGGCCTTGACCTCGAAGACACCGTTCTGGATCTCGAGGATGGAGATATCAAAGGTGCCACCACCAAGATCGTAGACAGCGACGACGCGGTCGGCCTCCTTCTCGAGACCGTAGGCCAGAGCGGCAGCGGTAGGCTCGTTGACAACACGGAGGACGTTCAGGCCAGCAATCTGACCGGCATCCTTGGTGGACTGACGCTGAGAGTCGTTGAAGTAGGCGGGAACAGTGACGACGGCGTTCTTGACCTTCTTGGACAAGTAGGCCTCGGCAGTCTCCTTCATCTTGTTGAGAACGAAGCCACCGATCTGGGAAGGCGAGTAGTTCTGGCCACGGGCAGCTACCCAGGCATCACCGTTGGTGTGCTGGACAATCTTGTAGGGGACCTCCTTGATATCGCGCTGGACCTCAATATCGCTGAACTTGCGTCCTATTAAACGCTTGGTGGCGAAGAGAGTGTTCTCAGGGTTGACGACGGCCTGGCGCTTGGCAGCGACACCAACAAGACGCTCACCGTCCTCGGCGAAAGCGACGACGGAAGGAGTGGTACGGGCACCTTCGGCGTTCTCGATGATCTTGGGGACCTTGCCCTCCATGATGGCAACAGCCGAGTTTGTGGTTCCCAGATCGATACCGATCACGCTGCCTTGCACCTTCTCGGTCTCGCCGGCGTTTGTGGACTCATAGCGAGCGAACTTGGCGCCGAGAGGGGCGCGAGTGAATGCTGATGAGCGAGCAGCGATGGGCGAAGCCCTGGGCAGCTGTTTAAACTGTGTTAGCGACTGATTCGGGCGCATTGGTGCGAAGCTTGTCGCGATGGGTGTGTCGCGTAACTTACAGCTCGGGAGAAGCGCGAGGCGAGCATATTGGTTGTGTGATTAAGGGTATACTATTGAAAACAACAAGAAGAGAGAAGATGAAGGCGCGCGTGATGGAGAGGGAGAAGAAGTTGGGGGAGATGATGGAGAATACAGGTGTGATAGAGGATGGGAAGAGATGATGAGAAAGGGATCGAAACAGCGAAAGTTTTTGACCCGAGGAAAATTAGCTCCCCGTCATGGAAACCGAAGGAAAGAAGCCGTGAGCAATCAGAGGCCGCAGCGTCGCGAATGAGGGTCCACCTTCCCTCCTGCACAGGCTGCACTTTCCGCCGCGACTCCCCGGCTATCCCCGGACTAATGTCGGCCCAGCCACTTGGAGGTCGGTCCAGTCGCGTGTGCCACACTCCAGTCGCCCAGTCGACGCACCAGCCACTGCGCCAGCTTGTTGCCGTAGAGCGCGCGACGATGTCCGCGTTAACGGACAAGCGTGAGATGACACTTGGTCGAAAGGCAATGCAATATGTGATCGTGGAAGCCTCAAAGCCATTGAGTTTCTGATTGCCTTTGCCTCTTGTATCTTAGTCCTGCGCGAGTTTAACTGCAAGTACGTACATACCTGGTAGCAGCAGAGAATCCTGCTCGGTTGGCTCGAGCCTAATTCCGCTGGCGGCGTCCAAACTGGAGAAGAGCCTCGGACGTCATCTGCCGCCTTCACAACAACGCTTTACACCATAGCAGGGTACCTTATATATCAACACTTTCCTGACTCCTCCCTGTTCGTGCTACTTGCCCTTCACCCCAAGCCTACGTACTCGATATCTGTGCAAAAACAACCTCGGCTCTATTAGTCTTGTTCCGACTTGCCAACACCATCCGCAGTGCATCCGCCTCGCCCATCAACGCTTACTGTACCGCCTACGACCGAGCACCACTGCACGACGGAATATCCAAGCCCATGATCGGCGCGGCGCAGTCTACTGCACCCATCACGTCTCGCGCCATCTTGTATAATCATAATCATCGACTCGACTAAACGAATCCCCAGAGGATGGCCGTGACGGACGATGGCTTGTTTGTCCCACTTTGCCGCTCCCAAGCGAACGGCCGTGAACGCCCAGTTTGCTGATCATCTGTACGACAGGCACTTTCCAAGTCAAGGCCTCGTCCTGAAGCAAGGACGAAAACAGTACCGCACGCCTGTGCGCTCTTTGTTCGTGGCGTCTTGCGGTTTCTGGTGCGCCAACTGACTGGGCTCTAGACATTGGCAATTGCGATCCCTGATAAGCGCCGACAAACACAACATTGTATACCTTCCCGGTGGACACGACAGAAATCAAGTCTTGCGCCTGAACACCGCGACCTGCGAATGCGACCCGGTCAAACTCCTGCCCTTCACCCCGCGATGTCTAGTATCCAACGGGACGTGGTTATGTTGCGGTGGCGAGCGCGGGGAATTCGTATCCATGAACATAGACGCTTCTGCGGGTAGCGATTCGGCCACAGGGATTGGCGATGCATTGGGCCTCGACCTCGATCCCGAAACGCAACTACCGTTCGGATTTACAACAGCGGATGCGGATTCGATATCGGGCTTACTTGCACACGGGCGAAGGTCGACCAAAAGCTTCATTGCCAAGAGTGCCAAGTTGACGACCAAGGGAGATCGAATCAACGGCATCACCATTTGGTCGCCCTCGGGGCGAGTCAAAACACACGACAAGGCATACGCCTTTCCCGTTGCAGTTCTGGCGAACAATGACAGGACCGTCAAGATTGTCGGCCTCCATTCATCGGAGGACAACGACAAGATCGAACCCCTGGCAACGATTCGGTACCCCGACTATGTCAATCGAGCAGTCATCTCGCCCGATGGGAACATTTTGATTGCTGTGCTCGACGATCCTTACATGTACGTGCACGTACGGGCTGAAGATGGGTACTCGTGGGAGCTGAAGCACAGAATCATGCTCAAGAGCCAAAAGAAGGATGACGAGACCCCTATGAACGGAACATTTGCCGCTTGCTTCTCTCCATCGGGGGCCTACCTGGCGGTCGGCACGCAACACGGATGTGTTTCCGTCTTCGATGCTCAGGACCTCCTTGAATGGGGTGGCGATGCCGTTCTCAAAACTTTCGAGTCGTCCAGGCCTTGGACCGACCACGGTGCTATTCGTGACATGGCGTTCTGCCCCGGCCCGTACGATCTTCTAGCATGGTCTGAGGATCGTGGTCGAGTTGGCCTAGCAGATCTCAGGAGTAATTGTGCCATCCGCCAGATTGTCGATATCAACAATCAAGCAGATTTTGAGCAGATCAACGTCTTGGATCGCAACACAGTCGACCCTAGACTGCTGGACCGCCGGGGCGAGCAACGCGGTTCAGCTTTGACCTCGTCGCTGGGCCACCTCTTTTGGTCTGATAACCTCAGACGGAATGAATCGGGGGAGGATCTGATGGACTACCGAAACTACCCGCTGACCCCGAGCGATACTGAAGTTCTCGAATCCGTACAGAACGAACGCCGGAGACGGGAGTGGGCTAGGGACAGGGCTGCTCAGGCACGTGTAGAACCCATGGCAGCCAGAGTACGTGACCTCGCATCTACACTTCGATACTCTGGAGGTCCGCGGCATGAGGATCCAACACCTCGGGAAGCTGGCACGCTCAACCCTAGCATCAATCGTGTGGCAGATCTCCTGGGGAACTTTCGCGAACAGCGAGCAAACGTCCGTGTACGAACTACCGGTCGTTTGTACCGCGATGTAGCTCGTGACAGCGGCATGCAGGCCACATCCTCCTCCAACCTGGGTCAGCTACCACCATCGACCCAGTGGGAACGGCCAAGAGTGGAGCGCTTAGATCCAGGGAATTCAGTACGAGGTCAGGAGCCATCTTGGATGGGCGTACGCGATCAGGTCAATGCACGTCAGCGAGAGCGAGGCCCGAATGACGACGGCCCGGACCCTGTGGACATGCTGCGTGCTATCATCCAGCAGCGCGAAGACAATCCCACCCGCGAGACACCAGACATGAGTGTGCAGGACGGACCGCCCTGCGATGACCATACCGCAGGCCTGGCCTGGAGCGCGGATGGACGTAAATTGTGAGTCAATCCATAGGGCCGTCTTCGTTCTGAGAGTATACTGACTAGTCGTAGCTATTTGGCTGCCTATAATGGCATTTACGAGTTCAAGCTTGACCTGCTTGGAAGGATGTTGTCACCGAGCATTTGCCTTCGCTAAATCGAACAGAGGCTACCCAAAGGCTACGGGCGAAGGTTTTCTTTTGTGTATGTAAACGAAGTTTATGAAACTGGCAGCGACCAGGCGCATAGGAGTTACAGATGTTGGAAACATTGGTTTGGTTGCTTTGACTCTAATTACTTCGGCGCGAGGACCTTGTCTTGATATAACCTATCACTATTGAACCTGCCATGATTGCTTGTCTTTAGCGCCTCATGTGGTGACATTACCATACATTAGTTTCTCGACCTGTTCACCAATAGCCAGCGAACTAGTCAGGCCGGGGCTTTCGATGCCCAAGAGGTTGATCCATCCTTCGTAGCCACCCTCTTTCCGGATCACAAAGTCCTGAAACCCCTTGCCTGTGGCGACAGCCTGACGATGCGCCAGCTTTGGGCGAATGCCAGCGTAATCAGGCTTTAAGCTGTCCACATCGACGCCAGGCAGGAACCTCTTGATCTCTCTCACGGCTTGTTCGAACCGCGACGTGTTGACAGACAGGTCGTTCGGGTCATCGACCCATTCCACATCCGGGCCGAACCTCAACCTACCCCCCAGGTCCAAGGTTAGATGCGTGCCCAACCCTCCGAGGCCCGGTTCAGGAGCCGGATAGATGAGTCTTGAGACCTTGGGGTGTGAGGACCCGTAAGAGAAGTAGTTGCCTTTGGCATAGCACAGCGTCTTCTTGTCTGCAGCCGGCACGATCATGTTGTGGACCTCCACAGCTCCCAGCCCAGCAGCGTTGACAATGGTCTCCGTCGTGACGGTCGATGTCTCGCCCGTGGTCCCATCCATGACCTCCACTTCCCACCCCGACGCGCCCTTGTCCCCGAGAGGCGTGATCCTTTGCACCGGTGAGTTCAGCGCCACCACGCCCCCATTCTCCTCGAAAAGGCCCTGGAGCGTGATCATCAACCCGTGCGAGTCCACGATGCCCGTGGTAGGGCTCTCGAGGCAGCCCTTTTCGGCGCGGACACCTTCTCCCTCGCGCGCAATCTCCTCCTGGCTGACCCATCGGACGGGAACGCCAATCTCGTCTCTGCAGTGCTTCTCAATCTTGTGCAGCGCGGTCATCTGCTCATCGTTCTGCGCCACGATCCATTTACCCGTGTTCTTGAACCCGACGTCATGCTTCTTGCACAGCTCGTACAGCAGATTCTTCCCCCGAATGCAGAGTGATGTCTTCAGGGTGTCGGTGCCATAGTAGATCCCGGCATGGATGACCTCGGAGTTGCGCGACGATGTCTCCGTGCCCACGGCCGGGTGGCGCTCAATGAGGAGAGTGCTGCTCGGGGGAGATGACGGCAAGGATGCGCGGCGCGTCAGCTGGCGAGCGATGGCGAGACCAACGACGCCACCTCCTATGACCTATGCTTCACTCAGTACATGTAGGGATTCACATGCTGGGGATGGGGGAAGGGACAGGCATACCACGTGCGTAAAGTCGGCTTTTCGAGCAGCCGTCGAGGTGAAATTAGATTTCTGATATGGAGAAGCAGTTGCTCTTGGAAGACCTCTGACGCTCGTTTTTAATATCATTGTGCTAATGAACGTCAGGGGATGAAGGTCGGGAAATCGGGGTTGAAGATGCCTATGCCGGTTATGTCGTCAGATGGAGAGGCGGGATCCGTCCGTATGCCGGCGAGGACCGCCAAGTCGCAGTACGTAAAAGTATTCACACAGAGAGCATCTAAAACCCAGTCAACACAAAATTGGCCGCGTTAAGTCTTAAGTAGCAGTCGATTGACTATTAGTTGTCGGGGACAGCGTAAACGCGCGACGGGCTGTTCCGTCGTGTGTTCCGAGGACCGACACTGACTATTGATAGTGTATGTCGGCTGGTATAGCGCCAGGAAGTCCATCTGATAACGATAGTGCGGCAATGTCATTTTCTCATCATCATATCATAATCCGCGTCTTTCTTCACGGCTCGTTGACCGACGTCGAGGTCGACAGGAAGTCCGCCCAATTCCACGTCCTCGCGTGCCCTACCAAGTAAGCGTGGCATGGGTGCGCCGCGCGGCTCTGGCATATTCCATCTTGTCGGCGATACAACCAGATACAAATCACTCAATCACCCTTATCCCCCTCCTCGGACGCATCCGCTTCTGCCACACTGCTAGTCGACCGGATCAACGATGACTGCATCGAGGGTGCGTTGCTCGCGGCACCTCCGCCTGAAGCTTCCGATAGTTGCTTTTCTTCGTGCAGTCAGTGACAAAATGCCCGCGACCCAGGATGGATGTGACGTACCTAACTCGCGAATCCGGTGTCGGAGCATCTGGTTCTCCCGGGTGAGCATCTGCGTCTCAGCCTGGTAGAACGCGCTCTCATCTCTTCCACCGAGCGCCCAGTCACCGCTCTCCTGACTGATTGAAGTAGACCTCAATCCTGGGGACGCGCCATTGCTAGGGGTTCGTGATCGCCGGTGCAGTTCTGCTCTCGCCAGGTCGCCCCCAGACAGACGGTTGTGCCGGAAACTGGGTGATCGCGAATATGAGCTTGGAGGTGCCGCGTGCTGCAGCGACTGCTGTGAGCCTTGGGGGATGGGCGTGCCCTGGATCGAGCGCTCTGATACGGCGCTGCTATTCTCGGCGAGAGCGGATGGATTGCTCTCCCGGAGACGACTCAGTTCGAGCTGTTGCTGTCGAATTTGCTGAAGCAACCGATTCTGGACATCTGGGTCAGTTCCGGGGTCAACAATCTCGGCCGTACGCGTACTCACTACTTGGGCCTCTTGCTCTGCCTCGAGCTCCTGATGCAGCTCACCAAGGCTAGGCGCCCTGTGATGGTGCGGATCGGCTGTAGTGGGAGATATCGCGCCAAGCTGTGGACTGACAACATGACTGTGCTGCTCGCTTGCCATCTCGCCTGGTGCAGGCACCGTGGGGTCGTTGTGCTGTAGATTCATGAGGATGGATCGTCGGCGGCCTATCTGAGTGGGAGATTGATGGCCACGCAATGAGCTGTTCGAAGAGCCTGGGTAGTACCGTCAGTTTGTGCTGTGTTTTCAGATTTCCGTGCACCCAGGAATCGTGGACACTCACGTCGCAATCCAGCGTTGAGGGTAGCGGCAGCCTGAAGCGAGACGGATGCGGACCGGGGGGAACCGGTGGGCGACTCGTCGCGGGGCGTGGAGTTGGCATGATTGTTGGAACCAGAGGACATTGCTGCGACGTAATGTACACCTGAAGGACAACCCGGACTAGAATCTCGGCTTTGATGCAGACGGAAAAAGGAGCAACCTGGTCAACGCTGGAATTAAGAGGTCGTCGGAAAGCCAAAAAGTGGCGTGGTCAAAGTTGCACGCGTGATCAATCGTCCGGCGTCGGATCAGGCCTTGTTCACTTGCTACTTGTGATACCTGCTTGGTTGTGCACTCGGAATAAGCCGATAGCGACGGGCAGGCCAGAGCTTGGACATGGAGCCTCTGGTATACTTGTCAATCATGTCTAATTGATGCAACTGCCAGTGAAGTCAACTCGTGGTGGAAACGAGTTGAGTTTATTTAGTGAGCCTGTGAAGCGCACACCCACTATAGGTCGTTCAGACTGTTATTAGTCACCTAACAATGTCCGCGCAAATGACAGCACTTAGCTGTTAGCTCCCCATCTGCTCAAGTTTGCCTATGAGTTTGTGGGAAGACAATGTCACAACACCCACTTTCGTCACAGGATGTCCCGTGGCAAAAACATTTTAATAGCAAACTAGGTCATGACATGTGGTTACAAGCATTGTCCACCGTACCACATGTTTATGTACAGTACCATCACAAGCAGCGGGTAGCTATTCCCGGACTACCCTATACCGCATATACATCAACGCTTCTCCATGTAGTGCGTTACTGTTCAATGCCAGGCATACATGCCAGGCTTGTAATCTGGGTACCCATCGCCTCATTATCTAGTCTGCCATTGTAGCTTGTAGGCGGAATGGCGAGCCCGTTAGGGTCTGGTTGTTGCGTATGTCTTGATCATCCTGCGTTGGGCGTGCCGTGTTGCAACTTTGGATCTTCGAGGGGAAGTGAAACCTCTGCTTGAGAATCAATATTTGCGAACGGTATGCCGTTATCTGCCTAGTCACGTCCCCAGCGTCACCTACTTGTCCGTGATGTCGGCTCACTTAAGTTTATGTACCTTACCCACGATCGTGCTACGAGCCGCCGTCGTTAACAATCGTGAGTCTCCACAACCATTCGCATATTGTGGGATGGCGAAAGTTGTGTACGTACAACGACTTTGGTGCCTTATCATAATCCTCAATAATCAACAAACGCAATCCCGAGAGGGAGACAAGCGGACTACTTCAAGTTATGATTCACCTACTACTAATAGCCCGAAAGCCTTCAAGTTGCTTGGATCCAGACGCAGATACCAGGTTGGCAGCGGGGGATTGTCGTCAGGGAAGATGGGAGACCTGTCACTTCTCTCGAGGCTCTATCGCCGTCCACAGTGTGTTACAGACCAGATCCGCGAAAGTGAGCTTGTTGTTAGACGACTGGGTCCCCGTGGAGAGATGCGAGTCTTGACCTCTGGAACATCGGTGAAGCTCATGACAACACTGTCCGAGTCTGCGAGGCCTTGTCGAGCGCAGAACCAGCTGGAGCTGGCCAGGGGTTCCCGGCTCGTCGAGGGAAAAAAAATTAGAAAAAAGGAAAAAGAAGCGTCCTCGTCAGCAGGCCACCAATCCCGAGGACTCGTACGTAGTACAGTAAGCCCAGACGAGGCCATAATAAAGTGACAACGCAAAGTCAAGTCCGTTGCCCGCATGACCTGGACACCTACCGTTAAGTAAGTTGTCCTTGTGCGTCCGTTTGACAAGGCGCAGGCAGCTTACGTATCCGTACCACAACGGAGGACCACAAGGAGAGCGACGGAGAACGAAAAGACATTGTCCTACAGTGTGATTCTGATTCACAATACCGTGTGGACCAGCCTGGAAACTGACAGGGACGCTATTGACCGGGCGCCGCCCGCGGAACAGGCGACCCCAGCATGAGCCCAAATTCTCGGGTCTGTCTGTGGCTGCGGTCCGTGAAGGAAATTTCACAAAGCCAGTGGTTGCACAAAGTCTGGGACTCTCGGTCGAATGAATGTTCACGAGTCTTTGCGGATGAGCCACGGCGGACACTCTCTACGTACAGTACGTAATGATTGCGATGCGAAGGCGTTTCGCGTTCCTGCATGCCGCTTGTTTCGTGCAGTACCTTAGCTTGGTTCCTGGATCGTGCATGATTATGTTGTTCGTGGGGCATGAAAACTGTTGGTGAGCCTCCAGGCGGGCGCGTTTGAACAGCTGCATGCCTCCGTCTTCGGCAATTGGCTTAGCCGATTGATTAGAGCCTAGAGGTCACCCCCGACCCCATGCACACGGAGTACTGGCGTACGGGTTAACGCACAAGTGCCGCAGCGTGCCTCCGAGCGCTGATTCAAGCCAAGTGGCACAGGTACACGCCTTCTGCTCGTCAACATGTAGACTAGTAGCAGGCAGTAAGTAAGTAGACGAGACTATCGTGACGACTTTCCGCCCGAAACGATCGGCGAGCAAAACGAAGCGAAAAGACGTGCCGCCTACGTTTGGCTTTGGCCAGCAACAGATCGGGAAGGTAACCCGACAGTATCCTCCATTCTACTAGTCTATTTTAGGTGCTCAGATACCTAACGGAGCCCACTCTTCAGGGACCAGACTCATCGATCGAGAAAACCTGACCCATGATTCCATGATGGGAACTTGGAAGACTTCTGCGCAATGTTAATCAATGCGGAAGCCTCGGAGCAGACAGCGGAGCAGCTGTCTGCTCGACGGTCCTGGCGAGCGACGATGCGCATGAGCGACAACTGTCATCACGTCCTGCGTGTCTGTGCCAAATGACCTAGTCCGAAGTCGCTATAATAAGGTACTTCAGGTACTAATACCGAGTGGGCAATATCGACAGGGTATACCTGCGAGACGCGTCCGCCTAATTTTGTCTTGTCGCCTCGTGATAATGCGGGCCTATGATTTGATGTGAGTCTTACTGTAATTTCGTGTCGTCTGAATAACACTGGATAAAGCGTGATGCATCGTAGAAACTCGCGGCGAGCAACCACGCAAACCCGGCGATGTGAAATAGCAGTATCCGTAGACGCGGACAGCTAAATACTAGTAGCACTGGACGAGCCTGGCCTTTTTAGGCCTCCATGCCGCTACAGGAACCTCCTTTAACTTGTCCACGAAAAGCCTTCTTAGCTTTCATCAGTGTACAACCAATTTGTGCTTCCGCGTGCCGCAGCAGTCACACAGTCACACAGTCACACAGACTGGACCTGGACGCTGACGGAGGCTACTTGCGCACTGTTTAACCGAGACCCCCTGTTAGCGCTCCCCTTTCACGTGGGTCAGGGAGGCACAACCTGGTCAAGGCAGTCGCAACCTTGCACGAACGGCAGGGACACCCACATTCTCAGTCTGACAGCCTGAGATGGTCAAAGCAACGAGGCAGGCGCTGCGCCCTCTCACTCAATTCACTGAGGGCATCCTCCTCCTTTTTTTCTTTCTCATGTTATGATCCTTTGTGATCGTGTACATCTCATCACAAACCATTCTGTATCGTTAACACAATCGTCGCTCATTTCAATTTGCTTGTTTCAATTTGTGTCTTAGGCCCAGCGCCACAGTAACACTGTCTCCCGACGTTGCCATTCACATCTAGCTGACCTCACAACCTCGACGACTCGCCCCTTTGCCTCCAGTCAGAATCGCATCACAGGCTGTTGTGTTCCTGGCCGAAGAAAAACGCCCCAGGATTTCTAATCGACTAGCGAGCACGCTGCGTGGTTTCTCAGCGCGCTAACAGCAACATCGGTGCATCGGTGGAGGATCGCTAGGCACTCCGTTCAAACCTTCTTTCACGTGGACTGCCACGGCCGCGTTTCGACCTTTCCACGGCAATCTGTCACGCGCTTTTCGATTTTGCTTCACCTTCAACCGAGTTCGTTGCGCCAGTTGGAGTTGTATGGCAAGGTCGCTTGGATTACCTTGACAGCCTTGTTTCATTCGTTTCAACTCGACACTATCGATCGCCCGACGTCGCGCATATTTGTAGCGTACTATGCGCCTTGCGCTGGGTTTCTTTAACCATCAGCACATTTCGAGCGAGCATTGAGACACTGATCTTCACCTTCGACAACCAACCAACAGCCCAGCACGGGTTACATTGAGCAATTGCGCATCGAAAAAGATGGCGACCATAGCCACCATGCCACGTGCGCCAGAGCCCGACCACATCGACACGATCCGATGGCGACCAGGTCAACAGCCTATAGACCTACCGATCACCGAAGAAAAGACAACTACGGATACTGTATCGCCGTCTCGTAACGAAAAACTAGCACGGAGGGAGTCGCGGCTGGGGCTGCGGAGTATTTTTGGGCGCAACAAACCAGCTCGACACCTAGATACCCCAGTTACCCAGCATGTGTCAAAACAGCCCGGTCAGCCCTCGAGTCCGAGTGGGACCACAACGCAGGGCATTCCCTACTACAGCCTGCCACCTGGAAGGCCAATTGTAAAAGGTCAAGTCTCTCGACCTCTTTCAGTCACCGCTGAGGATGCTGAGAGTCTGCCGCCTTTGTCAGCAGACGCAGATGAGACACCGAAACCCAAAGCACCCGTGGGAAAGTCAGGCAAAGCCGGTTCTCAGTCATGGCAGGTGCCCCCTTTTCACAAGGCATGCCCAGAGGCCGCACAGCACTCGAATCTGCCTGCCCCAACTGTGCCGGCCGACCTGATTTTGCGGTCTCACGAACGGAAGGCAGCCGAAGCAGCACTTGAGGTCAACAATGAGCAGGCAGCCGATAAGGCGAAAGGCAGGAAGAAGCCCCGAAGAAACCGGGCTGGGACGATTTCGGATGCCGAATGGACGAAGAAAACGTACATCTTGCTCGAGTCCGGCCATCTGCTCGAGTACGCCCAGGAAGGACCTTTCGACCGCATGCCTGAGAAAGTGCTGCGTCTCAACCGCAGCTCGGCAGCCTTTGCTAGCGACTTGATCCCTGGGCGTCATTGGGTACTGCAGGTTTCTTCAATCATGGGTGCCGAGGGCGCAACAATGACCGACGCGAACAGAGGCCTTTTCTCGAGGCTCCCCTTTCGTGGTGGACATGACAAGCGACATGCGGCGAATATGCTCCTTGTTTTTGAAAGCGCCGACGACATGGACTCGTGGCTGGTCAACCTGCGATCGGTGATCGAGCTACTGGGTGGCAAGAAGACGCTTACAGAGACTGGTGCGCCCAAATCGGAGCCAACCACTCCCCTGCGGGAGCAAACTAGCCAGCGCACACTTCTCGTTCGGGAGCACGACCGCCATTCCAGAAGTATACCGGAAGACCAGACTTGGGAACAGGACTGCGCGTGGCGCGAGAGCAGCGACACATCTGCTGTTCCCTCGCTGACCCCGCGGGACCGATCTCTAGATGGCATGTCGGCGACGAACAGTGTCGTTTCCCAAGACGGGCACCAGCTAGACAGTCTGCGCAGCAGCGCAAACCGACTATCGTGTGTTTCGTCGGGGCAAAGGACGATGGTCACCTCCGCCGATTCCTCCCCAGCGTGCTCGCCGACGACTGAAAATTTCCCATCGCCAGTGGAGGAGCCCACGAGGCGCCACCCCGAGGTCAGCAATAGCGACTCGAGGTTGCGCCCGAACGCGACAGCCATCGTGGACCGACGCAAGTCCTTGCAGACCATGACGCCGTTTGTTGTGGAACCTCAGCCTACATCGGCGCAATCACAGAGGCCTCAATCGTCACTCATCGGCTCAACGTCGCCAGGTTTCGCAGGGCATGTTGTGGCCCCCAACTTCAGTGTCCCGCATTCATCCAACCGCCGATTTTCTACAGCACGGCTACCGACTGTGGAGGCGTCGTCACATATGCAGCCCTCGCCTGTTATCTTCGAGCAGGCCGAGTCTCCGGCCCCATCGCGCACAGCATTGCGGAAATCACCGGGGGCTATTCGTACATCCCGGCCCCTTTCCATGGTGCTAGACCAGCCGACGCCCCGGTGCGATCAACCTGGGCGCCCAGCGACTCGTCACGGTGATAGCTTAAAGGCTGGCGAGGCCACGGAGGAGACCCTGCCACTGCCGACGCGCAGATCTGGGGCGGAAATGGTAGACCTCCATTCCCCCACACTGGGGGCACTTGACCCAGTCCGGGCAGCGAGTCCAACCCTGCCTCAGCAGACCACATTGAGGACGAGCCCCCGCCGGCTGTCGAGCATGGGAGCTTTGCGCGCCCATAGCGATCCGACTGACCGGATGCGACTGCGGCCCCTTGGTTCATCGCCAAAGCGAACGTCGGATACAGACAGGTGCCATTCCACAATCGTTACGTACGAACGCGCCAAGACATTCGCACATATACCAGGCCGACTGTCGAAGAGAGCCAGTATGGTGTCGACACCCAGTAGCTTCCCGCACTCACCTCCCAGTGCGCCGCCACCTAGCATGCCACTGCCCCAGATCCCTCAATCAGGCAGTCGGCTAAAGGCAGATACTAGTGCACATGCTTTGTTCAACAGACGAAGCATGCCACAGCTCTCCGAGGGCCCACCGCCGATGCCTCCACCAACATGCGCTTTACCACCTATTCCACAGAAGGTTCTGCAGGGCCATGCTGTTCAAAACAATCATACCGACCACATGTCTACCATTGTGGACAATGAAGACGACAAGAGCAACTTCTTCTAAGATTATGCGTTCACAAACGACTTTTCTTTTTCTGTACAATCCATCACCGGTCCAAGCCTTCCGCGTACGGCAATGACCCCAACCAAATTTCTCATGTCTGTTCAATATAAAGGAGGAGATTAGATTTCAGCGGTTATCTGGTCAGGTTTCAGGAGTCGAGGGATATGAAAAGGGCAGTGACGAAAAGTTCTTAGAGAATGGTTGCCTTTGGGAAGTGTAGATGCTCCTCGCAAGGAGTAATGATACCCGCTGTTGCAGACAGCTTAATTGACGACGAAGCCTCGGGGCCTTATCATACTTTGGCCTGTGTGCGAATGCATGTGTTGATCGGCTTTTGAAGCCCCAGTCGATGTTTCCATGTGGTCTACTCCGTACGGTAGCTTCAATCACAAGTACAGTGACTGATAGTGACTTACCCTGAAAGTAAATATGTGGCTGGTAAACAAGCCCCCCGTTGCCCCGCACCGCCACCATGCTGCGTCCAGTCTTGTCCTCCCGAATCTCACCTGCAGGAACGACTGACTGGACTTGCGCAAGCATCTTCCCTGCCACATCCAGGGCCGCCTTCTCTCTTTCCTTTCCCCGTCGCGAACGATCAACCGCATGGCGTGCACATTGTAATGCCCACGTATCCCGCCGACTATAGCACCTGGTTTCATCTGAATCTAAAGCCCGACGACTCCACACACACAGACGAGCAAACGACATGCGCGACGAGGAAACCCCATAGACGACAATCATCAGCCGCTTCCCTAAGTCGACTGACGTGAAGGAGACGGGGGCGCATCGTCACGGCCACCAGCAAACACCAGGATCACTGCTGGGATACGTATCGATTCTGTTCTATTACACCTACCCGCCGCCATTATGCCGCCAACACTGCTGTCGCGACAGTCGACCAGCGACGGCGACACCCTCATCATCCCCTCCACCTACGGCGCGCTGCACTCGTCTCTACACCCGGGCATCATCGCCGGCATCGTCCTCGGCTCCGTCGCCGGCTTCCTCCTGCTCCTGCTCCTCATATACTCCTGTCTCGGCTTCGGGCCCATGGTCTCGGCGAACAAGGTCGTCGTCGTCGAGGAGGAGATGGAGGAGCCGCGTCCGCGCTCCAGGAAGAAGCAGCATCGCCACCGTCGACGGGGCAGCGCCAACGTGCGCGTCCGAGAGCGGGTCGAGGTCCGGACGAGATCAGGCGGACGAGGGGGCGATGGCCCCGTGATTGTGGAAGCGCCGGGCCCCGCGCTGGAATCGGATGAGGAGGATGAGGTGGTCGTTATCGAGGAGCATGACATACCGCCGCCGAGGAGGGCGAGTCGACGCGGGGCGGGCGGCAGGGTGTATCGGGACGTGGATGTCGAGGACATGAGAGAGTACAGAGGGTCTAGGAGGAGTCGAGATTACTGAGGAAGATTTGGAAAGCGAGCTTTGTTTTTGATATTTAGCGGCTGGATATATAGTTTCTTGAGATGTCGATATGACCTTCACGTCCATGGGGATATGTACAACCACAGAACAGATTTCCCCCCCTTTTTTTTTTCTCCCCCGTCTCCGTCGCTAAATGTAGTCACGCCCAGGGTTCACAGACCCATGTTCCCGTTGGGACCTCCTCCGCCTTGCTGTTGTGCGCCAAAGAAAAAGGTATCAAAGGGGTTCATCTGCTGATTGTCCCCGTAGTCATTCGGCAGGCCTTCCCAGTTGATGCCAAAGCCAAGATCGACCTGGGCCTGGTCGACGCTGCCCATGTCGCCGCCGTTGGGCGCGGCGCCGAGGCTCTGCAGGAAATCCATGGTCTGCGTATCCGGGTAGTCCATGGAGCCCTGGAGCCCAAATTGCTGGCCCATGAACGCATTGTTCCCTGCCGGGTGCGAGTGAAGGCGTCGCAGCGGCGGCGGTTGGGGCTGCCGTTGGCTGTTGTTGGGTTCTTGCTTGATGCTGGACGCGGGACTCACCGCGTGGTTGTCCTGCGAAGTCATCATGTACTCATTGTCGTAGCCACGTGCAGCAGCAGCAGCCTGCTGCGACAGGGCCGGCGAGTGCTTGGAAGCCACGTCGCCGCCTTGCACAGACATGGGCGGTGAGGATAGTGTGTCGGAGAGGGAGAGGTCAAAGTGGAAAGGCTGTTGTTGGTGCTCGGATGGGCGGCCTCGGTGCTGCGATTGCTGAGGCGTAGGTGTTGAGGGATCCACCGCAGAGGGCCAGTTTGTCGATTGCGTTCTGTGGTGATGGCGCGGGCGTTGAGCGGCGGCGGTTGCCATCGATGCGGACGCCTGGGCTCCGAAGCCACCGTTCGAGCTGGCCATTTTGATGGTCGCCCTCGCCGTCCTGTCAAAGGCGTCGCGGCATGTCTCGGCAGGGGGGCACTTGTCGATCATGTCGGTGAAGACGGACTTGGCCGCCAGGACGGTAAAGTCCACCTCGTCCATGGTCAAGCAGCTGCGTACTGTGTGTGAGTGCCAGATGGCGTACAGGTACGAGATGCCTGCCATGAATAGGTGATGTGTCGAGAGGTAGGTGTAGCTCACCAACCCCGTAAGATGGAGCTGCCGATATATCCTCAAGATTTTCTGTCCTGCTTCCGCTACCTTGAGGTAGATCTTATCCTCGTCCTCTCTCGATTCCGCCGTGGTGAAGCCTTGGGGGCTATCCACCTCGTTTGACGTGTTGTACTCGCCCTCAAACATGGCTGGCACGCTCAGACTCTGGCGATAGAGGGTGATGATGGCCTGCCAGTAGTTCAGCTCAAGGAATTCTGTCGAGAATGCCACGCCCGTCTCGTGTCGCGTCGGCGCCGATTGCTTCCAGTTGAATAGTCTCTCATCGATGCTGCGCCGCCACGACCGGAAGGAATCGAACTGCACCAGGAATGGGGACGGGAGATGTGTGTGCATCTCGGGGTAGATGGTCCCTTGCGGACCCGCCTTGGCGATCTGTGACTGTTGGTACTGCAAGACCTGTAGGATCTCCGACTGTAGCATGCGGAGGCGAAAGTAGTGATGCGCAACATGCTTGTAACTCGGCAGCATCTCGTTGTTCTGCGGCTCCATGATGCCTCCGGGCGTGATGTAGTCGTCGTCCAGTATCGAGGGCAAGTCTGTCGTGATGACCTGGTCGCTGATCCCAAACGGCCGTCCGACGCACGTACTCACGAGCCGATCAAACGAGTACGTGCACCACCACAGCCGCCGCCTCATGTCGCGTATCCACTGTCGCCTACCTCGCTCCTGGGCACTGCCCTCTCGAGGTCGCGTGCTGTTGCCGTCCGTGACTTCGCCGTCCAGCGGCCCCTCTGGTAACGCTTCCACGTCCATGCCATCTTCACGATGCAGGCCCAGGTCCACGGCCAGTCGCACTGCCACACCTATAATGTACCACAGCCCTGGCGGCACGGGCCTCAAGAGCGCAAAGTTGGCCAGAAGAAGCACTGCCTGCAGGACCTCCAGCCCACCGCCCGAGTTGCTCAGGCAAGCCTCGAGATGGACAATGGCACTCGCATGGTACTCCTCCGGTTGGCACTGCCCGCCGTCGACGGCCATTCTCGACGTTTCGCTCTTGACTGGCTCCCCGACAATGACTCCGCAGCCAATCGCAAACACCATGTTGAGCACATAGGACTCTCTTGGGCCCAGTCCCTGCGAGGGTTGCGCATATGCAGCCTCGAACATCTTCATGAACTCGCCTCGGTGCATGATCGGGATCTGCGGATTCGCGTGCTCAAAGTACAGGGTGACGAGCCGCATGCCCACCTCACGGCTGGGGAACGTCGCAGGCTGGATGCTCGGCTTGGTATGTAACCCAAAGAATGAATCCCTCATGGACGTGCCGCTCGCGCCGCCGGGGTGTCGCCGGTCCTGCGGGTGCCCACTCTGGTCAGAGACGGAGTACTGCACGGCCGCGAAGACGACCCGCGCAAACGACACGCCGGAAGCGGAGGCGAGGGATTTCGGTTTCGACGAGATGTTCTGCATGGCGGGGCTGTGTGCGCTGCCACCCGCCGAGGCCGAGGCAGACGCCGGATTCCTCTTCTGATGGCTGAGCGTCTCGACGGCTGGGTTGCGCGGCCTCGCATCCTTGCCAGCACCGTCCTCGCCCTTGGCCGCGGGGCGCGAGCAGTTCTCGAGGTTCTCCGCCGCGGGGAAGTCGATGCCGTGGTCCCTCAGGAGCCCCTCGAGCTGCTCCACCCTGGTCTCCAGATAGAAGACGTAGCTCCGTGGGATCTCCTTCTTGGTGATGGGGTCGTAGCCGACGCAGGCGACGTTGGCCTTTGCGCAGCTTGCGCAGCTGGGGAGGCGCTGGTCGCATCTGTTCTTGCGGAGGCGGCAGCGGTTGCAGGCGCTGACGTTGCGGAAGTTGCTGCTGGCGGATGCCTTGGAGTCGGTCGACTGGTGAGGGGACGGCTGCTCGGCAGCGGTAGCGGTGGTGGTTGTCGTGGTAGAGGTCGTTCCGACTTCTTCGAGAGACGACTGTCGTTGGCGCTTGGAGGGTGGGGGTTGCGCGTAGGGCGATGAGGCATCTGGGGCGCCCATGGTCTCCCGTCAGCGAGAGGTCTGTTGCAGACACTGCTGGCTTGGAAGGGAGGGGGTGCCGAGCAATCGATCGATGCTCAGGATGAGATTGTCTTTCTATCGTGGGCAGGGCGCGCGGTGCGAAGGAGTGGTAGCCATGTCTATCGTTTGCCGCGATTCGTAGTTCATGTGCTGTCGAGGGCTAGTCAGAGAGCCAGCCGGTACGGTACGTAGAGTCGCGCGAATATGGTCAGGGGTGGGTGTGTGAGAGGTGGCTGCGCGCCGAGGTTGACGGGAGGTCGATACGTGTGGTTTGATTATCGTCGTGGGTTGGAGAGTCTTGGGACCGACCGACTTATCAATCAGCGTCCACCGATTGGGGGTCCAACTGATAAGCAGCACCGTGCACCAGCATCACGCACGTCCGGCCTTGTCGTTCGCCCCGCATTGCCTGCGTCGTTAATCGGCAGCTCGGGTTTATCAATGCATGCATTACATTTCCTCATTACTCGATGCTCGTGCAGGGAGGGAGTGAGGTGAGTCCGTCCAGCTCAGTTCACGCTGTGGCGCAGCATCAGCCACACCACGATACATCAGCCACCGCGTGGGGTTGAGTACCACCCGCGTGTAAGTGAGCATTTATGTACATGTAGCTATCAATTATATACAAAGCATCACCACGTCGTGCAATGAACAATGAGGATATGTAAGGTGGATTCATTACTAGGGCTGTCCAGTGCGTCGGATTGCCGGCCCTAGGTCCCCCCTCTTCAAGGCCGCCCTTGTCCTAGATATCTAAATGCCCAAATGCTACCCCTTTGCAATGCTGTACTCCGTACCTCGCTCCGCGAGAGGCCGTGGCAGGCCCCCTCGTCGCTGGATATACTGAAACCGCCCAAAGGGATAGTCCCAAATGCTCGCGGTACCAGTGCCCAAAAAAAACCATCGTCTATGTTGAGAAATCCACGCTCGTACCAAATGTGACCCAGAATGCTGCTGCGAAGGAAGAGAAGAAGAAAGAAATCAAAGAGTTGCAAAAAAAAAAAAAAAAAAAAAAAAAAAGGTAAGAAAGAAGAAAGAGAAATCGGCGCATAGCAAAACGCCGTTTCGAAATCGCTAAATCCAAGGGGGTATTCGCCACTGCATTAAGCAAAATGCATAGGTAGTGAATGAGAGACCGGTCGACAGTCTAGCCCATCCATCCAAAAAGGAGTATTACAAGTCGTAATTCCTAGTCTCTTTGTTTTTCCAGGTGCCAAACGCAAGAGTCGTATGAGTTGCCTCAGACGCTGTCGTTATCGTCGTAATCATTCAGGAGCCTCTCGTTCTCCAGAGAGCCCCTGCTGCTGGGAGGTGCAGACACCTCATCCTGGACACCTCCCTCGGTGATCTGCAAGCTGAGGTAGGCACCGGCGACCGTGATGAGCCCGCTGAACCACCACGCAAGCCCGGAGTAGCCTGTCTGCAGACCCAGCGAGTACAGAAGCCCGGAGATGGTGGGACCCAGCGCGCGGCACAGGCTCGCCGTCGACGCCGCGATTCCGTTGATGGTGCCCAGCACCTGCTTGGAGGGTGCCGAGTTGGCCAGCAGGATGGCGTTGCTGGGATACGCCATGGTCGAAAAGGTGCACTTCCAGATGACCAGGATGTACAGGGCCGGCATCACCATGTTCTTCGGAAGCAGGACCAGGTACGGTGTGACCAGGTACAGGGCAAAGTACGAGAGCGCGATGATCCGGAAGAGGCGGAGCGAGCCGAGGCGGCGTGTGACCGGCGCCACGATGAGGTAGTTGGAGACGAGCGAGTAGATGCCCTGCACCGCCATGATGACGCCAATCGTCTTGGTCTCGAGGCCAAACCCGTCGACAAACTTGAAGGGCAGCTCGACGTTGGGGTGTTTTGGGGGCGCCGTGCTGAGGAAGACGGGCAGAAGCTGATCAAAGGTCATGGTGTGGAAGGCCAGGATGCCGTACGACACAATGTTCATGATGACCGGCTTGGTGAAGATCTTGAAGCCAGGGCTACCGGGCCCTTGGAGAGGCGCGGCCTCCGCCGGCTCGGGGGTCGGTTGAGGGGTGAGTTGAGGCGAGCTGCTCTGGCTCTGGTACTCCGGCAAGCATTCATCGTCCGAACCCTCGTCGCTAAGCAGCGCATCTCGACCGAGGAGGCTCCCCTTCTCAGGTGACGCTTCAGCCGACGAGAACCGCCCGAAGCGGGGGCACTTGGATGCGAGAAAGTCGCCCAGTTCGCGTCCGCGGTCCCGTTGGTGCTTCTTGGTCGCATGCGTCTCCTCGAGGAAAAGAATGCCAATCACAACGCCCACAAAGACGGTGGCGGCGCTGAAGAGGTTAGGCAGGAGGTAGGGGAACCGGTCCCAGATTGTGCCGCGGGCGAAGATGTCGGGATAGCTCACGCAAGGGCGGGCCAAGGCACCTCCAATCATGGGTCCAACGATGGATCTGGTCTTGTTAGCTGACTTGGTCTCGCCAGATGTCAGCAGGGTAATTCGGCTTACCCAATGCACCAGACCATGGGCATGATTGTGTACGCTCGAGCTGTAAATCGCAAAAGTCAGTCGGGCTGAGCTCAAAGTAGGGCATATTTTCTGCGTAACCCGGGATGCTTACGTTGCTGCTCTTTGACGGTCACCAGCTCCGCCACAGTTGTCTGTAACACACCAATATTCCTGAGCCCCATTAGCTTCCATTGTCACACGCAACAAGGCAGCCTGGCAACATACCCGTTCAGTAAGCCTCCCAAAGCACGTGCAAACAGGGCAACCGGTAGGCTGGGGGCAAAGCCAAAGATCAGCACACTTAACGCAGTACCCGCGAGCCCAAAGAGAAGAACTGGCTTGCGGCCAATTCTGTCACTGAGCCGGCCCCAAAGAACACCAGTTGCGAATTCGGCGAGTGTGAAGGCGGAGGTGACCATGCCGGCGTAGACGGAGATCTTGCTGGCGTCGCTGGTGATGTGGAAATCCTCAATCATGTAGTAGATGTAGGGAAAGATGGACATGAAGGCAATTGGCTCGCATATGCGGCAGCATGCTGTTTCCGATTAGCCTCCGCACCTGAGAGAAACGTCCCGACCTGTTGGCTGTCCCATACCGAGCACAAACATCTGCCGAGCAGGAAAAGGAGGCGTGACAGCCTCAAGGCGTCTATTGGCGCCGCGCCTTCGGCGGCTGGCGACCGCACCGTATGTTGTCATGGCGGGCGACTCCTGGCAAAACTATGGGTGGTTCGGAAGACCCAGGCACCATACAAAAAAAGGTTCCTGGTGGTGAAGAGCTCCCCCCGTCGCTGGTGTTGGAGACGCGGATTGGTCGAGAGTATGTTTTGGTCGGCTGTTGAGATGCAAGCGTCGCAATATCGGGCTTTCCAGACTGAAGTAACGTGGAACAACAGGGCGTAATAATATGGTTGCGCAAAAGTCGGAATGACAAGCACAGCGGATGATGTCAATTTTCGGTCCGGGGCTGAGATTGTCTCGGTGCGGAAAAGGTGTAGGCGGCGCCGGATGTGGTGTAAGTGAGCAAGCGCCGAGTCGGATGAGACAGGCGCCGTTGCGACGGACGGTTGTAAGACAAGGCGGATAGCTGCCGAGTTGCACAGGGAGAGAGGGCGGAAGCAGACCAGACTAGTAGTCAGTCGTTGCAAATGTCAAGAAGGACGTGATTCTCAGAACAGGAGGGACGAGTTTCCAAGGAGAGGCGGAGGGGCGCGATCTAATATAACACAGTCGGGCCCAGGAGGCGCTGGCAATGCGAAAAAGCGACAACCCTGTCACCGACTGGAGTGTTCCCAAGTCATGAGAGAGCCAAAGGAAAGGGCAGCGCTATCCTCCTATCCACACATGCCATCCATCCGGGGTTGTTGTTAGTGAGCCCGGTGCGTGGGTACGACCCATACTGCGGGGATCCTATCCGGTATGAGGCGAAGGACTGGACGTGGGAAGGGGTGTCTTCTGAGAGATGAGGGCGGTGACTTGAGCCGACCAGGGGGGTCCCCTCGTGTCAGTCATTGTCTGTCTGTCACGTCCGGGTACGTACACTGGCGAAGCCGGCTGGGCTGGGCTGAGCCAGCGCAGGCAGACAAGCGCAGACCCGAAAAGGCGGTCATTGATCTGCTGGATCTCCCTCCACCAATCCCGAGCCCAACGGGCGTCCGTTCGTTTACCGCCTTCTTTTTCTTCTCCGTGACTCCCTCCGTGGAGTCTCCGTCCGTCAACAAGAAGATGCCACAGAGCGAGCAGCAAGCACAGCGGGGGACAGAAACAAAGGATCCGGCCGCCATTCCATTCCACCCCCTCTTGCGTGTACAGTACTGATCACTTGTGCATACCCGTCTGCGCCTGTGCCTGTGATCAGTAACTAATAGTAATTGACCGCATCGCACGGAGTACTGGTGAATAGGATCCGTCCGCAGAGGGCGGTCGTCACACAACAGGAGAGGTGGGTGCCACGCGCGCATCAAAATGCACAATGTACGCTGGCATGTGGCATTTCGCTTTCCTGACCGGCTGCACTGCGGCAACCAACGGCTGCCGCTGCCGCTGCATCAACAAACGCTTGGATTGCTGCTGGTTGCCTTGTTGTTATTCATGTTGTCCTGCTCATCGTAAAGTGCTTCACACTTGTTACAGCCTCGTTGGTGAACAGCAGCACCATCGCCAAGGCAAGGTAACCCGCCCGACAAGTCTCATGAGAGACCATCATGGCAGAAGGAAGCAGCTCCATCCCGATCAAGTATACACCCTCATCGCCATGTCTTTTCTTGCTTTGCTTTCTTGATTCTTCTCGCCGATTAATTAGGCCGGCAGCACCAAAGTCAAAAAGAAAGGGCTCTGCAAAGGCGCCGCCTCGAATCGAATCATTGGCGGGGCTTGAGCAGCGAAGCGCGCCTCGATCAAGCAGGGCGTGAGAAAACTGGTAGGCAAGGGCCAAGGTACCTCCACAGGTACATACTTGGCTGGGACCGACGACCGCGGGCTCCATACGGCCGGGCCAAGGTTCCACGGCCGGCGTGCATCTGCGCCAGCGCTCTGGTCGCCGTGGTCGCCGGTACGTATCCAAAAGCTAAGAGCGCGGATCTGCAGAGAACAGGGCTAGAAAACGGTCCACACCAATCACATGGACGCGAGCGTTGAAATTCAGCCAGAAGGGGGCGTCCAAGCAAGGGAGGGCGTGGGTGCCAGCCAGCTGTCAGTCGTCGTGTGGCTGTCCCGCCCGCCTGCTTGTCCTGGCAGCGGTCTGTCGGGACTCTGGAATCGCCCTGTCTGTCTGTCTGTCTGTCTGTCCGTCTGTCCGTCTGTTTGTTGTTTGCCTGCCTGCCGCCAGCCCAGTACAGCATTTTCAGGCATCATGCATACATATACACACGCGCGCACCACGCACGATATTGCACATTGCATGGCAGCTGTGCATCGTATCTGGCAGCAGCAACAGGGTGACTCGGTGAGATCATCACTCGAAAATAGTCATCGACGGCTGGCTGCATCCGCGGACTCTTCCCCGTCCGTCTGTCGGCGCCTGAGAGTCCTGAGTCCCTGACCGCGTGGTCACAGAGTGATTGCCTCTACGTACATTCGCCAACGCTGTGCGACACTCCACTCTGTGACATTTCGGACCTTCCGCGAGCCTGATGCTCTTGTCAATCGTCGCACTCCTGCGAACCGGGGCAGAGCAGGTCGGTCAAGGCATTTCCCGCATCACATGCTGTATCGTCACTTTGTCGGATGTCCATGTTGATTAGCCGGCCCGCGTAAATGATGTGCCATGGCTGCTGTGCCACAAAACAAGAGCACCGCATGGTTCGCAAAGGTTGGCTTTCGTCATCGGTACTCGGGGCCACTCCAGCTGCTAGCCGCTTGCCTGCTTTCATCCACAGGCCGGAAAGCAAAAGCAGCATCTTGGTACGTCTTATGCATGGAGCCAGCTGCGGAGAACTGCTGAATGTCTCACGCCAGCTCAGCACGCAAGCATGAGCTGTAAGCACAAGCTAAACAGCATTTTTTGGCCGCGACCTAGTTACTACGTATGTAGTTGGGTATCTGGCAACCGAGTCGTCGTCATGGTGGTGTGTCGCGGCGTGCGATCAGGCTGATCTGCTGATCTGCTGACACGATCGACTCATAGAAGCGGTGTGTGTATGACTGCAGACAGACGTCGTGCCACGAGTTTCCACGACCGTTTGAGCCAGTCATCGCAAACAAATTTTTAACGAGCTGGACTTTGAAACAGGCGTCTGCTTTCGAGAATTGCACATGGAGCGGGGTTATATTAAAGGATGAATCCGCCTACCCATGTCATCTGGGCAAGAGGGTCCATCATCATCCATGGTGTCGGTGTAAGTCGCAGACTCGCAGCGCGCAGCCCAACAACGGCTCGCAACAACCGTCGTGGCATCATCTTTCAGGCCTTGCTTTTGCTGTAATTTGTCATACCAACTTCGGGCTGTCGCGCGCTGGCGCCGACCAGAACTGCCAACATAAATGGAGTTGTTGCTCCACACATGCAAGGCGCCTGCCGGACGGGAGCCAGATCTGAAGATGCGGCGTCGCCTGGATAGGCTGCAGGCATGAGGTTGAAAAAGGGGCTGACTGGCTTCGACAGCCATCAGCATCCGGTAAGTCAGCCTTCACTGCCTTGGTGGCAAGAATCACATAACCCCCCGTGAGAGATGGCTGTCGACTGTGCATAGTGAACGCATCGATGATGAAGCGTTCGTAGACCGGCGGGATAAGTCCGCCTCGTTGATCTTGATCTTTCACACCTAATATAGCGTCCGAGTTGCCTGTCTCGACGAGTTCTCGCGGCGTCTCAGTACGCTGCTGATATACATATATATAGACCGACTCTCGCATTTGGCAACCAAGCTGGTTATGTGGCATCGCGACCGGCCTTTTGACGTTCCATGAGCCGTCTGATCGAATCTCACCTCAGATAATAAGAGCTCGTTGGTAACGTGACCAAGTCGCACCTTGTCCCAGGTTGCGGGATGTGGGCGAACACGCAACAGAGCAACGAAACGACACAGCGATGTAACACAACAGCCACGTGATGGCATTCTTCTGAGAACCCGATGAGGAAGAGGTTGCGTCTCTTTGCGTCAGGGACGGGCCAGCATCCCACCGTCGACGATCCAACAGTGACTGGCCTGAAAAATCCTCTTGCGAGCTGAACAGCGGATCCTTCCTCTTGGTACGATTCCATGCGGGTCATGCTGCGAGGGCCGCAGGACCCCGCGATCTGCGCGCGCTCAGACACACCTCTTGACAAGTCGCATGCGTCGCGGAAGAAGACCGGCAGGCATCGTAATTATGGAGGTTCGCGGGATTGACGATATACGTAGTTTCGCAACATTCCTGCAACCTCGGAAGCCTATGCGGTCAGGACTCAGGAGACGGACCACCTCCGTATCCATCACCAGTCACATTGTCTAGCGTGATTGGCAATTTGCAATTTGGCAACGACGCGGAGCAAGTCCGGACGGGCCATTTCGAGCTTCGACGACGCCACTCGAGTCGCCCAAAATTGCCTTTTCAGGTGATGTCGTCATTGCACAAGGCGGTTGGGGATCTGGAAGAGTGAACTGTGAGACTGGGCCCCTTTTGGCTGAGTCTGGACTTGGCAGGAAACGAGGGTTTCATCGTAAAACACGAGTCGCGGGCTCGCGAGTCGCACCTGGGTGACGGGTTTGCCGGGGATGTGGCCGGACAGCCCGGGGCAATAATAAGGAAGAGCTGCAATGTGATTAATAGCAAGTACAGTCCTTTTATTATTTGCTGGCAGGGAACGTGACATTGGCTCGCCAGCCCAGCCTTTGAACGCTTGAACGGTTCCGACAATCAATGTCGTGGTGGACGCAATTTCTTGCCCAAGCTGCAAGCTGAACTCGCTGATTTGACCGCAACCGGTGACGCGGCTCCTTGAACCATAGCTCGAGCATTTGCTCTTTGCGCCCGCTGGCCAGACTTTCCTTTGATTAGGCGAAGGACGTGAGGCCCGAGGGCGAGAAGCAATTAATTTGGTAAATTGGAGCCCGAGTCGCCCCGCCCACCATCACCCCTCTGGACCCTAGCTTGAGGCCAGGGGGAAAAGCCGACTGGCTGGAGGGCAGGCATGTTTCGCTGCCGAGTGGAGGGGCTAGGAGGGCAGACGGTTCTCCCGGCTCTCCGCTTGGGCAGAAAAGGAAATGTGCCAGGGGCAGAACATCCACAGTCCACGAGGCCCGCAGTACGACTGCGTACTTAATTAGCAGTACATGGTCGGTACCTGGCCGGTGGCTGCCCCAGCCGAGTGGCTTCCAAGAGGCTGGTTCGGTGCAGCTGTCAAACCAGGCCCAACGTGGCCGCATCGGTCATAATGGACAGTGCCGGCCGGCCCCAGGGGGAACCAAGCTGTCGGGTCCGTCCTCCTCCAAACAGTACAGGTGTCGGATTACCCTATTCAGAGTTCAAGGGACGTGAGAACATGTTCCAACCATGGCCTGCCAAGCTGTAGAAAGAGTCCAAGTCGGCGTTACACGGTACGACACATTGAATTTTGACTTCCGCTTTGTTTGATCTTTCATGCTGGTTTGCAGGGGAGGGAGGGTATGATAAGCCAGAGACGTACCCGGATCATTGGCGCGCTTGTTTGGTCGTGGGATGATCCCCTAGCGACGAGCCAGTTTGTAGATCACCGTCTTAAGTGATGCTGACACTGACTGTGTTTTTCTTGCTTGATACCCTGGCCGAGCTCCTTCTGGTGTATTAGGCTTCTGCCGCTCTGTCAGCCCAACAAGTGGCCAGGCGGGACGTTTCGAGATCGACGGTCGAGCTGCACCTTTGGCAAGGGATTTAACTTTATTAGCTAAAATCGTTCACGGGGAGACCCTCCAAGTCATCCGGTTGGGCCTGGGCACCTGCACGACATTTCGCCGGAATTCTGGGCACCAGTGGTTGCGTTTCTCGTTGGGTCTTGTTCGTCATGGTTTTTGTTAAGGTCAAGGGTGGTGATCGGGTGGTTTGTGCGTGCGTGCGCGCTCGTGACTCCAGTTGTGAGTGTGTGAGAGGCGGAAGGCGACGGACGGCGCCTGCCTGCTGCACCTTTGGCGGTTCGGGGAATCTCACAGACAATCCGCTCCAATCATGTCAGAGAAGGAGGCGCGTAGTGCAGTTCTGGCTCCACCGGGGAAAGAACGCCGAGCTAGTCTAGTACCTTACCAACTTGAAGTTACCAGAACTTCTAAAAATTCTCCGTAGTAACTCGACAAAAAGACAAAAAAGAAAAGAAAAAGATGGCCTGAGAGTTCATTATCCACATCACGCTGCATTGCGGTTTATTAATACGTACTGGCGATTTCCACGGAACAAATCCGTAGCGCGAGACAGACCATCCCAATCGCTCGAACCCAACAACTACGGTTTACTATGGTACTATACTCACCAAGTTATAATATGACTGGGCATGTAAGATCCAAGTTGTACCCTAAGGTAGGTACAAACCAAGGTACTTGGGCCTGGTAGGTGACTTTGGAGCAGCTCAATTGACCGGCTTTCGAAACTGTGTTCTGCACGTCTGGGCCGGAGCTTCGCCCACCCACTTTGAGCGAGAGAACTGCGAGTAGATCTGTGACATCCAACTTGGAAGATCGCCCGCTCAACTCGAGGCATTGTTGCGTGTGAAAGCTGGCATGCACATCGCCGGTTCCTCACACGAGACTTCTCCTTGGCGCCGGTTGGTGTGCTGGTCCGATGCGCCTGGGTCATTTGGCATCACGCAGAACATTGTCGATGCAATGTGATACCAATCAGGACGTTCAACCCGACTAGGAGCCCAGTTCAGCAGTTGCGCTCTCAATTCGATGCACATGCAGGCTTCTTCTTCTACGCCTTGGCGACAGCACGCCGTCTAGCGCCTCGGTTTGCCGCATATTGTTCTTGGCAAGCCTGGTTCTTATTATTACTGTTCCCAGCACTCGTGGAATGCGAGCGTGGCTACGGTCACTGGAAACGCAGATTGTCACAGGGCATGACTGCCTTGGACTCGGCGGCTTATGGCGAAGCCTATATCGAACCCTCCGAGACAACTAGTGGCGGCATTCGCAAATCGCAACGTCGGCCCAGATACAGACATTGACGAGAGTCAGCGATGCGCATCAAGGATGAGGGGGGAGCGTATCCGTCTATGTCGTTGACATGGTGGTGATGTACGCAACAATTTGGAATCAACTATCAAGGCGGCAGCCTGCGGCGCGCGACGCCTGTCGACGCAGGGCCTGGCTAGGAGACGATCGCCCGCGTGCATTGGTCTGGACGGATGATGCGAACGCGGTCAAGATTTATGAAGCTGCGTTGCTATCTTGAGTTCTCGGTCAACAGGGATTGGCAAGCCACAGCAAATCACCATCGCCGCCGCATTGCGGCACAGAGTCCGCACCCTTGTTCGGCTGGCGAGGTGGTCACCCGCCTCGCTCATCACGGGTACTTGCAGTTCTTCCTCGGAGCCGCACTGAATTTCTGCAACCCAGAGACTCGACATATCTCAAGCGGACCGGGGAGGCACAGCAATGTGAAAGGCGAGATATGATACGTGCGGCCCCAAGGGTCGAGAGGAACGGAGTATTGACCTCTAGTGGGACGATATGCCTGGGCCCTGAACTAGGGGAACGGCCGGGGCATGAAGCGCGTGCGTGCTTCGTCAGATCTCACCGAGCGTGCGCCCGTCCACTTGCCGCCTGTGACCATGCCTCACGTTCTCGTTGGTGGAGGGCAATGCAGCAAGAGCAACTAGTTACTAGACTCGAATGCACCGCCCAAGGCTCCCACTTGGCGACGCCAGATACCGATCGCGCTAAGCCTGCGAAGATAAAATGATGGCATGGGGCACTGTTCTGCGAACATCTGCCGCTCGTAGGCAGCTATGATTGATCATCGACGAGCAGTACCGGGCGCTCGATCTTCATGCTAAGACTGGCGGTGACATCTTGTGGCCGACAAGTGTACAGACTGGAGCTACTGCACCTGGACTGCCTGGGAATTGGAGGACGTCCTGTTTGCCTCAACAAGACAGCCTTGAGGTCTGGAAGACACTGCGAACGCCATGCATACCACCCCTGGAGCCAGCTTCCCCGGTGTGGCACAGTGGCATCATGTGCAACGGGAGAGCCGATGAACCTGTCTTGGCCATTTGTTTGCGTCACACAAAGTCCATGCCTCGCCGCCATGTAATGATTGCTGGTCTGGCCCCTGTGACACTTTGGTTGGAGAGGCAGGGATGGCTGCAACCAGCATCAGTTGAGGCTGAGGCAACCCTCATTACCTCGGACTTACCTGAGTGGCCGTAAGCGAAGTGACCAACCCTTGCCAGTAGGTTCAGAGGCCCTTGAGCAATGAGCTGTTCATTAATGGCAAGATTAGTCGAGCAAGTCGCGGGCTCGCGGGGTTCGACTCTGCCCAGTGCCGACAGTACCGCGCTGCAACCCCATGTCCCAGGGGTGATCATGATGTTGGCGACGGCATTTGGTGCATTGGTTGGCTCCGCTGTGACGACCAGGGACCGCGGTTGATAGAGACTGGACGCACCTGTCTTGCTTAGCGCGTGAGGGTTTCGTTGCTGTCCTCGTCCTCGAGCGTAAATTCAAGCGCGCAGCAGGGGGCGGCTGGAGTCTGGACTCGATTTTGATAACTTGATGAATGATGTCTCAAAGGATAGGGCTGGGCCGCATGCAAGCCTCTGCAATGCACCATGCGCAACGTGAGATTTTAGCTTGTCACTGGCAAGGGCCTGCGAATTTTTGAACGGCATTGATCGGCTCTGGGTTCAGCATCAGTCTGTGTCGGGTTTGTAACTTCGTAGTTCATGAAGATTACCTGGTACATGTATGGGTGTGGCTGAAGGTAATTGGTTGTGGCTTGCTACTGGTCAGCCACAACAATCTTACCTGACGACGTGGGTTCGACTCCAATCGTTGCCGCACGCCACAAAGCCTACAGCTCCGTTTTGAGCAGCTCGTACATGTCCTACATGCAACCTTGAACAAGAAGCACACGCCCTGAACGTCCGACGATCTACTCCATCTCACACGAAACTCCTCACCGCCACTGCAGCCGCAGCGATGGCCGGCAAAAAGGGCGAAAACAGCAAGAAGGTGGCCGGCAACGCAAAGAAGGCAGAGGCAGCGGCACAGAAAGCTGCCGCCGAGAACGCAAAGGCTGAAGCCGCCGAGTCAGCCGAATGGTCCAAGGGTGCCAAGGGCGCCGGGAAAAAGTGAGAGACACTGCACGGGCCAGCGGATCATCATCTTTGCTGACGCATCGCTACAGGGAAGCGGAAGCGGCTAAGAAGGAAGAGGCTGCCCGCAAAAAGGCCGAGAAGGAGGCGCTGCTCAAGGAAGAGGAGGCCAACACCCCCGGACGAAACGAACCGAAGAAGACCAAGGCGCCCGTTAAGAAGTCGCGCGGTCTTGATCTCGGACAGCTCGACGACAATGGCAACGGCACGGCTTCGGCGCTGAACGCCACGGGCATCGACAACGCCCTGGATGCGCTGTCCCTCACCGCAGCGAACGACGATGGCAAGGTCGACAAGCATCCCGAACGACGATACCCCGCCGCGTACGCCAAGTACGAGGAGCGCAGGCTGGCAGAGATGAAGGCGGACGGCAGCGGAACGGGTCTGCGCCTTGACCAGCGCAAGACACGCATCAGGAAGGAATTCGACAAGCACCCCGACAACCCCTTCAACCAAGTCACTGCAGCGTACAATGCCAAACGGTCAGATATAGACGAAATCAAGCAGGCGGAGAGGGACAAGATCGAGAAGCGCCTTGGAAAATGATCGGGTTGGCTCAAGTTTGACATGACCATGACGATTCAACGAGGGGTATGATATAGAAACGCATGGTGAGACTGGAATTGCGTAGCCAGGATATAAAGAAAAGGCCCTATATATCGATCGCGTCCTTCATCCCTTGAAGATAGTCACAAGGAACATCTAATAGCCAAATGCTTCTTTCGATGCCGCTTCTTGAACACCGTCGACCTTCGAGGAACCCCGCCAAATGCCCCGCGATGTCTTGGCGCCATCATTGCTCGGCAGAACCACACACCGCCTTGCCCTGACCGCCGAGTTCAGGTTAGCTCGCAGATCACTCTAAGGTATCTAGCCGGAGCTCACCTGTGTCTTATTGTTGACTTTGATCCAACATAACGGGGTGAGCGTCGATCGCCTGGATAAGATGGTGCCTCTTTCCATGGGAAGCCTGCCGTCGGTGCGTCGGCAGCATCTTCTATCAGAGTTGTAAGATCATCCATATCAAATTAGGGAATAGCTTCACTAACGGTATGGTATGAAGTGCGGGCCTGAAGCAAGCCTGCCCCGAAGGGGTGTATGTCAGCCTCACACCAGGCGATCCTACTCTATGGTCGGCCGTGCTCTTTGTGCGCGACGGTACAGGCATTGTCCAATCCACGAGTAGCTTGCGGATACAGCACTGACGGAGATCCCAAGGCCCTTACGCACCTGCTGTCCTGCGGTTCCACATCTCATTCCCCAGCTCATATCCAAACTTGCCGCCCGTCGTCACGTTCTCATCCGACATATTCCATCCCCTTATTACGCCCCTGACGACATACATGTACTCGACTGATGTACACGAAGGTGGTACAGCAAGCGCTACTGATGATGAGAGGTTACCACCAGGGGGATTCAGCTTGCGCCACGGCTTCCCGCACTGGTTTGGACGTGGCAATCGTAACGGGCCGACGGAAGATCAGAAGATCCATGAGAAGCAGATGCTGGCAACGCCAAAGCCGGTTGGGCACGCCACAATGATCACGCCCGAGTCAGCAGGGAAGGCAGCGGCCGCCAGCTACACGAAGACGAGTACCAGCCATGTGTCAGCTTATGACATCTTGAAGTACATCCGTGGTACGTTTGATGACGAGGAGTTGCTAGACGCTGTGCCGTTGGAGGCAGCTGGCAATCCTGGTGCATGGCACGCGTGGCGTACCCATCGTCGGAAACTGGGTAAGATCCGTGACGAGCCCGTGCAAGACCAGGATGGAGCGGATGCCGCTGCTAGTAGCACCATCGAGGAAGACATCCCAGCGTCCGCTTCTGATCAAGACCCAAAGGCAAGATCGCAGAGTACGGTACGCAAGCCCGGGGAGTGGAACTGGGAGGGGGTCTGGGAAGATCGCGTTAGGAAAGGCGTCCAAGCCAGTCTCTCTGAGTCCGTGTTGTACGGAGGGGCTACAGCACTCCCCGATGAGCTCGTGAGTAGGGCCTCATTCTTCTGTGAATCACTGCTGATCATTCAGATCAAATTCTTGCCTCTGGAGGAGAGCGAAGTAGATTCTGTGAAAGAGAATATTCGCCGCACTCTTGGGGCCTCAACCTAAGACACTCTACCATACCACGATACAGTCAACAGCTGTCTACTAGTAGGGTACTAAATTGCCTCGGGTGCATGGGCTGTTTGAAGTTCCTTCCACCTGGCCGAACTGCTCTTTCCACTTCCTTTCCGGGGTTTCACTTGCCTCGGAATTCTAGGTCTGTTGCACTCATCCTTCCTTCATAATCCGCCTTACTTGCCGGGCTCGAGACTGGTCTCCCTGGTTTCTCTCCTGATACAAATGGCTGGAGGATCACTGAGAAACACGGAGTCTTGCCCCTTTCTGATACTAAGCACTCCCAATGTTTGAATTTCTACACAACCTTTGTCCCAGCGTGGACTGCCCAGAGTTACCTTCTTGCTGTCTCTGTCAACCAGAGACGAGAAAAAATCCTTGCATAGTCATTTCTGCAGTCACTATTGTCGCTTGCGTCTTCATACTCACGGCAGCTCTCGCGGCACCACAAGTTCTACCCGTATACAAGTGTTCCATGCGCGCTGAAAGGAGTACTGCATTGCCAGTGATCACACCACAGCGTCAGGAGAGTCTAGAACCAAGGGATAGGCCCTTGACTCGTCGAGATTCGTGGGGAAGCCTCACGAGCTGTGACTCTCCAATAGCACGAGGCCGCCGGCACCCAATACCTCACGTCCATATTCCAGAGCCAGATACGCCACTCAGCTATTCGGCGGTATGGCGTCCACCACGAACGAATCACCTCGCGTGGACTTTCAGCAGCGATGGCAACCCGACGAACCTCGACCCTTACACATCGTCAAACGGAATAGCAGTGCCACCTCTGCAAAGCATACCTGCACAACAAGCAACTCGAACATGGAGGGAAATGCCAAAGCGGATGCGACAGACGAACCGGACCTGGCCATCGTGAAAAGGAGAAGTGGCAAAGCTCGGCCTGCGGAGGTCTTGAAGGACGAAGACGTATTCTCCAACGCCGACATGGATCTTGAGCCCGGTGCGCCAAGCGTTTCATGGGGCAGTTAGGGGCCACTGTCGCGTAGGCATGGTATAGCCGGGGCGCAGAGTCTGAGAGTGAGGAAGACACGCGCGAGCGAGCCTTGCGTCGGTGGAAGATCAACAGCACAAACCTGTGCCGCGTCTACCCTTGCGTCATATCGCCAAAGCAGAGGCGAGATTCCCTTTCCCTGGGTCCGATCGCCACAAAACCATGAGACTACACGAAATTCGGTACCTGCTTGGCAACAGCCGCATCGTCAAGGATCTTCGCTCAGCGGTTATACCCGTAGAGAGTCTTGTGTTCTGTGTCCACAAGTCGAAGTCACTACAGAGTGCGCGTCGCTTGATTATGACCAAAAACAGCTATGGATTTGTGTGGAGGTACTTGGTAAATTGGCCAGAGTGTCGGGGCGATCCTCGTCCAACAGCACGAGCAGCACCAACAAGGACAACACCGGCGGTGTTCTGACCGGCTGCTTTATTGATCATGAACTGGGTACATACCCTCAAAGAGGCCATTTCGGAGGGAGTGACTGACATGTTGCAGACCGCTTCTTCGATCATGGCTGTTTGTATGACCTCACTGTAGACGTTCTACCAGTGCAAGACACATCGATATTACAAGTCATTACGGAGCAGAGCTTTCCCACGTATGTGAAGAATGAAATTGCGTGGAAGTGTCTAATTATCTGCAGCACCATTTATGCAGGATCCAGCGTGCTGTTGTTGGCTCACATTGCAATTGCTCACGAGCTTCCGCCGGCTAGTCATGGCCAGCACATACGCCAGAAGTCTAATGAACTTATCGAGGATCTCGAAATGAAGTTAGGAGCCTTGCAGCTTGCCTACGCAAAGATCAGGGTATCGTTTGCGCACTCTGCGTTTCCAGCATTCGACCAAACAGAGTCTGTGGGCGGCATATCGGCCATGAGCAGCAGAATGGAGACCGTCGCCACGGCCAAACTTAGACGGTACGATGCCTTGTCTCCATGGTCACCTCGTCCAGCGCCTGCGCCCGATCTTCTCTCTCCTTTGGTTAAGAAGCACTGGGGTCCAAACAAGGCAAGGGATGTGATGCAACAGGTTTCGGCGGGGAGATCCGCGCCGGCTGGGCATGGGCAAGCTGGAGCTTTGTCCTACAACATACAGTCACAACAGCGATCGGCTAGCCCTGTTCAGATGCGCCACGCGCCTCCCGCTATCCCACACAGACAGACAAGCTTGCGAGGAGATGCTACGTTCAGCTCCCATCGTTCGCGGGGTACAAGGAGCGTGGTACCTCGAGCGAGCCACGGAGAGAGTCCGCGGCGATCGGGACAGTCAGAAGCTGGATCCGTGGCAGACCAAGGCTTGTTCCTGCCCACACTTGCAGATTTCGGATTGATAGGTCGGGTGACCACTAGATCACCCTGCAAAACAAGCGTCAGGTCAAAGAAAGCAGATGCAGGGCGGTGGAGTTGGGCCAGCTGGTTTTAGCCTGGGAGCAGGTACCATCCGAGACATGATAACAGAAGATAACTTGAAGTGTTTAACTTGGCTTGCGCTTTTTGACTATCAGTATGTTCCTGTGACTACTCTAGCTCATCCTTCCAAGGAATAGACACTTGGGCGCCTCTCTTGGCAACTGTCTTGGCTGCTGCAATATTGGCATTCCTGACGGCCGTCTCAATGTCGAAGCCTTCCTGCACCACAGCCAAGGCGTACGACCCAGCAAAGGTGTCACCTGCCGCCGTTGTGTCCACGACGGTCGTCTTGAGCGCGGGAACCAGGGCGCGCTGACCAGCCTTGGTCACATAGTAGACGCCCCGCCCGCCCAGGGTGATGATCACATTCTGAACACCCCTTTGGATGAACAGGTTGCCTGCGGCCTCCAGGCCTGCATCCGACTCCAGCTCAGACTCGGAGACACCCGAGAGAAGGGCGGCCTCGGTCTCGTTGACGAGGAGATGGGCCAGACCATCGTAGGCGGAGGCAGGGAGCTCGACAGCGGGCGCAGGGTTAAGAAGAACGGGGACGCCGGCTTTCTTTGCGGCGTCCAGGGCTTGCAGGACCGTCGGGAGGGGGATCTCCAGCTGCATGATGAGGAGATCCGGTCGTGGCTCGGGGAGGCTCGCAAACTGTTCCGGCTGGAGGGAGTAGTTGGCCTCGGGGGAGAACATGATGCGGTTCTGGCCGGTGGGCTCGTCGACGACGATGACGGCCACGCCCGTCTTGGCGCCCTCCAGCTGGGCGACGCCCGCCACATCGACGCCATAGGAGGTGAGAGAGTCTGTGAGGATGGGGCCAAAGGCGTCGCGGCCGACGGCGCCGATCATGGAGACGTGGGCAGACGGGTTGGCGAGCGTGGACGTGCGGGAGAGCTTGGCGCAGGCGACGGCCTGGTTGGCGCCTTTGCCGCCGGGCGAGGTGTTGAAGTGGTTGGCCGTGAGAGTCTCACCGGGGAGGGGATGGTGAGGGACGTAGGATACTACGTCGATGTTGAGGGAGCCGAGGACTGTGATGCGTGGGAGGGCCATGGTGTCGGTTGCGGGAGGACGTGAACTGTCTTATACTGTATGCCTGGGCAATCTACTATGTGAGAATGAGAGATCTGAGTGAGAAAGGCAGATCGAGGTGAGCCCGTACAAGTGTCGAGTTGCCTGGCTGGAGAGTATCTGATAGTTTCCTCGGTGGCTGTGAAGATGAGCGAGTCGTGGTGCACTGATAATTAATTACGTCGACGCTGTGAGATGGAGTTGCAAAGCTGTGGTCCGTCACTCGGCCTCAAGCGGGTCTCGTGGATGCTCCACCAAGACATTACATATCGTGATGCGACTCGGGGACGACGGCCTTTTGCCCGAGCATGGTGGCACTGTGCTCTCTGGTGTGAAAGACGCATCAAATACAGTGTCAACACAGTGCCGGTACATTGCCGAGCATACCAGCGCTGCCCTAGCTCTGGTTCCACAACAGTGACCACTTTGCATGGGCAGCAACGTAGAGTTGACAATTCCATGCGCGCACAGTATCCGCGGTCAATCCGGACAATTCCCCTCGTCGTGACTTGCGAACAGCAATACCATGGGTTTGTACAGAAGTGCTTCCCTCGTGACGTAGATGAGCACTCGGCGTAGGGCTTGAAGCCGAAACAGGAGTCCCTATATGTTGGGCATGAGGAAGATGCTGCCACTGCCAGACATCCTGGACCTAGAATAGCCTAGGAAAGCCTTCAATCAGTGCAGCGATCACACCAAGATTCCACTGCACCAATGGCTCAGAGACGTTTCAACGGTTAAAAGTGCCACAGAGTACAACGTCCTCACCAAACGAGTGCCACTTGACGCGTGATAGCCGGCCGGCTGGTACGGGTATGCCTTCCTCGTCTTGGACTCGTTCCGGTGACACGACCACGCCGCCTTGGCCGAGCCACGTGGGTGCGATGGTGACAATGACCGAGTCAATCAAGTCCTGGGCATCTGGGTGAAGCAACGTGTTGATGATGCGACCTCCACCCTCCACCATGACGCTCGTGAGCCCGTTCGCGCGCAAGACCTCCAAGATTGATGGCCAGCTGAAGCGCATCCGACCGTCAGATGAGACTGACGGTACTGGATCGACATGGATAAACCGACCGCCGTGCGCCTCGAGTACTGCCGCGCTTTCTCGAGGTACATCAGCCGGCGCGACACCCGTGAGCACAAACGGCGCGAGCCCCTGCGCAGCTCGACTCAGCTGGAGGACCTTGTCCGAGTCCGAGGGTGTCCAGCGCAGATGCGGATCAACGACGATGGGCCGGGGCTGCGACGTCGCGCCCTCGATGCGGCAGTTGAGGCCAGGGTCGTCGGCTAGCAGCGTGGAGACGCCGACTAGGATGGCGTCGTGGCGTGATCGCAGGTAATGTGTCATGGCCTTGGACTCGGGACCCGAGAGGCGCGTGCGCACGCCAGGCGCCAGTGATAGTGACGAATCGAGTGAGGTCGCAAACGTCAAAGTCACAAAGGGCTTTTGATCTGCTGGCGTCGGACCACCTGTGGTGGACGGCAAGTATGGCTCAATGGCATCCTTGCCTGGCGTGGCGAAGGTGAGCTGTTCAGACATGTTATGCTGAATGAGAGAGTCGCAACACAGTGTCAGAACACGTACTCATACGCCTATGTCGGTATAACGATGTGTGAGTTATGTGCAGTTTCGTTCGAGCTTTGTTGGTGGAGGTGTCATCGTTGAAGCTGACCGACTCCACTGGTCCGGGGATTTGATAATGAACATATTCCCGCCAAGGCCACGTGAGCACGCGGATTCGAGATGGCACACATTATTTCACAGCTTCAGCACGAATTCAGTATTGATCATGAGACCACTTAGTCTATCTTTTATTGTCTGACTTTGGATGCGCAGTTTTGAATATGGGGTTCCCGTCGTCGTCGAATTCCGCCCACTGGAAGAACGCGCACCCCTTCTTCTCCGGAATGTTACTCGCGTGACACATCCAGAAATATTTCCCAAAGTTCTCCTTCTTGCGCTGGACAACCCGGAGAACGCAGGGTACGTCGCACGTGCATCGGGGTGTGAATCGGGGGTGCATGTTGGCGCGATAATCCCTGTAGGTGATGTTGATCCTCTTGTTGCCCGAGACGGGGTGAGGATCAATCGACAACGCGGGAGAGACGCTGTGCTTCCACTCCTCCTGCATTTCTGCGTGCATCACGAGCAAAGAGTTGTGTGGCAGGTGGATGGAGACCTGGCCCTCGGCGTCTCCGTTGTCTGGTCCTTTGTCGCCATCGTCCTTTGGCAACACTCGTCGTACACGGAATTCGCGGGCGACGCCGAGCGACACGGACCCTATGACAGCTCTTGGGCCGAGGTATGTGAGTTGATCACAGTGCCACCCCACGCTTTCCTGTGGCCCGTTGTAGCAGTTGACAAAGGCAGAATTGGGGACCCAGGTCTCTGGAGATTGAAACTGGAGCTTCCGACCTCCAGGATAACGGGTCGCGATGCGGTTGGTGATCTCCCGGTTAACGGCTGCCTGTACTAGAGGCTTCACCGCGACAAGCTGAGGCGTGATCCTGCGGACGTCCTGCCTCGGTCGTCAGTACTTGGGATATAGTCGCCGTATATGACGCTTACCGTCAGCCGCGCCCCGTTGTAGTGATAGTCTGTCTTCTGTCGCTGGATCTCGTCATAGCTTTCCACAAAGAAGCTCGACGTGTGCGGACTGGAGACCACATTGTCAAAGAGCTTGAACGTGCTCTTCTCAAACGTTTCAGCTTCCTGTAGGAGTTCCCGCAGCAGCTCATTCGCAAGCTCAGGTGGCAGGAAGTTATGGATGATGGTGCAGGGCGTGTGCTCCGCCACATTCTCCGGGTCATACAGATGCAGCGTCACTCCTTTCTTCGACTTTGACTTTTTATGGACCGGAGCACCGGGCGCTGTGGAACTGGCAAACTGCCTCAAGGACCGCTGGTATCCAATTGTGCCGCTGCTCTTGCGAGGAGTTGGGGGTGCTCTGAGCGCCGCCGACGCCTCGTCGACAGATCCTTGATGTGCTATGAGAACGTCGAGCAAGACTTCTTGTTCGAGGGCCGGGTAGAGCGATGCCAAGATGGCAATCTTCACTTCGGTGGGCTCTTCCGCTTCGACATCTGAGCTGGCCCCAGCCGCTTCAGGGCTCTTCTTGCGCTTGGTGCCTCTCAAAAAAGCCTCCATGATTCGGGCCACCGGCCATGAGCCTTGCGCCTTGACCTGCAGCACGACATGGGCGTCGATAGGGATCCTTATCGTATTGCACAGAGTGGAGTGAAGCCTTGTGTCCTGGCTTTGGAGATTTGTCCAAGATGACGCGAGGAAGGTGCAAGACGCTGACGCGCGTTCACGTGACTAAATGACTCCCCTCGGTGCGTTGACAGCGTGGGGTAAGTCGACGGTGCAGATCAATCATTGGACGCTGTGACGTAGGCGGGCCGAGGCACATGCTGGCTATTCATCCCACTGCTACCATCAACTGCTGCCATCAACATCAATCATGTCCATAGCGCCGCGATACCACCAATTATAAGAATACGATTCTCAATGCGCCGGAGGGTCCTCGCACGCCACTGCCTCCATGGCCGCCATGCTTGAGTTCCGAACGCAAGGCTACAACCCCTACGCCGTCAAGTACTCGCCCTACTACGACTCCCGCATCGCTGTCGCATCGTCCGCCAACTTTGGCATCGTCGGCAATGGACGGGTATACTCCCTGGGCTTGTCGGCGCAAGGCATCCAGGTCGAGAAGACGTGGGTCGCACCCCGTCGCTTCCCGAGTATGGAACTCCAGCTGATCGATCACGCGCAGCTTTGATACCAACGACGCCCTATACGACCTGGCATGGTCCGAGATCAACGAGAACCAGCTCGTCACGGCCTGCGGCGATGGCTCGCTCAAGCTGTTTGATCTGGGCGTCGATGACTTCCCGGTCATGAACTTTCACGAACATAAGCGCGAAACGTTCTCTGTCGCTTGGAACCCCGTGACCAAGGACACGTTCATCTCAAGCTCGTGGGATGGCACCGTCAAGATTGTACGTCGCCCCCCTGTCATCGGCCGACTTGCGCAAAGAAGCTAACACCAGGACAGTGGTCTCCCACGCGCAACCATTCCATCAAGACGCTGCCCATCGGCAATTGCACCTACAGCACCGCATTCTGCCCCTCGAACCCGGCCTTGATATCGGCCGTCTCGTCCGACTCGCATCTCCGCATCTTCGACCTGCGCACGCCGTCCTCGGCAAAGTACCATCTCGTATCGACGGTGCCTGTGCACGCCGCGCCGGCCGGACCTTCAGCCCAGGGACCTTCAGCCCAGGCAGCCCCGGCCGAGGTGCTCACGCATGACTGGAACAAGTATAACGATACTGTGATAGCAACAGGCGGCGTCGATAGGATCTTGCGCACTTTCGATATCCGCAGTCCAACGGCCGGTCCACTGTCGTTGATGCAGGGCCACGAGTACGCCGTGCGACGGCTTGCGTGGAGCCCGCACGCCAGGGATGTCTTGATCAGTGCCAGCTACGACATGACGGTGCGGCTATGGCATGACAATGCGGGACCGCCGCAGGACTTGGCCCTGGGCCCGCGACTCGGGCAGCAGATGGGCGTCATGAACCGGCATACAGAGTTTGTGACGGGCGTGGACTGGTGCCTCTTTGGCATGGGAGGCTGGGTGGCTTCCGTCGGGTGGGATGAGCGAGTGCTTCTGTGGGACTCCAACATGCTGATGTCTGGGAGATGAAGGCGGAAAAAGATAAGATACCACGCATGCATGGCACGAGGAAGGCGAAATAAGAACTGGATCCAAAGGGCGTTTGCGAGGCATGGCATGATAGGAACATCAGTATAGATAAGCTCGCCGTGCTCTGGTTTGGATGAATAAAACATTGATGCATTAAGAAATCTAGATCGTGGAGATGTGCCACGCAGGCAAAATTGCCTCCCTGAGAAAATGGTTACGCCGTCCCTATATTGTACACACAACCGACTCCCAAAAAGGCCATACTTTTACACTGCCGCCAAGTCATCAGACATGCCAATATGCAATAACAACACAGGTAGAGATACAGGATGGGAAATGCGAGACTGGGTGTCCAGTCGCTTGCGCCAACATTTACCATTGGCCTCCGGAGCCGCCGTCACGACCGCCATCGCGACCGCCTCCGAAGCCACGGCCGCCGCCGTCACGACCACCGCGGCCTCCTCGGCTGAAGCCACCGCCGAAGCCGCCGCCACGACGGCCACCGTCATCATCACGGCGGCCCTCGAAGCTGCGGCTGAAGTTGTCGCCACCGCGGCCACCTCGGCTGAAGCCACCACGACCGCCGCGTCCGCCACGGTCATCGCGGTCCGAGTGCATACGCTCGCCAACGTTGATGAAGCCGCTCCGGTGGTCAAGGCCAATGTTGCGCACCAGCGACGGCGACAGGGGCGGGGTCTCGGACCAGCCCCAGCCACGGGTCACCCAGTAGTGCAGATCCTCGGCCAGCTCCTGCTTCCGCGAGGCGGTGCCGAACGAGGAGCTGTAGGCGGACGACAGCAGGGACTTGGGCACCATCTGGACAATGTCCTTGAACTCCTGAAAGTGCTTGGGCAGCTCGCCCTCGGCAATGTCGGCCTCGGCGCTCTCGAGCGACTGGTCCTGCTTCAGCGGCAGGCCGTTGAGGAGCTTCCGCGCGGCGTTGACCTCGAGCGGCGTCAGGATGAGCCAGCCCTCACCCTCCTTGTTCTGGCGACCGGTGCGGCCGAGACGGTGGATGTAGGATTCGCGGTCGCGGGGCGAGTCGATCTGGATGACGTGCGTCACGTTGGGGAAGTCCATGCCACGGGCAGTGACGTCGGACGAGAAGAGGACGCCGGACCTGCAGCGGCGGAACATGTCGGCCGCGCGGGTGCGCTGCATCTGCCCAAGTTTCGAGTGGATGGAAAACGTGCTCATGGCGGTCATGCGCTCCTTCCGGCGCTGGAAGCCGACCTCGCCGGCCAGCTCGGTCAACGAGGTGGTGTTAAAGTACACAATGGCCTTGAAGGGCTTGCGCTCCGGGTCGGCCTCGGCCGCCTCGTACTCGCGCTCCATCAGCTCGAAGAGGGTGGGGAAGACGTTGGCCCACGAGGAGACGGGCACCACCTTCTGGGGCACCTTGTCGTGGGTCAGGGACTCGTTCTCGGGGATGGTCTGGACGAACTCAAAGTCGTCGGCGCGGACCATGGTGCGAGCCAGGCGGATGACATTGTCCGGGATGGTGGCGGAGACGAGCATGGTCTGGCGGACCTTCTCCTCGACGCTGGGGAGCATGGAGATGATGTCGTTCAGCTCCTTCTCAAAGCCAACGTCCAGCATGCGGTCCGCCTCGTCGAGGACCAGCGCAGCCAGCTTGGGCGCGTCGATGCCGGACGAGGTGTCGGAGAGGAGATCGTTGAGACGGCCTGGGGTGGCCACGAGGAGATGGCAGCCCTCGCGCTGGACCTGGCGGAGCATGCCCACCTTGTTGGTGCCTCCCACGGCGGTCTGCACCACAAGGCCAGTGTGCTTCACGAGGGCCTTGGCCTCCTGGGCAATCTGCTCCGCGAGTTCGCGCGTAGGGGACATGATGATGCCTCGGATGTCGTCGGAACGGGCGTGGCGGCTAGCCGAGCGGGTCGCGAGCGAAGGGTCCTCGTCGAGCATTCTCTGGAGCAGGGGCAGAAGGAAGGCAATAGTCTTTCCTGTACCGGTCTTGGCTTGGGCAACACTGAAAAAGGGAGCGTCAGTTACAGGGTCTTCTGGCTTCGTGGGACGTGGTACTCACATATCTGTGCCCTTGAGCGCAGGGTTGATGGTCTTGGCTTGGACGGGAGTCATCGTCTCGTAGCGGAAGCCTTTGGTGAGGGCGGTGATCAGGTTCGGGTGCACGTTGAGCTTGTCCAAGTCGGCGAATCGTACAACCTGGCCATCATCGGCGGCGGGCGCTTCTGTTTCGGCGGCGGCAGCAGCCTCTGCTGTTTCTGTGCTGTAGGAGCGCCCAAAGGTGGCGACATTCTTGAGGTTGAGGGGGAGGACGAGTCTCGATGAGATGGTGAGGTTGTTATTCCGCGCAACGGTCATGGCGAGTCTGGGTCTCGCCAGTGTCGGTATCGAGCTCATGGAGCCCGCCGTCCTGGCGCAGCGCCTGACGGTTTGTCTGAACATGATGGCGGTTTTTTTCGGTTGTCCAAGATATGATGAAAAGTTCGTCAAGATTCGTATCACTGCGCAATGAAGATCAAAGGGGTATGATGGCGAGACAAGACACGAAATGATGAAAGATCGAGAAGGACAGGATCAGGATGCTCGTACGTAGTGAGGAAGATGCGGCGCGCCATGAATTTTTTCGCCGTCGCGGGAGATAGGAGAGACCCTTTTTCTGACGTTGCCTCATCGGGACTAGACTCAATGCGGCTCCACTGTTTTGAGGCTGCACGAGATCCGCGCTATCACGTGATACTTCATCGTGGAATGCTTCCAGTCATTATTTCATCAAGTATCTCTCTACTTTATCTCCTTCTCTCGCCTCTTAGTAGTGTCCTCATCCCTCGCGACAGAGTCTTGCAATCTCGCCACCATTATGCCTTCTCCTATTCCGTCCGAGATTCCTCGTGTGACCTCGTCAACAGCCCATGCAAACGTGCCCGGGACGCCTTCTCCCAGCTTCCCCTCGTTGCTACTCAGTGCAATCTCGGCCACTCGACCAAACTGTCGCCCAGCCGCATTGAAGCAGTCCATGCTGTGCCCAATGATCCTCTCCGAGATCTTGTATCGGCGCTCGACGCCCGCCGCTGACTTGAGAATGACAATCAAGTAGGGCAGCAAAAAGCGCATGAGGAGAAAGAGGTTGAGGACCGCCACTTGCACCAGTCTGTGCACAATGGACTTTGCTTGCCCCGAGCTCGCAGTGGGTGTCATGGTTCCAGGCCGACCTGATCTGCTCAACGCCAGCTCTCGAGGTAAAAGATGAACGGGAGCCGCTGACCAGATCTGATCTGCCTCGCTCATGTCCAGGTCTGCCGGTAGACTGCGCAACAGATAGGTGAGGCTGTCTACGTAGGCCTTTCTCTCAAAGGTACCATCGTTGCCGTCTTTACTGGCATCCGCGGCAATCGTGAGCAAACCAAGACCTAGCTCACTGTCAGTTCACCAGCTTGCCTCGCTTGAAAATTTGTACTCGCCTTGCTGGGCCACCTTCCAATTGATGCCCGAGGTGGACTGCTGCTTGCCCTCTTCTGTCAGAGATGTCCGCACATCCCATGCCAATGTCGATGTGACCGTCGCCTGTGACACATCGTCCCGCACGTCATCCTCAGAGGCAGTCTCGTAGTCACTGCTGGCCGCTGTGGAGGCGGTGGACGGTTGAGCGGGCTGCATAGGAGACAAGTTGGCGTCCTTCATCGCGCCCAGGCTGCCCAGGCTGACTGAGCGTCGAAAATGCCGAAAGGGGCCCATGGGGGCTTGCAACGAGACGGGCAGTAGACCCATGATTGTCGACATGCGGATTTTTATTTTTTTTTTCTCGCTTTGTGTATCTCAAGTTGCTGCGTGTAAAACTGCGCTCTGCGTCCAGATAGAAGTTGGTTGATGCGTGCGTACGGAGTGGTGGTGAACAGTCTACGGCAAGAACCCGCGATAGATCGAGCACCGATAAATTCATCAACTCGAAACTGTCGCACAACACACGTGCGCTCGTACACGCGCCTACGTACCGGCCTCAATTTGTTGGGAGTCCAGTCTTTGCTGAGATCAAACCTGACGCCGGGTGCCAGGAACACTGAGGGCAGAGGGCCTTGACATGTGAAAAAGTATCCACACAAGTGGCGGCGGCGACGGCGCCTACACCAGCGCCAGCGACTTTTTCTGCCATTATGCTACCTGGTATCTCTTATCTCGCATAAACAGCCTTTTGCCCAGGCGAGGTGCTATCATTTCACCTCACGGAGGCGTTTTCACGCCGATAAAGCAAAGCGGGGTGGGTGGTAGCAAGCGTGGCATGGCATGGCATGGCATGACCGGAACTGGGCACATGAATTGAACAACTCGAAAATACACGCTCCATGTCAGTGTGCTAGACCAGCCTAAGTAATCGTTGGAACGCCACGGTCGTACCAGAATGCATCGCCTGGACCCTTTCCCAAGAAACAATAAACTCCTGCACATTCTCAAGCTCCATGTGTGCTTATGCTTTCAGACCACATCCTTGCTGAGCTCATACGACCAGCCACCGTCTCGTCGAATCTTATCTCGAGCTGCCAGATCTTTCCTTATATCGTCTTCCGTCAGACGATCCAAGCCGCTCCAATTGGCGCTGGACGTTCTCGCCCTGAACTTGTGCCACCTGTCCTTGCTCTTGTTGAACACCTCTTCCATATTCAAGGGAGCGGGCGGACCAAAGATCTGTGATGGGTCGACCGTTTCTTGTCGTAGCAGAGCACCTCGGAGGTTGGGCGAGTCTGCCCAGTCTGCCATCATCGTGTTGCGCGCCTCGTCCTCGCTCTCGTCCTCGTCATCCGTATTGATCTCTGGCAGCTCGATTGCTTCGCCATTCTGGAAACGAGGCGACGACTTTTGCGCTGGTTTGACCCCGGACTTGGCAATGTACGAGCCCGAAGCGTGGCTCGGCGTCTTGTGAGATGGACCAGCCGGGTTGGCATTCGGAGCAAAGGGTATCGCTCCTTTGGATATCTGGGCCATGTCTCGCGGGTGCGCGAGTTTCGCTTGACCGTGGTGCTGAGAAGTAACGGTCGCCTTGAACAAGTCTCGTGCCGGTCCAGATTGGTTGCTCGTATAGCTGGTCTGGAAAGCTGACTTCTTGGACATATCCTGTTGCGAGTTGAATTAGCACTTGAAGGCAAAAGGCATGTAAACATGAAGACGGCTACACTTACCATCTTAAGCCCCGCTGAAGGCCGCACTGGAGGCCCCCTGATGTTAGGCAGTGGTTCATTGTCGAGTTCGTCGTGGTCTTGGCTCGTCCGGCGACGCTTCGCCTCCTTCATCTGGTAGCTCTGGCCACCTCTGGAGGGGGGTCTCCTAGCTTGGTTCTGTGCGTCATCGTTGGGACCCATGGTTCGCTTCAAGCCTGGCTTCGCCGCTGGTGCTGTGGACATGGGTCGGCCGATTTCCGATCCCATCCGTGAAGGCGGACGCGAGGGCTGGCCAGCCACCACTGATCGATCCTGAGAAAGGTGGCCGTGGCTAGGCGGCCCGTTGGGCTGCGACCGTACCGCTGGTGGCGGCGCTCTGGTCTGCTTAGCCTTCTCGATCATGGCCTGTCTGTGGGCGCTCTGCTTGGCCTCCGCGTGCGCAGCAGCTTGTTCTCGGCTCTTCTGCTTCTGTCGCTCGGCTTCTTGTCGGCGCTGCTCTTGCTTGCGCTGCTCCTCCAGCGCAATGGCCCTCTTCCGCTCTACCTCGGCCTTGGCCTCACGGCGACGCTGGGCTTCTCTCTCATCTTGCTCCTTCTTCTTCGCTGCGAGATCTAGCGCCTTAGGCCTGGGGGCGGACGACGCACCCTTCAGGTTCTGCACGGAAGTCTGACGTTGCAATGATGCCTTGCTTGCCTTGCTGCCGAGCTGGGTCGTGACGGGCGTCTCCGGAACAGCAATTGAACTCTGGGCAGTGGCCTGGTACAGTGGTTGTTGCGAGCCGGTGTTTACGCGAATGACAGTCGGAGCTTGCTTTGGCTTTGGTTGTGCATCTCTCGTGGGTTTCGTTGGCCTCTTGATCTCCTTTCTTGCAATCTGGCTGGGGGCGGCGGTCTTGGTTGACGAAGCTGGCGGCGCTGCAGGTGCAGCATCAGCCATATCAATGTCGTGATCATCTGGCAGGTCTGACATCTCTACAGGTCGCTGGGCTTTGCGAGGGCTGCTTCTCGTTGCTTTTGAGGATTCCTTGGCAGCAGTTGGTGGTGGCAGCTGCTGCTCCTTTTGCTGCTCCATGGATATCACTCTCTCCTGCTCTTTGCTGAAGACGCGAGCTTTTACCCTCTCCTTCTCCCTTGCCTTCTCGAGCTTCAGTTCCTGTTCCTCCATACGCTTAGTTTCCTTCTCAACACGCTTCTCCTCCTTTTCGCGCTCAGTTGATGCTCGCGTGCGTCGTGCCACGGGTGCACCTTTGCCAACATCCTCTGAATCACCCTGGTTCTTTGATGCCAACGACAAAGTCGAGGCGGAGGCACCAGCATGGGCGGCTAATCGAGTAGTGGAAGGGGAGAGCATCGACGTTTTGCTCTCGGCACTCAAAGCTGCGCTGCTCGCAAGTAGGCCCCTCGAGCTCTTCAAGATGGAAGAGAGCTTGTTCTTGACCTGCTTCAGCGGGCTATCCCGGAATCCACGCGAAGGTGTTTTCGCTGGGCTCTTGGACCCAGAGGGATCCATGATAGACGCATTGGAAATCGATGTCGCTTTCGTCAGCGGCAGTGTCTGCTCAGCAATGTCCGGCGCAATCATTGGGGCTACTGAGACGGACGCAGACTTGCCATGTCCAAGGCCAGTCGCGGGCTTCCGCTGGGGCGATACTGCTCGTTCCTCTTGCTCTGTAGTCGACGGCGCAAGCATCGCGCCACCAACATAATCCGCATCGTGGATACCTTCCATGACATCTGCTGTGTGGCTCTTTGGCAAAGCCGGTCTAGGACTTTGCGTTTGCTCAGCAACTGCCGCAGCTGTTGGTGGAGGCTGGCTGACCCAATCGTCTTCCTCCTCGTCCTCGTCCTCTGGGAAAGCTCCCGGAGTCGTCGTTGCGGGTTCTTTTGTCTTGGGAGATGGTGACTTGGGCCCTTCGACTGGTGGGGGACCTGTGACATCGGGAACTTGGACCGAATGAACAGACTTGGAAGGTCTTGGCTGTGATTTACCCAACCGGTTGATCTGATCCTGCAGTCTCTGCGTATAGGTCTTGTTGTGATTCAAGACTGTCGATGGTTTGTCTGCACTGCCTTGATCGTCAATCTCCATGGGTTCCCGATGATCCCCAACTTCTTCGGTTCCGCTCTGTGTGTGATGGCCCGCGGTCTTGTCGTCCGCCTGGCGACCAAAGTGGCTCCTTCTGTTGTGGTCGAGATGGCTCAATCTTGAAGTCCTTGCACCGGTGGCTTTACCGCCGGTCATGGGCTCTCGCGCCGGCAAAGATGCGAAGTGAATGCTGCTCTTCCGCACGACAGGTTGAAGAGGACTTGAAGCATCGGATTTTGATTGCGCATCGTCTGAGGCGAAGGGAGAGTCAATCTCTTCCTCGCCATGTTCTGAAGGTTCCTTGGTAGGAAATTGCGGTGAGGAAGTGCTTTCAGGTACTGAGGGTGCGTCTGGCGCGACGTCCTCTGCAGGCCCCCTTGCATCACCAGATTCCACCATGGCTACTGCATGTCGCGAAGATGGCTCACGAGCTACTGCATCCGCCGCAGCACCCGCGCTCTGCGCATCTCCCGCGGCGTCCGTAGGTTGTGTTGGCAAATTGTTGTGAATCACTATTGGCCCATTGCTTTGCCTGACTGAATGTACACCGGTTGATCCTGGTAGCTCAGGCGACGAGAACTGGGTTGCGGCAAGTTCATCATCTCCCGCAAATGAGCCCACATAAGTCGCTTGGCTCCCAAAATATCCGGAATCCTGGCTTGGGCCACCGGTAGGTTTCGCGATCGGATCCTTCGCCACTACAGCTTTTACAGGGCTCGGTGATGCGCTTTCTATGGCCGCCGTGGTTTTCGGGGATTGCATGCGGCTCAGTTCCTGGGCGAATCGGTTCGTCGATCCGTTCGGAGTGGATGCGAAGACATCGGAAAGTGGCTGAAGAATGTCAGCCATTGTGAGATCATCCAGCACCAGGCGACTCACTTGACGCGCCTCTGAAGCAATGGGCTTGCGTGCTGTCCTCGGAGTCTTGCCTCGAAGCTTTCCGGGAGTCTTGAAGGTCTCTGCGATGTTGCTGGAACTGGTCAGTTCAAGTTCGCGTCCAGTGGTGTGGTTGTGCCTGCACTACTCACAGCTGATTCTCGTCGAATATTCCTGCCATGTGCTCATTGAGCCAGTCCAGCTCATTTCGGGCGGAGAAAGAGAATTCCTCAACCTCGGATTCGACAATTTGCTTCGCACAGGATCGTTCCTCAGCGACCCAGGCGGTCGATCCGACCTGGAGTCGCGGTCCACGCATGGCCATGGCGGGGATATCGCCGGACAAAGACGAAGTCCTAGAACGAAGGGCCGTTGTTGTCGTCAAGTGTTGATCATAGGCGCAGTCGAGAAGTGCCTTGCTAAAAACGAGCGTGTCGGGAAGAATTATGGGCGTGCACAGGAAGATGATGTGGTGAAGCACGCCAGGTCGTCTGTAAACCGTTGTTTTGATCGAGGCTCAATCGGGTTAGCGCACTTGGAGCTATGAGCCTGCTCCTCTGACGTGGAATCGAGACGCGTCGCAAGGGCGAGTGGATACCACGAGCGCCCTGCACGTGCTGATAAGGCTATCAGATAGTAAACATCCCGCTTTCTTGTTTACGATGGGGAAGTCGGGGTCGCGCGCGTGTCGAACATCCTCGTCGCAGTCGTGAGACGTATTCCAAACTATTCTTCACGGCGTTTTGGACGCTGGAGACGACAAAATGAGGGTTATTGAGGTCATCATCGACGTATGTTAACGCAAATCACGCCGTGTGAACATTTGCTCACCGTTTAAACAGGGCTTCAAGTCGTACCAGACGCGAACGGTCATATCGGGCTGGTGAGCGAACACCATGACCACAGAAGTAATGGATGAATGCTCATTAGTTTAGGGACGAAAGTTTCAACTCGATCACTGGTCTCAATGGCAGTGGAAAGTCGAACATTCTCGACGCCATTTGTTTCGTCCTTGGCATTACGAACATGTCAACTGTTCGAGCGCAAAACCTTCAAGTACGGAGAAATAATAGCGCATTGCAGAATAAGAGGCTCTAATGTCTTGCAGGATCTGATCTACAAGCGCGGACAGGCTGGAGTCCAAAAGGCCAGTGTCACGATCGTTTTCGACAACCGAGACAAGAAGAAGTCGCCTATAGGATTCGAAGAATATGCATCCATCAGCGTGACCCGACAGATTGTGCTCAATGGGTCCAACAAATACCTTATCAATGGTCACCGCGCGCAACAACAGACGGTGCAGAATCTGTTCCAATCTGTGCAACTCAACATCAACAACCCAAACTTCCTGATTATGCAGGGTCGCATCACAAAGGTCTTGAATATGAAGGCTGTCGAGATCCTGGCCATGATTGAAGAAGCAGCTGGCACGAGAATGTTCGAGGACAGAAGGGACAAGGCCTTGAAGACCATGGCAAAGAAGGAGTTGAAGTTGCAAGAGCTGCGAGAACTCTTGAAGGACGAGATTGAACCCAAACTAGAGAAGCTGCGCACCGAAAAGCGCGCATTCCTCGACTTCCAGCAGACGCAGAATGATCTGGAACGCCTAACTCGGGTCGTGGTCGCTTTCGACTACCTGAAATGTCAGGAAAAGCTTACCCAGTCAGCGGCAGATCTTGAAGGGAAACGGCAGCGACACAAAGAGCTTGAAGATTCGTGCTCCAGGATGAAGAGCGAGATTGTTCATTTGGAGGAGGACCTTAAGCGAGTGCGGGCGCAACGGGACAAGGAGATGAAGAAGGGCGGTAGAGCGCAAGCTCTCGAGGAAGCCGCGAAGAAGCACTCGAATGAGTTGGTCCGCCTTGCCACTGTCATGGATCTGAAGAACTCAAGCATGTCTGAGGAGGAGGACAAGAAGACCGCGATAGAAAAGTCGGTCAGCGAGCTGGAGACATCTCTCCAGGAGAAGACCAAGACTTTTGAAACGGTAAAGGCGAGGTATGACGCTGCTAAAGAGGGCCTGGAAAAGCAATCCAAGGAGGCAGAAACCAAGGAAGAATTGCTGCAGACCTTGCAGACTGGCGTTGCATCTAAAGACGGTCAAGAGAATGGCTACCAAGGACAGCTACAAGATGCTCGCAACCGAGCGACAACTGCGGCAACCGAGCAGGAGCAAGCAAAGATCCGCATTACCCATCTTCAAGGCCGTGTCAAAGAGGAAGAGCCGCGAGCGCAAAAGGCCAAAGAGCAGAACGCAGATCTCCTCCGAGACCTCGACTCAATGAAGTCCCAGGCACAGAAGCTTGAGAAGGAGCTCCAACGTCTCGGGTTTGAACCAGGACGGGAAGAAGCAATGTACAATGAGGAATCAAGACTACAGCAGACCATCCGCACTCTGCGGCAGGAGTCGGACAAACTGAAGCGCTCAGTAGCCAACATCGATTTCAACTATACTGACCCAGTACCGAAATTCGACAGGTCCAAGGTGAAAGGCTTGGTTGCGCAGCTCTTCACTCTCGACAAGGAACACTCGAATGCTGGTACGGCCTTGGAAATCTGTGCAGGTGGCCGATTGTACAACGTCGTTGTCGACACCGAGGTCACCAGTACTCAGCTTCTGCAAAAGGGAAAACTGAGAAAGCGCGTCACCATCATTCCTCTGAACAAAATTGCTGCCTTCAAAGCCTCGGCGCAGACAATAGCGAACGCTCAAAATCTTGCGCCTGGAAAGGTCGATCTCGCTTTATCCCTCATTGGATATGACGAGGAGGTCTCGGCGGCCATGGAATATGTTTTTGGCAATACGCTCGTGTGCGCGGATGCCGAAACAGCCAGGCGTGTCACGTTCGACCCCAATGTCCGGATGCGCAGTATTACCCTCGAGGGAGATGCGTACGACCCGTCCGGAACCTTGTCCGGCGGCAGCGCCCCTAACTCGAGCGGAGTGCTTCTCACCTTGCAGAAACTCAACAGCCTGATGCGCCAGCTTCAGGAGTCTGAAGTTGCCCTGCGCGAATTGCAGAAGCAGATGGCGGCGGAGAAGTCCAAGCTTGACCAGGCTCGCCAGACAAAGCAGGAGCTTGACTTGAAATCCCATGAGATCAAGCTGGCTGAGGAGCAAATCAGTGGTAATTCCTCATCGTCCATCATCCAAGAGGTGGAAACGATGAAAGCCACCATTGTCGAACTCAAAGAGGGCATAACCGAAGCCAAGGCTCGCCAAGCTGAAGCGAATGCTGACGTGAAGCGAATCGAGAAAGACATGAAGGACTTTGACAATAACAAGGATGCGAAGCTGGTTGAACTCGAAAAGTCTCTCTTGCAACTCCGCGCTGAGTTGACGAAAAACACGAGCGCGCTAAAGGTCGTCCAGAAGGAGCTCCAGAATGCACAATTGGACTCTGAGCAGGTCGGCGCCGAGCTTTCGGCTGCTCGGGAGCAGATGTCTGAGGTCGAGGTCGCCATCAAAGCACAACAGCAGGACATTGAAGGTCTTGCGAATCAGCAGACCGAGCTCAAAGAGACGCATGATGAGGTACAAGCCCAGCTCGACGACGAGCGCGCCAAGTTGCATCAGTACGATAGCGAGCTTCGCGATCTCGAGGAGGCTACACGAAGCAAGAACGCCCGCATCACTGAAGAAGGCCTCGAGATGCAGAGACTTGGCCACCAGGTGGACAAGTTTCACAAGGAACAGCAAGGCGCAGCAGAGAATGTAGCCCGACTCGAGGGTGATCACGAATGGATCGAGGATGAGAAGGACAAGTTTGGAAGAAGCGGGACTGCGTACGACTTCAAGGGTCAGAACATTGCCGAGTGCAAGTCGACGCTCAAAAACTTGACGGAACGCTTCCATGGCATGAAAAAGAAGATCAACCCAAAGGTCATGAACATGATCGATAGCGTTGAGAAGAAGGAGGTCTCGCTCAAGAACATGATCAAAACTGTCATCCGAGACAAGAGCAAGATCGAGGAGACCATCATCAGTCTGGACGACTACAAGAAGAAGGCACTGCAAGAGACGTGGGAGAAGGTCAATGGCGACTTTGGTCAGATCTTCTCCGAGCTACTCCCAGGTGGCAGCTTTGCCAAGCTCGATCCACCTGAGGGCAAGACAATCAGCGATGGCCTTGAGGTCAAGGTGTGCCTGGGCAAGGTCTGGAAGCAGAGTCTCACCGAACTCAGCGGTGGTCAACGGTATGACTCCCCATCAACATTGCTCGGAGGAATTGGCATGACTAACGAAACGCAGCTCACTTGTTGCCCTCTCACTTATCATGGCACTGTTGCAATTCAAGCCGGCGCCCATGTACATTCTCGATGAGGTCGATGCCGCCTTGGATTTATCACACACGCAGAACATTGGCCGCTTAATCAAGACCAGGTTCAAGGGATCGCAATTCATCGTCGTCAGTCTGAAGGATGGCATGTTCCAAAATGCGAACCGCATCTTCCGCACGCGCTTCAGCGAGGGTACAAGTCACGTCCAGGCCTTGACGCCGGCCGACTTGCGATAAGGGGCCGAGTGATGAGAGACGGAATGACCATGAGACATGAGGGAATGTATCTTAATATATGGGGGCAGCATGGAGCGTAGCGGGCTTGCTTTTTGGAGGATTAGGGGTTGGTCAACTTGCTTTTGGACTGTAGTTGTCTCAATGTGGCTTCGTTTCTGGTCGTCTGCCCATGCCTATATGGGTATGTAAAAGTGATCACCAGTGCTCAGAGGGACTACCTCCATGCCGACGTGCACCGTCGACTCAAGGTCCCGTGGTTGACGAGACTCGGGAAACAGGGGACATAGCTGCATCCCTAAACAGCCATATTTGGGCGATCCTTTGTCGACGTCTCGAAACTTTCGCAGTGATCGATCGGGTTCGTTGCGGTGACGGGTCCCATTGTCCTGGTCGACATTGGGCATTTTACACCTGGGTTATTAGCCAGCATCACAAAGCAGCTATTCTCACACGCACCGGACAGTACGGCAAGACACATGGAACTGAGCATTGTCGGCCGCAGAACCAAATCGTACAGATGTCCACTGCTCTTCCTCATAAGGCTTGCCCCCCGACACTAGCAGAAAGTTAGGCTCCTGTTTGCACAGGAATATAGTTCACTTACTGATCATGTTGGACCGGAATCGTCGAGGGTCAAGCGAGTCGAACGTGTCGTCGTCAATCTTGGACTCAAGGTCCTGGACACTGTCCAAGCTAAGGAGATGGAGAGGATACTTGTGGGTGTCAACATCGTCTGCCAAATTGGTAGATTCCTGACCTACTGCATCATGGAAGTCAACAATCGGCTGATACCCCACGTCTTCCTTCCTCGGCGCACATCTGAATACTTCTCTCTGGTTTGAGGGGTCCGCCCTGAAGAGACCAAGGCGGGTTTTCATACCGAGATACTTCTCCAGCTCAGGTGGCACCGCTGCGATCATGTTCAGTGCGGTGGTCACTTCGTTCCAGATCTTGACGTCTTCAAACTTGTACGCCTTGGCCTCAATGTCCGCCTTGGAGGGGAAATCAAGGGGCAGAGTGAATACCTTCTCGTGCGTCCCCCCATTCACCGCATCCATGATGCGCTGCCGCCATCCCGATGAGCCCTTCTCCTTCCAAGGGAACTTGACGACAATCACGCCGGAGCCATCGGCAGAATTGGGCAGCCACACCCCGACTGACACGTTGGTCAAGAGAGGTGCCTCTCTCTGCGTCAGAAACCGCCACGTCGTCTCGTCGCCGCGTAGCTGCGCAAAGGTGAACAGCCTGTCGAACTCGAGGCCCGTGGGGAGAACGCGACTTTTGGCCAGCTCAATACCGCGACATGACTTGAGGGGATAGATCCAAAGACTCCGCAGGGTGATCTTGCTGCTGTCCGATGGAGACTTCTTCTGGGGGGTCAGGTTGGTCTGTGAAGGCAACAGGCCGAGCCTAGTGTGTGTCTTGATGAGGGAGTTCGGTAACGCGTCGAGGGGCGTGAAGTAGACGTTGAGCAAGATTGTGAGAACAATTAGCGCCAAGGCGGTGGGAACCTCCCATGGCGCAAGGTCTTGCCAGAGCGACACCATGATCCTTGCGCGGCGGAAGAGCGGTAACTGTGGCGATGATCAGTGGTATCTGGGATGACCCATCTGTCGACAAGAGCATAAGATCACAACTTGCTCAGCGCTTTTGTCAACATGAGAATTTCGGCCCGTGCAACCCACAATTCCCGTTCTTGGGCCAGCATCACCGCTACTCAATCACGGTATGTGCTGGTTTGAATAAGCGATTAGGTATCGTAAAGGGCGATGATGAACCGAATTTCTATTTTATCTGTTCAAGGGGCGTTTGGATGTAACACAGAGTATCCATACCTCTATTGCAATCGCGCCTGGGCTCATGGCTGGCCTACCATCAATTGATACGAAGTTCTCGCCAAGCTAGCGAGACTACAATCACGGTAAGAAGAAGATGCCCGTAGCACCCACACCATTATTATTTATTGAATATATGATTCAAAGAGCAGCAACAGTCGGTCACTATAGCATTTTTCCACGCGTCCGCCCTGCCTGATGTGTTGATTTGATCGCTCCAGGGTAGGCTCATGTAGTTGTCGCGTATGCATGGCTCAAGGACGAAGCACGAACCCATGTCCACTCCATGCTGTGGGGATCAGGGACTGGAGCTCGCCCGACGGGGGGGGGGGGGAGGACATGTGATCCCAGTGTACTCATGATATTAAATGTCTTAGTCTGGATTGGCACTGATTCTAGATGCTGGAGGTACCAAGGATGCAAAGATTCTTGGGCGCCTGTGGCACAGAGGGCAAGTAACATTGAACATTATGCATATCCTCAAACACCAAGGACAGACCATGTCATTAATAAATCCAGGGATGTGCCCGGGAAGTAGAGTTGCCGACGGGGCCCCAACGGAAGTTGATTCCGAAAAAGCGTACGGAGTGGTCCTGACTCTTTCCGACGTGATAAACCAACAAGCCTCATTCATTCCAACCTGCAATTGAAGTCGGCATTGTACCCAAACCCAAGGCTCTCTTCTCTCGGCCCATTTAGGTGGGCTAGGACTGGACCGGTAATGATCACGATTCCGGCAGAGGATTGGGATTGAGCGTCTGGTTGTAATTACATCATGGCGTACAAACAGAGCTCGTTGCTCATGGACAAGAGCTTTCCGACGGATCTATTATGACGCGGAAGAATCATCGCTCTGGAGATCACACCAAGTTGAAAATGTCGCTATCTGCGAGTTTGACCCATCATTGCGTGGACACAGCGGATAATCATGTATGTACGTCGGCCTTTCTTCGCGGCATGTGCAGACCGGATCGAAGCCCGGTTTGCGCGAGGCCAAAAACTGTACGTACGTACGTAAAAGTTATAAATGACGACCAATGTGATGTACCGAATATCTGGTATGTTGGTGGTTAGTATGCACCTTCATGTATTATGTCAATTGAGGACTGGATTCGAAGGCACAACTATATTAGCACGCAATGGAGGTCGTCTAGCTAACAGAATGGTATTTAGGTTGATTGATCTCGCAACAGACGGCGATAATCTCTTCTTTCAGGCCGTGCTAAGCCCGTCAAATGGCCGGGTCCAGTCCTCGTGAGGTAGTGACATTCATCGTCCACATTGACATTCTAACATTCGGACCCCAGTCAGTCAACCAGCAACTGCCAACAAGAGAGGCTTCGAGCACCAATCAGTAAGGTTGGTAGTTTACACGCTGGATCCATCTGTCTCTTGGCAGACATCACGCTAGATACCGAAATTAATCAATGCCCGCCCTGTTTATGGAGAGAAGTGGTATGCTAAATGAAAAAAAAAAAAACCAGACCCTGACTCCAGCATCACATCCAGACTGCGCACGGTTGACTCAGGCCCAAGCTAGTCACTGTCAGGCTGGCCAGTGTCAACGATCTGGCCCACCGCCCAACCTTCTTCTGGAAATGCTCGGCCGAAGCATGAGTCCACGACTGGACTTTCGGGTTGTAGCGCTGTGCGCAGAGGCCCCTAGCAATGCACAGTCGCAGCTTGTTTCTCCTTTTAATCTCCGCGGTCAGATGACAGCCGCATGAAGCAGGGAATAGCACTCCGTACTTGGTGTTACCCTACAGAAGTCAATTATGGACACTATTTGATCAGTCATTCAGGTACCTGCACACTCGGAAGCACGGTACCAATATGGCGCGCATTCGTTGCTGTTGCAAGCATACCTGGTAAGGTACGGAGTACATCTCACCAAATGCTACCCTACCAATAGGTAACATTTGCCTGCAATCACGAAAGCAGTCCCGGCCCGGTCTCTCAAGTGGCAGGCCTAACAGGCACGGCGGACATCCCGAAGCAATAGGCACTACTACGAGACTAGCCCAGAGGCTAACAGACCGGACCGGCCTGGAGCTGCCAGCCACCTACGGAAATTTAGTAGTGCGGCAGGCGGCTATTATTGTCAATTTGTCACCCAAGGCTAGCGACAACCGGCGACTGGACCGACATGGATGATAGACTGAAGTCCAGTCCTGTTGGCAACAGCAAGCTAGACTAGAAGCCTATGGGCACCACTGTCTATAGTGGAAGACTGGACAGAAGGCGACGGCGGGCACACGCTAGCTGGCAGCCTGCAGCCAGCCCAGCAGGGGAACACGATAGGGCAGGAGGCCAGTGACCGCTGCATCCATCGACTTTCACTAGTCCAGGGCTCCAGTCACATACGATGACAGTAAAAAGGTACCTGGTAGAATGCAAGCTTTCGTAAGGCACAGAAGGGAACCAAAAGAAAGAAGAGAGAATACATAATAGCATGGACGCAGCATGTGCCAATTCCTTTGGTGGCGCTGAAGATTGACGCGACCTTGATAGTAGAGCAACATCCATGTGATAAATACAGTGCTATGAAGAACCGTACCATGACGTCTAGACTTGATACCTTACCTTCAAAAACACCTGCCACATCTGCTCCACGGATCATCAGCGATGTTCTCTTTTCTGTAGGTTGAGTTCATGTTGCTGACTGTTATTACCCGCGGTTGCCCGCCGTAGCCCGCTCGCTGCCTGCTCACGCCAAGGCGCGATGTCTCTGGCCTCCTGCTGGGCGATGCCTTCGTGACTCGTAACCCGCACCCCAATCGCCCAGATCATCGAGTGCATGCCAGCTTGTCGTTCGCCCGAACGTTTGTCAACAAGGCTCGCTGCACTTGTTCGAGGTCGATGTGATGGTCTGGGCCACTTTTGAACCCCTCTGCAAGGCATGGGCGTCCCTGCGGGCCTGCATGGTCCGTCGAGGGTGTTTTTTTTGCGATCGCATGTGCGTCGATGGATGCTGGAACCTGGTCGATAATGGCTTGACGGGACGCTAAAATATTTCATTTGCACCAACGACAAGGCACTTATTAAGTTATTAAGTAAGGCGCCTAACTTACCTTAGCCGTACAGAACCCAGCTCCAGTCCCTACTAGTTCTAGTAGTCGGACTAGGAGCATAGGACCACGCGCGGGACTGGAGCTACGTACCCTTGGCCGTTTCCTTTCAAGTGGCTGGCATCGACACATCATTATTCCACCTGTCTGTCTGTCTGTCTGTCTGTCTGTCTGTCTACAACCGTTCTGTCTTCCCATTCCGTCTCCAGCTGAGCGATGCAGCCCTCCTAACCGGCTCACCTTCGAAACCCAGCAAGGGGGAACACATGCCAGATTGAGGCAGTCACAGCAGCCCGTCGGCGTCATGGACGACCCTTACCGTCGCTACCTCTCCTCCATGTCTGGAGCGGGAATGCATCTTGTGAACATTGCCCAGCCGCCGCATCCCGCGCCAGCTGCGCTGCCCTCAGCCCTGTTTCATGACTTCACCCTGCAGCAGGCGCCAGACCATCACAGTGCGCAGCAGCAGCAGGTTCTGCTCCAGAAGCGAAGCAAGTCAAAGAGTCGGACGAGCACTCTATCTGCCGACGGGTCAGAGGCCGTGAAACACAAGCGAACTAGATCCGGCTGCCTGACCTGCAGAAGTCGGCGTGTCAAGGTTGATTCGCCCGCCCGCCACCATGCGACGAGAGAATGCACAAGCTGACATTGGCCGATGTAGTGTGATGAGAAGAGACCAGTCTGCGAGCGTCAGTAACCCCCATTTTGCGCCCTTTTGCTGGTGCATGTTGCATGTGGTTGGCCCCCCCCATTAACTTTGCGCACGCGTAGGCTGTCAGAAAGGTGGTCGTGAATGCGTCTATCCGGAACCCAAGGGATCGGCAAAAGAAGCAACCAGGTCAGCCGAGACCTCACCGCAGACCACGGAGAAGAGTGACGCAGGCGAGGGCGCGGCGCATTCAGACCGAGGCCGCCCTCGCGACCCAACGCAGAGCCTGAGCTCACCCATGAGCTCAGCAGGGGCGCCGAGCAACAGTCCGACCGACCAGCCTGGTCAAACGCCATCACCTCGTACCATGGGTGCCACTTCATCCTGGAGTCATCTTCCTGCAGATATTCAACGGCATCTCGAATGGATAGCCGACAACATCACGAATCTCCACTACGGCATAGCGCACGAAGCCGACAATTTCTTTGAATCGCTCTTGCCCCAGGCAGCCTTGCAAGATGAGGCTCTGCTCAACGCCGTGGTGGCCTTTGCATCCTACCTCACGACAGTTCAAAACCCAGATGGCGACTTGGCGGACTTTTTGCGGTATCACCACCGCAGTATCACACTGCTGCTGGAGCACTTTAGGAAAGGCGAAAAGCACGAGATCAGCACGCTCTTGACGATCCTACAACTGGCGCAGATCGAGGAATACTTGGGGGACTGGGTCAATGTCATGGGACACCAAAAGGCAGCCTTTCAGGTCCTTGACGCCCTTTTCGAGCCTGCCACGGCCCCGCGCACGCCCATGGGACGCATGTGCTTCACATGGTACGCGCGCTTTGACGCATACATTGCGGCCGTGGCGAACACCCCCTCCACTCTCGACCCAAGCTGGTTCGAACACATGGAGAATTTCTGTCGAAACCAAAGGGCACTTTGTCCGCATGAATCAGATTGGATACTGGCGCACGAATACATACGCATCCGACGAATGAGGTGGCAACAGAACATGCTATTCACCAAACGCCGCCAACGCCAAAACCAACTGGACACCAGCTTTGGCCAAGAGCACGAGGATCTACGGCAAGAACTTGTCAGGTTCCGCCAGGGATGGCCCCCTTCGATACCAAGGCCAGAAGATATCGAGTCGAGGTTTGGGGGGAGGGAGCCGACTCTGGACGAGCTGTTCCAGACGCTGGAAGGCGGTGTGATGCCGGAGCTGCCATCAACGGAAGTAACGGAGCTCTATGCGTCGTGGCATCTGACCATGATACTCCACCTCATTGCGTCGCCTGCCATGCCTTCCGAGGAGCTCATGTCCAATGTCAGGAAGCACGCGTATTCCATCATTTACTACAACGAGGCCTTGCGACGACGGTCATCCCAAGGCGTGCTGATCGGCCTCCAGTCAATGGTGCAGGTTGCCTGTTCGGTCCTGCGCAAGGACGACCATAGGATAGCCATGTGGGTGAGGCGGAACCTCGCGGAAGCAGAGCAGATGGGGTGAGTCAGCTACGAACCAAGACGCCTCGTGCCACAAGACTAACAACATGGTGTAGGAGTATACAGCCTGCCCGGCACCGCGAGCAGATGGCTCGCGATCTGAATGATCCGTCCATCATGCGCTGGTGGCTGCCTCATGATGAGGGTTTCACGCCCATGCTGCGCAAGGTACGGGAGTTTGCCGATGAGCGGAACGACGTTGCCCGCACGGCGCAGCAGCAGGACGTGCGGGAAGCCAAGTTCTTGTATGAGCTCTTTGCACAGATGGAGATTGCAAGCCAATGACGGACGAGACCAGCGTTAAGCTCCGCATCTGGAGTGGTAGGACATTAGTTGGGTACTATGAAGTGACAAAGCGCCTGCCACGACGGGCTCCTGTGAAACCTTCCCAAGCTCCAATATACTCGTGAACCATGGATGAAAATATCCCAGTGCCTCTGCATCATGTCTATTCTTTCTTGGACTCATCCGTTGACTTTGCGTCAGCCTCGTCATCCGCCGACTTTTCCTCACTAGGAGCGGCTGCGCCAGTGGTCTCGGGCTGCTCTTGAGACTGCTCGGGTTCCCCGTCCTCAGTTTTCCCATCTTTCACAGCTTCTTGCTCCTTTTCGGACGCCTCCTCGTCCTTGGCGTCCTCCTGTTCTTCAACGCCAGTGTCAACCACCGTTTGATCAGCTTCTGACGCGGCATCGCCATCATCATCCGCGGCTTGGCCATCGTCGAGCATCGCCTCCTTCATGGCTGCTGTACGAGGCGACCCAGCATCCTCCACCATCATGGGCACATCCGCCGTCTCGGGCTCTTCGCTTAGGGTGTCCGGGGCTGAGATATGAAGATCCCTCACCTTGCGCGAGATGCCATCAGTGTCCTCCTCCTCCGCCGATTCCATCACCGTTGTGACCGCGCTGCCTGTCGATGGACTGCTCCGAATGTGTCGTCGAGTGTTCGTACGCCCGAACGAGTGAGCGCCGTCGCTGCCCTCTGACGGCCCGTGCTCACGCTCTGATTGTTGTTGCTGCTGCTGAGGAGGCTTCATAATCGTCGGTGTAGATTTCTCCGGCTCCGGCTCGGCTTGCGGTGCCTCGAGGCCTTCCGCCTCGGGTGGGAGCTTGTAGTTTTCGGCGGGGAGGAGGTCGTACAGGTCGCACACAGTCTTAAAGAGGACGTACAGCCCTGTCTGGCCCTCCACCGACCAGAACACGCTGCGGTGCTGGAACCACGCATGCGCAAAGATACGATGTAGCCTTCGAAAGACATTGACCAAGTTCTTCACGCCCACATTCTTGCTGTGCGCGTCGGTGAGCGCAACGAAGCGGCTGGGGAAGAGCTTCTGATCCGTCACGACGTTGGCCGCCCAGTCGAGGGTATGGCAGCAGTAGTCGATGGCGCAGCAGCTCTTTGGCTGTTCGTGCACGGCGCAGAGAAACTGCCACTCGGATGCGCGCATCTCGGGGCACGTGCTCGCGCTGCAGGGAGGGGAGTCGAACAGGAAGCCAACGATGAGACTGTTGCATTGCGAGATGAGGAACCGACACAGCTCGTACAGCCATAATGTCTTGTCGATGCCGGGCGGCGGCTGGGCGAGCTGGATTGCCGAGTCACGGTCGATGGGCTTCGTATTGCTCTCCGTGTGGTGGTGGTGAAGCGCAGCGAGATGCTCCTGTAGCTGAAAGGCTGAGTCGAGCTGTAGTATGGTCAGTCCATGCGTCGTACCATGTATCCTGACATAGCGTACCTCGTTGAGGGCTACCAGGGGCGGACCGGCCGCCATGTCCGCCGCCTTGGTGCCCGGATGTATGCGTCTCCTGGAATTGGCATCCAGCAAGCTCTGCTCTGCTTGGGACATGTGTAAAGTGGCCGCCGCGCCGCCAGATGGTGACTTGGGGATCTCTGCCACCGGCGGCGGGCTTGGTAGCCGGGGTGAGCCTGGAGCAAAAGACATGATGGGCGCTGGTGGGATTGTCGGAGGTTGTGTTTATCACACAACCAAAGGCACGATTGGCGTCGCGCGACGAGCTCGGCGGTTAACTCAATCTAAATGGCCCCCGGATTAGGGACTGGAGCTTGCATAAGCTTTGTGCAGCACCGCATGGGAACTATGCACAGTGCGGTGACGGCATCGGGGCTTGGTGGGGCAGGCAACATGGAGAGGTGGGCGATTCAACTTGCAGTGCTTCAACACTGGCACCGTCTGTGTACACTGATCTTGTTGAAGCAAAATTACTACATCACGACCGTCCAACTGCTACTTCCCAAGCTCCTTTTTCACTCTTGTCAGGGATAAAGCCCGTGTGCTCGCACAATGGATATTGAAGATGACGCCCCGCCGGAACTTGTCGATATTCAGGCTGACAGAGGGACGGATTCATTAACGCAAGAAGTCGCTGTGAAAGTGCCAATCACGATAGTCACAGGTATGAGTATACGGGGCGCAAATTGAGGGATGCGGGTTGACAGTACCAGGCTACCTCGGTGCTGGCAAAACGACGTTGCTCAACTACATCCTCACAGCTCGACATGGCAAGAAAATTGCGGTGATCATGAACGGTAGGTCGGCTCCAAGCACTGTAGTGACCTGAACTGACATATACAAGAATTCGGGGATTGTGAGTAATGCACGCTACGCTGCCCTGGTTGAGCCTTACTCAAACGACGCAGCACTGGACATTGAGAAGTCCCTGACCGTCAACAAGGGAGGTGAAGAAGTCGAGGAATGGCTCGAGGTCGGGAATGGCTGCATATGCTGTTCCGTCAAGTGAGCCCATCGGTGATTGATGTCGGGTTCAAGCTGACCTCATCAGGGACACTGGTGTGAATGCGATAGAATCTCTGATGGAGAAGAAGGGGGCTTTCGACTACATCCTCCTCGAGACTACAGGGCTGGCTGATCCTGGAAATCTGGCACCGCTCTTCTGGGTCGATGACGGGCTAGGCAGCACCATCTACCTTGATGGAATTGTTACTCTTGTGGACGCGAAAAACATCTTGCGCAGTCTCGAGGACCCAAAGGGCAAGCTGGAGGACGAGGATCACGACGAGCATGGCCCACTGTTGACGACTGCCCACGTTCAGATCTCACATGCCGACGTTGTGGTGCTGAACAAGACGGATCTGGTGACCAAAGAGGAGCTAGACCATGTCAAGGCAAGGATTCAGTCCATCAATGGGCTTGCCAAGATCCACGTCACAGAGAGGAGCGAGGTGCCGAAGCTGGAGGGGTTTTTACTAGACCTTCATGCGTATGACCAATTCGACGAGGCCCAGGTTGCGCCAAAAGGTCATAGCCACCTGGATCCTGTAAGTTCACTTAGCGATTTGCGGCACCTCGACTGACGCATCAGGCCATCTCCACAATCTCGTTCTCCGTTGGCACATTAAAGGCGAGTCAGTTGGATACTGTCGATCGCTGGCTGAGATCAATATTGTGGGAGTCTCAACTGCCCGGGAAGGGGAATGACACCAGTTTCGAGATACACCGATCGAAAGGACGCCTGATCTTTGACAATGGCGAGGTCAAAATGTTACAGGGTGTACAGGAGATCTTTGAGCTGATAGACGCCCCTAACGGTGCTGAAGAAGCCTCGCGGCAGGGCAAGATCATTTTGATAGGTAAGCATGTGGCGGACGTGGACTTTGAGAGCAGCTTTAAACAGTTCCTCGGATGAACTGATGAGGGAGACAAGAATCAACACATTCCTGTATCAAGCTGCCCTGAAGTCAAGTGAGATGAAGACGACGTGATGCCCTCTCAGCCTCACGGCAGATAGTTCCGTGTGGGCACACCTCCCACCCTGGCATGGTAGCATGTGATTGGCTAGACAGCATCATCGGGGCGGATGCATTTGTGTCCGGCGACCGCGATCGCTGGGTTCCCCAGACGCCCGCCAGCCGCCACTCGAAGCTGCAGCCTTCTTTACGAAGGGACATACCCTTGTCATCTGGTCAGCGACAAACTGAGAAGACACCAAGCTGCAGGACAGACCTGAACCCCGCGAAGACGAGAACACCTGCTCGGTTCATAGCGAACGCCGCGTTTCTTCACCCTCGATTCGACATTGCGACCGCCGTATCCCAACGCGAGCACGTTGTATCACACGAGGCGCAACATATCTCCCACCATGAATAGACCAGGTAGGATCTCCCAATATCTGTAGTGCACTGCGACTGCTCGAAACCGATCGTGGAACGACATTTTCCCCTCCGAAACCATCTGTGTCCCAACTGCGACGAACACCACAGCAAGTAGCGAGCCCACCGTGGCCATAGGCTACCGGCGCGATCTTGTACTCGGTCTTTCCAGGCAATGCACCCCCCAGACCATATGTTGGGTGGAACTCGACGGTCGGGTTACAAAGCTCTCGAAGCACATCGCTCCGGGGGACTGCAAAGTCCGTGCTCGTGTTGCCTGCAGGCTTCAGTTGGGCCCGATGTACAGGACGAGACGGCTATAACAATATAACTTGGCGGTACAGATCAGCTGCTGACGTATATCTGCTTCAGGAATGCCGCCGACAATACGGCAAATGCCAAGCGGGTTTGGCGGACAGCAACAAACTCAGCAACCCACCAACCGGTCTGTGTCGAGTCGGTTACCGAATGGAAAAATGTGTACGTCTTGTCCGCTCTACCGCTCAGCGTTGAGAACTTTTTGGGACGAAATTGGGACAAATGAGGCTGATATGGCATGCGAATGACAGCAAACAACAACTCAGGTTGGGCATTTGGAGGTGGTGTGCCAATGGGCAGCGCTGGCCTTCAAAATCCCAACAGGCAAATGGGCGGCAACGTTAGCTTCGCCCAGAGTCTGAGCGGCTCCCAGCCCGCGACACCTTTGGACCTGTCGTACGTGCCCTTTTCACTGGCCTTTCAACACTTCTTGACTTTACCTTCCTTTCCGTCACTGTTCCTACCCCCCACCAAACTACCCCTCCGGTCTTTGTGAATGCTCTATCCTGAGCTCGATTACGAGGGCAACTACGATGGCGAAGAAGGCCAGGCTCGTCAGGAAGGTCCTTCACTTGGACTCGGGACAGCCTGTCCCTAATCGCTCCGACTGTTCCTCAGGCGTCGCCTACTCCGCTGCGCACATGAACGGGTACATCTTTCATGCTCGATCATTGCCATTCGCGCTTGCTTGCACTAGTATGAATCTGTTCAAGCAAATACTAACAAACACCACCCTAGGGAATTTCCTTCGTTGTCGAATAACGCGCAAATGGCTGGTTCGAGCCAAGGATCAATGTGGTCGGGCGCTTCGAATACTGGCAGCCGAAACATCACTGCACCAGTGCAAAGGAACCAGGGCACGCCTCTATCATCCCAAGTCGGACAAGATGACATGTTCAGTCCTCCATCACGAATGGCCTCTACACAAGGAGGCTTCCGGTTCGGGGGCCACGGCAGCGCGCAGGCAGCGTCGCAGCAGGGCCAGTCGGGAGGGCCGGACGAGTTTCCACCGTTAAATCGTGGTGAGAATGGCGAGTTAGGTAATGACAGGTTAGCTGCCATGGGATTTGGGTCACACGACGGGCCTCCGTCAGGCAATGCAGGGCCATCCAGCAGAGGGAACGGACTCCTCAACGCACTTTCGGCCACAAACCCCGCGAGTGAAGTGCGATCACCCCCTGGCATGGGAATGCCTGGTACGCATCATCTCCCCCAACGACCCCATCATAACTAACACTTCCAGGGTTATCGAGATCACATGACGAGGAAAGAGCAGGCAATGTCCCCGAGGCCTCTGGGGCTTCTTCCGAAGCCAAAGACACCAAGGCATTCGATGCTCCTGCGCCGATAGATCCATTGAACGGGATGTCCGAGGCCGATAAATGGGGCATCAAGGGCCTGCGAACACTGATGAACAACTATCCAGACTACCACGCTATGGTTGTTGGGCTTGACCCGGCGTCTCTTGGTCTGGACGTCACCTCGCCCGAGTACGTTCTCTAAGAATGAGACACAAACGCGAAACTGACATGTTGCTAGGCCCATCTCGACACAAGTATACTCGCTATTTGATGAAGCGCCACCCCGGCCGACTGTCAATGGTGCCAAGCCTCGTTTACCAGACTGCTACAATGTCACCAATGTGCAGCCTATAGAGACCAAGATTCAGGGGTTCAATGAGGAGACTCTGTTTTGGATCTTCTACAGCTGTCCTCAAGACATCAAGCAACAGATGGCAGCAGAGCAACTGTAAGTGTGTCGGACACTGTTTCAGAATCACGACTGACCTGCCAGCAACAACCGCAATTGGAGATGGCATAAGAAGCATCAAATCTGGCTCACCAAAGATGAGCAGATGACTCCTCAAATACTGAGTCCGACGCACGAGCGAGGTTACTACATCGTCTGGGACACCAACAACTGGCGAAAAGACCGAGTATGACAAGAAGGCCATTGGGAATGATGCCAGAAGCTAACATCGACACAGAAAGAGTTCACGCTCTACTACAACGATTTGGACACATCCCTGACGCAAGCGTCCGGGCCGTAATTCACTGGCACAATGACGACTGCGCATTGCCAGCAGGGGTTGGCTGTTCTTTTTGACGGCCTTATACGTGCAATGAAGGTAGATCATGACAATGAGGCGTTTGTCTACCGACAGGTAGCTCAGGGAGGATGTGTTGTTCCTAATGCTGGCGCGTGAGACGGCTCAGCGTCGATCCTCATGGATGCACGTCTCTAGGTTGCGGGTGTTACTGAAGAGCAAGCTTCTGCTTTTGGATGGATTCTCTATGAATTGAATCAGCAATTGCAGCCTGCCTTTGTTCTGCTGGATATTATGCGTTTGTCACATGCACGCAAAACTCAGCGCTGTTTATCGGTGCACGTCCTTAGCTCCCGTTGCCGACATTTTACCGATTGCGCATACGTCGCTGCAATCTTCCTTCAATGATGGCATTTGATCCACATCTTGTTTAGGCCCGTCCATCCTCCGCCTATCTAATACCTAATAAAGCCGAGGGCCGCCGCCTGCTAGGAAGGGCCTCGACCCGGGTCAACAACACGACACTTCTCGTCCATCTGTGTCGACGTAGGCAACCCCGATTAACGACACGCCCGCTCAGGCTAGACAGGTCTCGCTACAGCTGCAACGGCCGTGCGCCACCTCGCGCCAGCTCACACGACATCATCGGTTGATGACCAATCTCGAGCTCAACCCGTGCCAGACCCCAAGATCAACGGCATTCATCTCCCGCTGGACGGCCTTTTGAATCCGCACCAAGAATAAGATGTCTGACGACCAGATTTCGCTGCCCTACTTCGCCGCGATTCTCATTATCCTGGGTTTCATCGTGCGCTACCTGTTCTTCAATGGAGGAGGAGCTTCGCCAGCGCAATCACCGCGATCGCCCGAGGCGCTCCTGCGAGCTCGGGAAACTGCTGTAGAGAGAATACAGCAGATGTTCCCACAGACGGACCGACGGACGATCTTGTGGGATCTGCACAGGAATGGAATGAACATACAGAACACGACGGAGAGGATTTTGGCAGGTCGTCTCGAAACAGTGAGTTCGCCCAAGCCACGAAAGCTCCCGCTATTACAGCCTGACTGACATTGGCGCGATTAGCCTCCCATTACTTTCCAACCCCCTGCACCGCCGCCACCGAGCACCACGAGCGCGAGCTCGTCGGCCGCCCTGCGCAAAGTCGAGAAGCCGTCGCAGCCTGACCTGATCACGCGCTACAACCTTACCAACCGTATCACCAGCCCGACTGCGACCGATGAAACGGTCAACATAGATCACAAGACCAAGGCCTGGAGTTCGAACCGAGACGAGAGGCAGGCATCTTTGCAAAAAAGAAGGGAGGATATGATCCTTGCCGCAAGGAGGAAGATGGAGGCAAAACTCGCGAAAGGGAAAAGCACCTGAAGGGATGGACATGCTTGTTCTGAGTGTCACGGCCATTTGCCAGAATTGTGTGTGATGAACACATGGCAATGAACATTGTTATCAGATCCACAAGGCAGTACCAGCAGGACTGTTGATGTTTAGTACTGAATGTGTCTAAAAGCGAGAGCCCTCTCTTGCTGATACGCCACTGTCCCATGTCAGGGTGGACACGATGTCTGACACCTCTCTTCGATCCAAGATGACAGAATCTTCTGAGAATACTGATGCTCCGTGATCGCATTGGAATACTGCCTCATTTCCTCAGCCACACGTCGGCGTCTACATCTGAGGTAACTGAAGCCTGTTTTGGCGGGGCTGTGTAGACCCTGGATTTGGCGATCCACTATCGCTGCAAGAGGCGTGGCGGGTCTACGTATGGGCATTTTAGTTGTCGGAAAACCAACAGGCATCGCAATCAATACGCCAAATAAAGAGAAGCTCCTGCGCAAGCAACATCTTTTTAGACTTAAAAGCGCTTCTGCCAGAACATTCACTGCGACGAGGCTGATTGACTTGACGTCATCCTGGGTGATCTACAGTGGTGCGCGCAGCTTAACCTGACTGGAGCTGTACCTACCTGGTAATCGCCAGATCCGTCACGCTTGGGCCAAGCCTGCTGCAGAAAGCCACGACCTACCGTGACTTGGTGTTTGCGCCTAGTCCGACCTACTCACTACCGTACTTATTCTTCAGTCCCACCTCAACTCACAAAGGACGCAACCTCGCATCCAGCCCGCACGACAAGAGGTGCTGTGATACCCTCATTGCTTGCATCGTCTCGCCCTTCGACTCTAACCAGCTTCCTCTCACCCTTCTTGGCGCAACAGCCCCAACTGGTCTCACCTCGCTCACGGAGGATTGCGTAACACTCGCGTTACTCGTAGGCGCTTTCTGGCAGCAGGCCTCCGACAGTCTATTTTCATCTGGTTATCCACAGACCGAGTCGAAGACGTTCGACAAGCTCTCGCTCTCGCGCTCCCTTGCACGCGATTGAAACTACCAGGGCGAACCCACCTCCAACATTGTCGCTGCCCAGCGCTTCGCAGCCATACTTGTCCCTACACTCAGCATATAATTCTTTGGACATGTTCATGGCCTTTCAATAGTCCACGCACAATAATCGAGCAAGCTCCTCCGCGAAACCACTTTCGCTTGCGATGGTAGCCCCCCGGGACTATTATGCGGACCTCGATCTGCCTCCCACGGCGGAGGCCGCTGACATCAAGAAGCAATATCGCAAGCTCGGTAGGAGACACGCCTCTCGCGTATTATTCTCATTGCTAACGCTCTGAAGCTCTCAAGTACCATCCCGATCGTAACCCCGGCCGGGAGCACGAGGTCAATGCCCAGTTCCTGATCATTCAAACTGCCCACGACATCCTCACGAACCCCTCCGAACGAGCCAAATTCGATGCCACGAGAGGACGATCTGCTCCTGGGAAATCTTCAGGCGTCAGGGGAAATCCATGGGCTGATGTTGGGACGCAATTCCCAGCGCCTCCTCGCCGGACTAATGCTCCGGGGCGAGGCCAAGCTTCTGGAGCTGACCGATGGAACACGCGTTTTTCTTCTGGCGTCCCCCCAACTGCACGCCAGCATGCATCTGCCAAATCCGAGTCGATGAAAAATGCCGCCAAAGCATTTGAGAGCATGCGCCCCAAGCCCCAAGCTAAGGCTGGGGGCTCCTCAGGCACACGGCCTTCGGCGGCACCTCCCCCGACACCCCCACGGACAGAGTCGGCAAGGCAACGGCAGCAGGCTGCTTTTGGCAACCGCAAGACTGGCTACCAGCCACATGCGTCAGCCTTTGGTGATGAGCCGCCGGTCAGCAACAGCAACTATACGACACGGCCAGACCCTTCGCGCACCGTACCACCACGACCAACAGAAGAGTGGGAGCAGCCTGAAACCCAGAGGAATGAGAGGCCTATGCCGCCTCCCCGGATGCCTGACCCTCTCAGTCAGTTCCGCGACAACTCTGGCGCGGATGGACGTCAAAGCTCCCCATATATGGCGCAGTCTGGCGAAAAGACCAATCCATTCGACGTCGACACTAGCCAGGGAGCGCCCAAGGTTCCGCCCAAGGAGCCTCATACGAGACCTTCAACATCCAGTACCCCTCGTTCCCAGGAGTCTCCAGCACCAAGTCGTAAGCTTCACAGTTATGGTTGACGAAATCTCGCTAACGCTAGTAGCAACCGAGCAGAAGGCGAATGGCAGCCAACGGCCCTCAATGTATGGAACACCCCACAAGCATCGCTCTCAGTCCTACGCCCACAGCCCCCACAAAGCCAGAGGCGCGTTCTACAGTCAGCACCTTGAGTCGATTTAGGAGACGATTCATGGCCATGAAGCTTGGCGCTGTTACCCATTCACGGAGTCCTGGGCTCCGCAGACGTCTCCTAGTGGAGAACGCAATACACCTCGAAAGCAGACCTCATTTCTTCGGGACCAGCATAATCTGCTGGAACAATTGATTGCCTTTGCGAGCACCACCCCGGAGAAGAGAAGGCAGCCCCACACATCTCCAACCAGCCAAGTCACGCAGAGCACGGCTAACAAGAGATCTATTAGCTTTAGCCTATCTGAGGAGACACTGCCGAAGACTGCGCCGACGCATGACTTCGCACGCAAGAGTGCGGATAGTATCAACACCAGCTTCACGAACGAAGACAAGGCTCAATGGCAGTTTAACGCTGGAGGCCAGCCTGCCCCGGACTCAGCTGCACGATCTGAGGAGTCTTTTACTCACCAACAGCAAGCCGAACAGCCGCCTCAGATCCCTCGGAAAGAGCCAGTGGAGGCACCCGAGACGAAAGCAACCCCTGCAAACGAGCCTTTCAACCCCGAGGGTTGGAGCGCACAATCCTGGAACGAGACATTCGCACCTCCATCTCGAACCAACTCGAATCCTTCGCCTCTAAAAGCAAGCCGAGCTAACTCGCGAAGAACCAACCCCACAAAGTCTGGAGCCGGCTCGACCGCAAAGGAGGCCATTCTTGTTGACAGTGACGAGGATGAGATCTCCTTCATAGGGAGAGGCACACGGCCTTCAGTAGCATCGACTGGTAGCCCGCAGGCCATGGACATAGATTCTCCTCCTGTGACCGGCAAAGCAACCCAGGGGCCTCGCATTGTGAATGTTCAACCGTCTCGCCCCGAATGGCGCACTGACGACCACGACGGACTACCGAAAGGGGCTGGAACGACTACAGCCCGTGACAGTCATCTTCGAAATGCGGAACCCAACCTCAACGGAGCTGGGTCAGAAGACTCGGCCGAGTTCCAAGCGAATCTTGCTGATTTGCGCAACGTTGCTCCTTTCGCCAATGTCGACGGCACTGGCCTTCATTCCTTTGGCAGTATGAAGGACAACCTTCCCTTCGAGAGCAAGGCTTCAGAGACTATCCCGCTTGAGCCGAAGCCGGTGCACACGCAGCCACTGGTATTCCCTGATGCCCCTCTGGCACCGCGCCCTCCACCAACAATGGCTGTGCCTGGGATGCCGACGAACAACGGGACGTGGGAGCGATATGTGGGCGACTTTGCAGAGTACCTGCAGAAGTGGGAGGATTTCACCGGTCAGGTCACGGATCACTTCGCTGCCCGCAAAACGCAGATCATGGGCCTACGCAAGGAGAAGGGCTACGGCTTTCTCGGCGCTCGAAGCGACACGGATTGTCTGGAGTATTTGAAATCTGTTCAGCAGGATAATGACGTGCGTTCCAGGTGGAGTGCCGCCTGCGACGAACACGAGCAACGATTACGGGAGTTCATTGCATGCCGGGAGAAAGTCAGGTAGTGTGGACACTCCACGTGGGTTGCAGCCGTCGGAGATCGTCGAACTCGATGACGCGCTGGACAACATCCATATGATTTCTGCTTTTGGAGAGATGTCGGAGTCTTCTGCGGCATGAAGAGAACTTAATATGGAAAGCAGTGAATGAGGGCCTGCGGCAACTTAGCCAGCAGAGAGAGAAAGACGCTGGATAGAGGCCGCTGAGCTTCCTTCACGATTTATGGTTATTCTTGCTGTGGTTCAGCAGGCAACACACGCACGGCGAGCCGGGTCTAGTTGAGGCATCGAGCGTACTACAGTTGGGGGATATATCCTGGCGTTTGGGCCTGTACTTGTGGCATAGAAGGTCAGGAGTACACGTTGCTTTTTATCTTTGTGGAAACCCGAGCACAGATATTACTTGCCAAGGCAACCTAGAGAGCATATGGATGACCTTTGATATCATGCGCCGGTGTTCTCGCTGTAAAGCATTTACAGAGATCTTTTTGCCCCTTTTTGTCAAGTGACGCAGTGTCAAGTACTTCTCGCAGGCACATGTTTCTCTAGAAGGAGGTATGGCCCTTTTTATGGTGAGGCTGGTTTATCCAGATCAACTTGGAGTGGGCGACTAGCATCCCTCACGATGTCTATGGCTCACGTCTCCCAGTGCTTGCGAGATGGATTTTGCATTTCTCGTACATTCACCAGGCTGTATTTGATTCTGCTAGCATTGTGTTTGCTCTTAAGGAATAGCCAACACAGCGACCATTGAACGGATGAAAACATACAAGTACCTGGATATGCGAGCGGTCATTCGGCAGCATAAGTTTGCTAGTTCAGCCTGACTGTCGCCTCACTTCCATCTCTATCGATCGTTCTAAGCCGATCTTGTTGTTTCCATGTCTGCCTTTGCTAGATAGAGTGCCTCGCACCTCGCAACAGTTGGCTGATTCACCTGCCCTTTGCTCTTTCATCCCTTTTACCTCAACGTTCCCAGAACATTTCACTTACATTCTTACTCACACACACACACACACACACACACATTCTCGATTCCAACATCGTATCCTTAAACCCCCTCACTGCACTTCAGCTACACCTGTGTAGTTAATACCTGTCCTCCCTACCACAAACGCACTTTCTTTGTAGAAGGCACACTTCCTGCAGCAATGCTTGAGCAGGACGAAACCAACGCCAAGGCTGGAGCTTGGACCGAAGCAGCAAAGGTAGGTACCTCGCCCATTGCGTGTCAATATGGCCTGCGGCCTCTCGGCAGGACGTCCACTGACAGACCGCAGCTCGAGTTCCTCCTGCGAATCATCGCTGTCTACAAGGACAACAAGCCGATGCCATGGAGTCGCATCAACATGCCGGGCCGAACACAAAAGTCCCTGCAGAACCAGTGGACCAAGATCCAGAAAGATATTGCGGCACTCACCGATGGAGATCCTGAGACTGCCTTGAAGGTCACTCGTGAGTAATGTGTACCAGTACCACGGACCAGACTGACAATAGTCAAGCTCGCAAGCGCGGAAAGAAGGCTGTCGGCATCGAAAACGGTGATGATGATGAGGAGGACACACCTACGAAGAAGAAAGGTATGTGGCTCGGCGAGGAGAGTCTTGGTTGAGGGCCTAGCTCATGATTTCACAGCCCGCACTCCTACCAAGGCCAAAGACAAGGCCGTTAAGAAGGAGGTCAAAAATGAAGGTCTCACAGACGATGAGGACATTATCGTCAAGAAGGAAGAGGATAGCGATATGGACTGAGCCAGTTCATCCTCCCCTCCCAGAGCTTGGCTGGCTCGGAGTTTCGATTCCTTTTTTTTTGCGTTGATCATCCTGTTTCTGATTTACGAGACTCATCATTTTTCCCCCACACAATCTCAATTGCGTGTATGCACTGGTTGATTTTGCAGTGTTACGAGTAAGCGTCGCGAGCGGACAATAGGGGGCAGCAGCAGCCACATGTATGATGGTGGAGGGGGGGTAGTTGATGGATCTCATGACTCGATAGCATCGCAACGCAACCACATCGCCACAAGACTTCTAGGACCCGTAGTGTGACCTCGTGACATGATGATGTGCCTGTCTTTGTGCGTCGAGGCTGTGTCGTGTGGAATGTGAGACACGGGCGCGGCTGCGGGAAGGACAAGTTGGAGTGAAGTACGACCATAGACTGTGCCCATGTTTCCCGCGCATCAAACAAGCCGATCGCCTATGCCAAGGCTTGGGCATCTCGAGTGTGGTGTAGCAGCAGCGGGAGCAGCGCGGATGACATGGAGGCCTGGTGTTCGGTTACAGCTGTTAAAAAGTTTGTGTGTTTTGATTGACTGAGCGTGTCCATATTGCCGCGAGAATAGTTGCGGCCAACGGTGTCCATTGCATACAGACTGTATTGATCATGCGACGACGCGCAGCACATTGGAGCCTTGCATTGATTGCGCAGGTCAGGTTCGTGATGTTCAACAAAGATGCATGTCTCACTACACTGCAACCCTCGTCTGTATGGGAGCTCGGCATGCGCTTCATTGCGATGGCACGGTTCCATGGCGAAAGTCCAAGCCAGCCATCGAAGTTGGACGAAACGGGTTAGACGGTCAACGTATATGTTGTTTCGTTGACGCTCGGATCGATGTTTCGTCCATCAATCGTGATTAGTGGTGGGACAAAGTTGACGAACCACTCGCCCTCAAGTGAGTGGAAGGCTGACTTATCAAGCAAGGCGGCCAATACACCTTGAGCCTTGCGGTCTAACTTGATTAGTCCCGCGCTACGGCGGTTGTGCAGGGGTTTACACAATTGTGCAGAACATGATCCACCTTTTCCCAACCTCAGTACGTACTCCGAATGCCTTGCCTTCAAGTTTTCCCCGGACTGAACTTGGAACTGCCTTTTCATCCTCATACCATCCTCTAAAGCCTTCAACTTTGTTTGGCGGTTGCGGCTCTTGTAACACGCCCCTAGCTTGATCACCCCCTTTTGTTGATCAAGAACGCGACAGACCTTACGTGACTCGGTCAAACTTTACCGCTACCAGTCCTGCGGTTCGCTACGCGTCTTTGCGACAGACGGCGTTGACCTTTGTTTTCACATTGCCACTCTTGAGCCTGGGGTTTTCGCGGAATCCGGCTTCTTTCTAATATCTCGGCTTCGTCGACGAACACGCAGCGACAATGAACGTCACCGGGCGCGCAACACGAGCCAGCAAAAGAAAGGCACCGAGCTCACCCGATCAAGCGCCACCACCCAAGCGCGCAGTGAACGGAAACCGCTCAGAAGACGACGATATCGAGTACGTTCACGATGCCGAGTATGAGTACGAAGATGTCTCCGATCTGGGAGCTGATCTGATCGGGACGCCTGTGAGCTTGGGCGAATGGAGGGACACAATCAAGGATGTCGTGCGCAGCGTCGTCTCTATTCGATTCTGCCAGACATGCTCTTTTGACACGGACCCAGCTCTCACCAGTGAGGCCACCGGGTTCGTTGTCGATGCTGAGCGTGGGTATGTCGACATCCGAGAGTGGCAGCGCAGTGTGGTGTAACGGTGCTGACTGGCCACACAGGTACATCATGACGAACAGACACGTTGTCGGCGCGGGTCCATTCTGGGGACACTGCGTATTCGACAACCACGAAGAGGTCGATTGCTATCCCGTCTATCGCGACCCCGTCCACGACTTTGGCATTTTGCGCTACGACCCCAAGGCAATCAAATACATGATCGTGGATGGGCTGGAGCTCAAGCCGGAGCAAGCTCAAGGTATGTGAGACGTGCACGTTAGCAAGAGATCTGAACTGACAGCGGCAGTGGGTGTCGAGATCCGAGTCGTCGGTAACGATGCAGGAGAGAAGCTCAGTATCCTGTCTGGCGTCATTAGCCGACTCGACCGCAACGCCCCCGAGTACGGCGACGGCTACAGCGATTTCAACACATGTTACTACCAAGCCAACGCCGCGGCAAGTGGCGGCAGTTCAGGCAGTCCGGTTGTCAGCAAGGATGGAGCTGCTATCGCGCTGCAAGCAGGCGGTCGCTCGGACGGTGCTTCAACCGACTACTTCCTGCCGCTGGACCGACCCCTTCGAGCTTTAAAATGTATCCAAGAGGGCAAACCCGTCGAGCGTGGTGATATTCAGTGCCAGTTCCTTCTCAAGCCTTTCGACGAGTGCCGCAGGCTGGGATTGACTGCCGAGTGGGAAGCCGCGATACGAAAAGAGTTCCCTACCGAGACCGTGATGCTAGTTGCGGAGATCATCTTGCCCAAGGGCCCTTCGCACAAAAAGATCCAGGAAGGTGACCTGTTGATCAAGGTGAACGACCAGCTCATCACACAGTTTCTGCGCCTGGACGACATTCTCGATTCCAACGTGGGAAAGACAATCAAATTGCTGTTGAACCGTGGTGGCGAGGACGTCGAGGTAGACATTGAGGTTGGCGATCTTCACGCCATTACCCCTGACCGCTTTGTCACTGTCGCAGGCGGAAGCTTTCACAACCTATCCTACCAGCAAGCCCGGCTCTACGGTGTCGCAGTTCAGGGCGTCTATGTCTGCGAGGCGGCTGGATCCTTCCGCTTTGACAGCCCTGACAACGGTTGGATCGTGCAGACAATCGACCACAAGCCAGTTCCTGATCTTGACACATTCGTCCAAGTGATGAAGGCCATTCCAGACAAGGCTCGGATCGTCATGACCTTCAAGCATCTTAGGGACTTGCATACGTTGAACACCACAATTGTCTACATTGACCGTCACTGGTCTGCCAAGATGAAGCTTGCCGTCCGCAATGACAACACAGGTTTATGGGACTTTTCAGATCTAGGCGACCCTTTGCCACCAGTACCGCCCAAGCGCCGGTCAGCTGGGTTCATCGAGCTGGATCACGTCCCTGATCCTGGTATTGGTGACCTGGTCCACAGTTTCGTTCATGTGAACTGTGCGATGCCACTTAAGCTCGACGGGTTCCCCAAAAGCCGCCGTGGAGGTATGGGTCTGGTCATCGATGCCGAAAAAGGCCTCGTGCTCATCTCACGCGCGATTGTGCCTTACGACCTTTGTGACATCACCATCACAATTGCAGATGCCATCATTGTGGAAGGCAAGGTGGTCTTCTTGCACCCCCTGCAAAACTACACTATTGTGCAATACGACCCGTCTTTGGTGGATGCGGACGTCAAGTCTGCCAGACTCAGCGACCAAGAGTTGAAGCAGGGTGAAAAGACCTACTTCGTGGGCCACAATAGGATTGGAAGGGTTGTCCACGGCTCAACCACTGTCACCGAGATCACAGCAGTGGCGATTCCTGCCAACTCTGCTGCTCCGCGATACCGGGCCATCAATGTGGACGCTATCACCATCGACAGCAACCTGGGTTCCACATGCAGCAGCGGTGTGCTGACTTCTCCTGATGGCAAGGTGCAGGCGCTCTGGCTCCTCTACCTAGGCGAGCGCTCCCCTTGTAGCCAAAGAGACGAGGAGTACTACCTCGGTCTGAGTACCAAGACCCTTCTGCCCGTCCTCTCTGCGATCCAAAAAGGCGAGACGCCGTCTCTCCGAATCCTCTCGGTGGAGCTGCGAGCCATTGCCATGTCACAGGCCACTGTCATGGGTGTCTCTGACGAATGGATCAGCAAAGTGAGAGAGACCAACCCCTCTCACCATCAACTCTTCATGGTCAGCAAGCGCACGTTTGAGCGCGGAGATCACCCTGCCTCGTTGCTAGAGGGTGACATTGTGCTGACTCTGAATGGTAACATTTGCACCACCATCTCCGACTTTGACGCAATGTACTCCAATGAGTTGCTCGATGCCACGATTGTGCGGCAATGCCAAGAGATCCAGCTCAGCGTGCCTACGGTCAAGGCTGACGACCTCGAGACGGACCACGCTGTCTCTTTCTGTGGTGCCATTTTCCACCGCCCTCACCAGGCGGTCAGGCAGCAAATCAGCATGCTTCATTCGGAAGTGTACGTGTCGAGTCGCGTCCGCGGATCGCCGGCCTACCAGTACGGTGTCGCGCCCACTAACTTCATTACGGCTGTGAACGGTACGCCAACCCCTGATCTCGAGTCGTTCATTCGTGAAACTCGCAAGATTCCCGACAACACCTGTGAGTATCTCCTCCCCTCTCGCAAGCCTACTTGCTGACCACCTTAGACTTCCGAATGAAGGCAGTGACGTTCGACTCGGTGCCCTGGATGATCACAATGAAGAAGAATGATCATTACTTCCCCACAATGGAGTGGATCAAGGACAGCAACGAGGTGTGCGGCTGGAGGCGCGTGACCTACGAGGGCAAGGACGTGTTCGAGGGCGAGGCCACGGATGGCGTCCTCACGATCCCCGATGCGAGCGATATGGAATAACGCAGGAATGAGTTGTTGTACGACCAAGAAAGGGATACGCGTTGTACAACGATGAGGTTATGGACTGCGTCGGTTTGTTGTGTCATTTTCGGCGTTAGGCATCATCAAACGGCGCTATTGGCGCACCGATGAGCAAGACGAAGAGTCATTTAGAGAGACTCTGGAGCAAATAGAATCTAAGCATAGTATCGAGGAACAGAGGCCCCTCAAAGACGCTCCTGCGAAAGTACATGTAGTACATGAAGCTCCATGTCCGTCTGTCGTACGGATGCGGTCTGAATGCCGCGAAGCCAGCACCTTGAGGATGACGTTGACGCGCGAGGGCCGGGCGGGATTGGGCGTGTGGGGCTACAGCACAAGTAGACCAGGACGGCATGGCGCCCCGCACTTCTTGCAGCGCCTGGAGCCTCAGCGCAGGCGGCAGCTTGACGGCGACGGACATCCTGCACGTCTTCGTCGCCTCTCTGCCTTGCGCCGTCTGCACCATCACGTCTTTTGCGCATCCTCCCAAGCTCATCGATACGTTTGCGTCGTCTTTTGCCCATCCTCCAACGACAAATCCAAGATGCCTCCTCCTAATATCGGCCCAGTCTTCACAGTATGCCATCATCCCTCATGCCACCTACCCCGCGATGCGACGACGCAACTGACCACACTTTCTCCCACCAGAACAAGCTCAAAGTACAGCTCAAGCTGGCGATTGCTCGCTTACGATTGACCCAACAGAGAAATGAGCAGCTCGGCAAGACACAACGGCGCGCGATGGCGCAGCTTCTCGAGGCCGGCAAGATCGACTCGGCCACGATTCGCGTAGAGAACATTATCCGCAGCGACATCACGTCCGAATTACACGAGCTCCTGGAATTATACTGCGAGCTGCTCCTCGCACGCGCCGGGCTGTTGGAAGGACCGGTCTGCGATCCGGGTCTGGAGGAAGCCGTCAAGAGCATCATCTACGCAGCGCCCAAGACAGAGATCAAAGAGCTAAACGTGGTCAAGAATCTGCTGGCAGATAAATACGGAAAGGAGTTTACCATGACGGCGCTGGAGAACTCGGACGGCAAAGTGAGCGAAAAGGTGGTTCGAAAGCTGAGCGTGGAGCCACCGAGGCCAGAGCTGGTGCAGGGGTACCTCGAGGAGATTGCCCGGGCGTATGGGGTGGACTGGCCCAAGAGACGGACGCCGCCCCCTCCAGAGTTTGAAGACGGCGACGATGACGACGAGCCGAGCAATGGGGCCAAGGTGGAGGCGTCCACGGAGCCACAAGGGACTGACCATCAGCCTGAGGCCGCATCTACACCAGCCAAGGCGTTGCGGCCAGCCGGTCCGACCAGTCCTTTGACTGTCACACCACCTCGGATGACGACGGATAACGTGCACCCCAAGGTGACGTTAGGGTCGGTGGAGCTGAAGCCTAGTAAGAAGATGGAGGATGCCGCGTTACGGAAGAAGAAAGGTCCTGATGGGTCGGTACCAGATATTAGTGATCTGGAGAAGCGCTTTGCTGCGCTGAAGAAGCCCTAGAGGTCCTGGCTTGTTTGCACATAAGTTTGGAGCCTCCTGCATGGAGTTTTGTCGAGGCAAGCCTGTTTATGCAATTTGTCCATGGTCAGAGTGATGGAATCACCTCGTCGTGTTGCTTTGCAGTCTACGATGAACAAGTGAACAGAATGCGGCTGGTATTTTCTAGGCTGGTACGGCAATATTGCATGTCCACAGACCTGAGAGCCAGATAATGCCGTGCATGTGTCTGCTTATTTCTATTTGTTTACATCCAAAGGATGGCGCCCCTTTCTTGACCATATCTTCGGCTGTGGAGGAGCAATGGCTACAGTCAGCCACAATGAGCGATCACGGCTGGTGTCCAGTACCTGGTATGTTCCCTGTTGTCTTGAATGGACTTGAGTAGTCTAGAAATGTTCAGCTATGGTCGAATACCAGTGCTGGCCCCATGCCGCTGCTTTTCTACAATCGAAGGGGTTTGCGCTTCATCCAAAGTACACAGGAGTGATTTCGCTACCCGGTGACTCTATAAGGTAGTACAAGACATCTGGATACTCTAAAGAGTGCTGGGGCTCCCGGCCGGTTTCTACGTGCTTCTCAGATGCAAGTCACCCGCCGAGCGCGCCTGCCTCCATGTTGATTCTGCCGGCGGTGAGCTCACACAGGCCTTCAGCACTTGGTAGGTACTAGGTACCTACCTAGCTGTGCAGGGCTCTCTCAATTCTCAGATCATCATCCTAACCTTTCCCCTACGCTTCACCATACTGGCCAATATTGGTCTTTCCACCAAAAGATGTCAATCCAACCGTGGCCAGCCGCGATTGAGAGCGAGAATGTGGCCACGAACATATTGAAGAATACATTTCAACTCGGTGGCTATCCCATCCCAGCCTTCGTGGGTTGGAGAGAACAGACCCTTTGGAAGAAGCTGAAAACCACTCGGAATACCCTCAGCAACAGCGAAAGAGCTACCCTCTATACGGTCTGGCTCTGGCAACAGCCTGCTTATGGCCGTGAATGTTCGTCCCCTCAAAGTTCCGCTGAAAAGTACTGCCTGTATCTTGAGAAATGCGGTTGCACATGGGAGAAGATTGAGCGCATCTGGACGGAGTGCAGAGACGCAGCCGACGAGGGCACTTCCACATCCCAGAAAGGGAGAGTCATGAAGTTCATGGAGGACATTGCCTACGGTATTCGCTCTCACTACGACAAGAAGCCCAGCATGCCTGCTCGAAATACAAAGGAGAAGAAGGGCACCGCCAAGCAGGTGTCGGGTACCGTGAAGAAAGAGAATACGGCACCGTCAGCAAATCCGAACCTCGAGCCGCTCGGCAAGCCCAAGCCCAAGATTTCCCTCGAGCCTCTCACAGAAACGACGAACTCACAGACTGTAGCTTTTTCCGGCCAAGCGTCGCCAGCAGGCCAGGTAGCGGTAACGGCTGCGGCTGGTCTTTCCAGAACTGAGAGGATCAAAAGCAAGCTGTTAGCCGTGGTGGCCTCGATGCCTCGCAAGAACGTATCTTCGACTCCGACGCAGATTGCCAAGCTGCCCTTTGATCTCGGATCATCTGATGTCCCAGAAGCCTTGGCTGAGATTTCCAAAAAACCTCCCGCCATTAGGGTGAATTGGATAGAACAGACAGGTCAGTGGCCAATATGCTAATATGATATGGTTCTTCTTTGACTCTTTGGCACAGAAGGGCGTCTGACAGCCCCATCAACTACCTCGCACGATGTCGGACCAGTGAATAACCTGTGCCAGTGTAATGGCAGCCGCATGGCAAGTGGCCATGTAGCTAGCTGCCCTGAGGGACAACCAAGGGATCCGGTTCAGGGCACAGAGGCTTTTACTGCCACATGGGGTGAAGGTCATGTTACCCATGGACCACTCTCCATTGAGCTCGACGACCACGGCAGTATGGACAAGGGTTTCTACACTGAACGCGTTCCGAACTCGGCTCAGTGCGCTCGACAGAAACTATCTTGCCTCAAAGAAGCCGCAGGCCAGTGGGGCAATGATTCATCTCGCGCAGATGATGCGTTTAGCACGTATCACGGGGAGCCTCGATCGGGAGCTGGACGTCCTGCTGGGTTGCCCCTGGAGCAGCCGGACGCTTGGACTGCCCGTCCGGCCACAAAGGCAGCCGTCGTTGCATAGGGTCCAACGACGGTTATCGGTCATGCTCGCAAGAGATCTGACGACGAGGCCTATCTGGGGTCGGAAATCAAGAAACGGAGGGTTCTTAGCTATCCAGTCTACAATGGTTCGCCAAGGCCGTCGGAGGCAAGGACTGAGATAGCTGAAGTCCAGAATATCAGAGCCTCCAGTGCTCAAGCAAGCATGGACAGTAGCGGTGGTTTTGGTTCTATCAACCTAACGGCATTCACAGAGGAGCGACAGGGAGTTTCAGACGGCCGCCTGAGTCCATGGGACGACGTATGTGCGTGATTTCGAGGTACGAGATGTGGCTGACTGTACTTTGCTAGGACGAAGAAGCGATCCCAGACGCATCAGACGTGAGCGCTTTCAGTGGCAACGCCAGGGACGATGGCCGCGGCGATCTGGTAGCCAAGCTTGAATGCTCGAGCTTCTTGGAAGAATTGGGTCAAGAAATGACATCCTCATACGCTGCCCAAGCCGGCGTCAAGGCATCTGGACTCCTGCCCGAAGTTCCGAACGAGGATATTGCTCTAGGTGGAGGGAACAATGACGTCGAGGGAGAGGATTCTCAAAGTCCAGCACATGACGGAGGGTCTCTGGTAGAGCCATCTCATGAGACCTCCGACACAATTGGTGGTTCTGGGATTCCCACCTTGATAGGGGATCTCTGCAGTTCTCCGTTGACGGCGCGCCCTACGACACCGGTACATCTTTACCAGAGCCACAAATCTCTGTACCGAACACCTTTGTATCACCCTGGGATCAATGTCTTGTTCATGAACAAACGGAATGTTTGGGTGCACCAGCCGCCGAGGCCGTCTGCTCTGGATTTTTGGCAGGTGCATGACACAATGAAGGAGGAAGGAGAGTTGATGCTCCTCAGAACTGAGGCTAGCCTTCGTCACTTGTCTCATTCGTGCGCCCACTAACATGCCCAGTGCCCAGTGGTGGCGTGCCGGTTGCTTGAGCCGCTCTGAGGCAGCATCTTTCGTACCATGTCTGGGAGGATATGCAGCTCAGCTAAAGCAACGTCTGCCGCTGGTCTCATGGATGATCATGAAGGGGCGGCCAGGGCGGCTATTGGCCCGATAGAGAACAAATATAAGGACAAGGTGCCTTGCTATGTAGAAAAGACTCGTGAGCGGGTTGTACAGTCTCCGAAGCACAGCAGTACTTAGCTGCCCCAATGAACAATGCGCCGAACTCCTCCCATGCTGTTATGAACCGTCGCTTGCCAGAACCCAACGTCGACGTGCCTATTCCAGTTTATCCAGGTGCTCCAGTCTCGTCAAAACAACCTGCTTGCTGGTCTCCTCGATTTCGCCCGCCAGGAACACCTCATCCAGGATCGCGTAGACTTTGTAGAAGTTGAAAACGAGATCAAGCTCGCAGACGTTGCCGAAAAAGGCATCCAGAACCTCCACAAAGAAGTGTATGGCCTCGAGGTAGGCGAGCTCGTTGTCGTTGGTGTCGACGCACGCGCAGAAGAAGAGGCCGGCGTACCGCCTGTAGATGACCTTGTTGTTGCGGAATTCGACAAAGTTGGATTGGTACTTTTGGTCGCGCGGCGCGACGAGGCGGTGCACCTCGCCCTTGAGCTTGATCTTCTCGTCGTCGCTGTACGGGGCGTACCACTTGGCGAGGCGAGTCTTACCCCTGACATTGTGAGCGGGCCGTTGCGACTTAAGCCGAGGGACATGGAAGCCTTACTGTCGGTTTTGGATCAGGATGAAGGACAACATCGTCGCACGCAGGTCCTCGCATCCGAGGCGACGAGGAACAAGCGTTTGTAGGTTTGGGGAGCAGCGGCTGCAGGAGAGTCGTCGACTTGTCGCAAGCTGGGTTCCTGATGGACAGACGGAGTGTGGGGAGGGAGGGTCGATGGCATGCGGCTTCCTTGATCAACATTCTCCAACGCCCTATTATCGATAAGGCACCCCCCCAAGTTCAAACTGGCTCCCTCCCAGCCAGCCAGCCAGCCAGCATTCTACCTTACTCATGACTTTATCTGCAACGACGCGTTTTGCTGCCGAAAAGACTCTTTACTAAATCACTTCTCTCATGTCTCCTCATCGCAGAAACTTGTCGTGTCTGCTCCCTCGGTTTGGGAATGGATGAGGGGATAGCGACGCGATGGCACTTTCTACTTCCCCTTCATCTCCTCTCAAGAAGCTCGTGCACGTCCTCTGGGGCGACTGGCAAGCAAACCAACTATGGCAGCGCATATTCAAGGCATCCCTCGCGTGCACAATCGCCGTCTCCATTGCGGTGATTCCCAAGGTAGTGGAGGTTTATGGGCTCAACACCTACCTGATCCCGATGACGGTCGTCTTTGCCCATCCGGGCCAGCGCATGGCGATGATGATTGAGTCCTTGGCTCTGCTCCTGATTGGAGCGACGCTCGGCCTCGGCTGGGCGCTTCTTGGTCTTTATCTGTCGACATTAGTGACCGAGCAGGATGCGGCTGCTGGGTCCACGATACGTGCCTTATTCTGGCTGGTAGCCACGTTCATACATGGTTTCGTTCGGTCTGCGAAACCTCGCCTTTTCGTTCCCATGTGGTTTCTAATGATTGCTGCCGGTACAATATTACTAGGCAGCAGTACCGAGGTCACCTTGAGATCATTCACAAGCATCATGTACCCAATCCTGACTAGTGGAGGCATTGTGCTTATTGTCAATATCGCCATTTTCCCGGAGCTTTCCACAAGCTTTCTGGGCAAGTCGACACTGGAAACGCTATGGGAAACCCTGGACACTGTAGAGCGCGCGACACATTGGTTCATCACGACGGGGGGAGACTCGCCCGAGGCGAAGCAAAGGCAGTCTGGCGCATCCAGAGCCTCTGCCAACAAGGCAAAACGAACGTGGTGGATGGACTTTTTGGCCGATTTTCCAAACCCATTCCACGCCGGCGGCAAACAGACGACCCCCAGGAAAGCAATCAACTTGACGACCTTCGTCGAACTGTCCTCGAAGAAGCCTGGTCTGCGAGCAGCGCTTGCCAGATGTAAAATGGCCCAGGATGAAGTCAACTTTGAGTTCTCTGTCTCACCACTCTCGCCCAAAGCTTTGAAGCCCATCAGCAAGCACGGCGCATCGGGGCTGGTCCAGAACGTGGTGACGCTCATAAATGCTTGCGAGAACAAGTACGTAATGTTGAGCGCAGCTACCGACGTGGAATCCTCGCGCCAATCAAGCAAGCCACCGTTCAGCAAAGGTGCGCCGCCTGGATCCCAGGCTCTGCACCAGCTTCCAGAAGATGACATGCAAGATGAGGAGGATCACTTGGTTTCGATAGACGACGTGAAGCCTCTCCGGGAAATCACAACCGCCAGTGTGCAGAAACTCGAAACTGTCTTGCAGCGTCTGCGTGAGCCAGTGTCAACTTTCGGTGAGGAATTCCGCAAAGCCGTTCTGCTGCTCATGGCCAGCATTGCATATTGCTATGACGTTCCGACGCTTCCCTCTGGACTGCACAGGCCGGATGGCATTCAGGTGGAGGAGGTAGATCTTCACCTGGATGCCTTCCTCGACGCCATCAGAAAATTCGACGAGCGGTCCACTCGAGAGCTGAAGCTGGCTTGCCTGCTGGAGACAGGACAAGGTGTGGACATTGCACCTCGCATGGAGATGTTCCTCGTTTCGTCCTTCATCCTTGGTCTCAGACAATCCGCATTGCAGGTGCTGCAGATGCTCCACAAGGCACGGGAGCTCGTAGACGAACGCAGAAAGCGCAATGACCGGCCACGTCTCTGGGTTCCCCATTATGCAGACATTGGAAAGTGGCTGTCTACGACAAGCGAGTCTGATGTCATGATCTTGCCGAACAAAGCTCGAAAGAAGACCTCTGGGGGCAAGAAGAAGAAGAAGAAGCAATCATCTCCAGACACTTCAGACAGCTGCGTCTCCACTGTCCCCTCACCACAAGACGAGGAACAAGGACTCGGATCGGATGGGCGCAGGCGACCTGGCCAGAGTGCGCACAGAGCCCAGGCCAAGGCGACACCCACCCAAACACCGCAACAAGGGACAATTTGGGGCAGAGTCAGAGAAAACCTCGCTGACATCTTGGAATGGGCTCAGCAATCCGATGACCTTGCGTATGCTTTGAGGTTCACACTGGCCGTGATGATTGTCAGCTGGCCATCGTTCGTGTCATCCTGGAGGCAATGGTACGGCAGTGTTCGCGGTATATGGGCACCCATTCAATTAGTCCTGGCGTTTGAGGTGTCCATCGGAACCTCCATCTTCGTCTTTCTCGTGCGGCTCACTGGGGTCATCTTTGGCTGCGTCTTGGGCTTCGCCTCGTACGAGATTGGCGGCGGTAATCGTGTAGCCATGGTGGCTATTCTCATGCTAGGTATCATATTCTCGTTCTACGTCCAGGTCGGCACAAAATACGTCAAGGCGGGTATGGTTGCGACGACCTCAATGTGTGTCGTCGCGACAGGTCAGTCTTTTTGGGCTCTGTAAGGCCGCTTCTTTCGCTGACTGTCAACCTCTTTAGCTGCCATTAGCCAGCCCCAGTCTGCGGTCGAGACTTTTGAATATCGACTGGTCGCCTTTCTCGTCGGTGCTTTAGTCGGCCTTGCTGTGGAGGTCTTCGTCTTTCCGGTGCGAGCGCGCCATCGCCTTGTGGATTCACTTTCAGCAGCTGTTCGTCACGTACAGAGCATGCACTCGGTTATTCAAGTCGGGATCAGCAGCCCGTCACGGCCCAACTTCCGCTCCCAAAAGCTAAACCGTGCCTTTTCTCGCGCGAGGAACAAGGCGCAGGCGTCTCTAGATGCAGCTGGAGCCTTCCTCCCGTTTTGCCTAAGCGAGCCTCGACTCAAGGGCAGCTTCAAGCCATTTGAGCCCATTTACCAGGAGATCATCTACGTATTGCACCAGATTATTGATCGGCTGGATACGGTGGTTGACATTCGGAAAGCGTACGGCTCGTCGATGCTGGAAGACCTGCATGCCCAGGTCTACGCATACCGGCGTAATGCGGCAGCCGCCAACAACTTGATGCTATTCTCCGTTCACGAGGCCATGACCACCTGGCTTCCCCTGCCACAATTCTTGCCGTCTCCCCGCATTGCGCAGTTGCGACTTGTCAGCCGTGTGCGCGAGGTTGTGGAGGAAAAGATAGCCAAAGGAGAAACTCCTTCGGGCTCTGGCAAAGATGAACAAGGCTCCGAGAACGCAGCCTCCTTCGTGACGCAACGCAAGTTCCTTGCCTGGAACGCAAATGCTGCAGGGCTCATGGAGATTGTCGAGTATCTCGAGGAACTCGTCGAGTTGACCAAGATCCTGGTAGGCGTCAATGCTTTCCGCAGTGGCCTATTCGAGAGGTCGCAATACAGCGACTACGTGGAGCAAGTCCGTACCAAGCGACAACCGGGGAGGACCACCACGGCTACAGACGAACGGGCTCCGTCATCGGCAGCTGGTGATACCACAGACAGCATGGCCAGAGTGACCAGTGTTGCAGCGTCCGTGCAAAGGTTCAGACGAGCGCTGAGTGTTAACAGGGGACCACCTCAAGTCGCCCCCGAGGAAGCCATTGCGGATGACGATGATGATGATGCGCTGCCGGCAAGCTTGCGCAGGGTGGGATCAAGAGTGCAGCGGCAAAGCAATGTTGCCCGGAGGCGAGGCTTCAGCGCATCAACTGATTGAATTGAGTATCACCACTGCGTTTGCAAGATCATGATAGTATACCATTATGACTGGACATTATTACCTTGTCGTCTCTGCATCTTTGATCCAACATGTTCAACTAATACACAACACGAAAAGGCGCAAAAGAATAAAGGCCACAGCTTTCCTTAGAGAGGCAACAGGATCAAAAATGCAAAAGGATACTCCGGTACAGGGAATCGAACCCTGGGCTTGACGGTGCTTCAGCTTCAGAGAAGTGAGAGCGTCAAATGTTAGCCACTACACCATACCGGATTGTGAATGACATGTCTCAAATTACAGCTTATATAGCGTAGGCAAAACAGTAGCATAATCGAAATAGAGGCTGGCCGAAGCCTCGCTAACATAACTGCAGCCCATTGGTTTGTCCGAAACAACTTGACACGCCGCAATGAATCCAGAGTACGACCATAAAACGGCACACGAATAGGGATAGTTGAAAATTCAATAGGGTATTACATTATCCTAGACACATGAAACTTGCCGTCCGAGGCTTCGTTACCAACCAAGTACCTATAAAATCCCACGCCCGACGCCCCCCCCCCCCATATCTCACGACTCTACGCACTTACTACCTCTTCTTCTCCTGCAGCAGCTTGACAGCCTCATCCCATCCTCTCTGTTCCGCCATCTCGAGCACTGTTCGGCCCATCTCGTCCTTCACGTCGAGATCGACACCACCGCCTTTCTCCTTCAGGAGTCGCAGCACATTCAGATCACCGTTCTCGATGGCTTGGAACATGGCATTCCACCCGCGGTATATCTTGTTCGGGTTCGCGCCGTTCTCAAGAAGCATCTCCATGATAGCCGTGTCCTCGCCATGGTAGCGGCGCACGGCCTTGACGATAGGCAGGTGCTCGCCGGGCGCATTAATGTCGGCGTTTCCGCCCTTGGGGTCGAGCAGATACTTGACAATCTCCCGACGATCCTCACGGATGGCGGTGGTCAGGGGGGAGAAGACGCCGCCATTCTTGTCCTCCACAGAAACACCGGCGGCCAGGAGAAGCTTGACGGACTCGAGTTGGTTGGCGGCCACGGCACGTTCAATGACACCCTTGAAAGCCCGAGGTTCAGCAAGAACTGACAAGATGCGCTGCAGGATGTTGGGACAGTGCACTGCCATGCAAACCGGCCAATCTTCACCGCGCTTGTTAGGGTCGGCGCCACGCATGATCAAGAGATCCACCATCTCTATGCGCCTCTCGCGGATAGCGGTGGTCAATGGCGACTGGCCCTTGGGGTTACGTTCGTTCGGGTCCATTCCTTGGTCCAGGAGCCAGACGAGCCCCTCCATGCTGTTGAAGGCAACAGCTGTCTCGACGATACCCTTCGGGCTGTGCAGGTCCGCTCCAGCGGCCACCAGCTGAGGCAGGTAGTGCAGTCGATTGTGAGTGATGCACTTGAAAGCGGGATATTCGCTTGCGGGTGTGTTTGGGTTCGCGCCGCTGCTCAGGAGCAGCTGGAAGATGTCTGGGTGGTTGTCTCGGATCGAGGTGCACAGAGGCGTGTAAACGCCATCCTTCTTTGCGTTGGGATCGACGCCAGCCTTGAGTAGGATCTTGACAGACTCGATCTTGTTGAGACTTGCGGCCAGTTCCATAATGCCAGGGGCTTTCTTGGGGTCCGCCCCGTGCTTAAGCATGATCTGGAGGCACTGTGGTTTGTATGTCGATGGCCACAGCATGTGCTTCGGGCCAGGCAGATTGGGGTTGGCCCCATGCTCCAGGAGGCTGGTGACTATATCCGCGCGAGACGAGGTGATGGCCTCAAAGAGGGCCGTCTTGCCCTCCTCGCTCTTCCCGTTCGGATCGGCACCGTACTCGAGCAGGAGATCGACAAATTTGGCTGGGGTTTTCTTGTTGATGGCGCTAATGAGCATCGTGTCGCCCTCCGCATTGAGGATGCTCACGTCACCGCCGTACATGAGCATCAAGTGGGCTAGGCTGACCTTGTTCTCAAGCGTCGCCATGGCCAAGGGCGATTCCGGTTCCGGACCTGCCTTGACGTTGGGATCAGCGCCGTACTTGACGAGCATAACTGCGCCAGGAAGGTAGGATTTTTCTGTGGCCGCGGCAAGCGGCGTCATGCCCTCTCGATCTCTTCCGTTGGGGTCGGCCCCGAAGCAGAGTAGCAGCCGGATGCTTTCAGAATCCTGCACACGGACTGCTTCGATCAAGGCATTGATCTCGGGCCCCGTGTTGGGCGAGACGCCACGGTCGAGCAGCTGCTCAACTAGTTTGTGATTCCGACCACGAATGGCCGCTGTCAAGGCACCTTTCATCCCGGCGCCATCCGCCCCGCCGCTCGCACGGGGCGTCCAGCGTGGCATGGTGAAGGGATCAACCTTGAGGCGCATGACGCCCTTGGACCCAGTAGAGCCGAGATCGAGCGCGGCGATCTCCTCCAACAGCCCCTCATTTGCCGTGTCGCTTCCGGTATGGTGCGAGAGTGTCTCCTCAAAGGAGCTGAGTCGATCGAATTGGTGGTTCTGTTGGTGGTTCTGGACAGGGCGCTCGTGGGAGCCCACCGAGCTAGGTGTTGTTGTGCTCCAGTGCCGTGTATCCGTGATCTGGTTGCGTGAATCCAACGACGAATCGAACCCGGCAGGTGCGGGACCATGATTGATCGATGCAGACCTTTCGGACCAAGGCAGCGGCGGTAGCGGAGGCTGTGCGGTATGGGCGGTTTGTTGAGCTAGGTGTGCGTGTGAACGGTTCGCCTCCAGTGATTTGGTTCGGTCAAGAGCACCGGTGGGCTTTTTACTGTCCAGCTTGTTCAGGGCAGCTGCCAAGCCGGTGAAGCCGATCCCCTGTGAGCTCTCGATCTTCTCGTTGCCGAGGCTCCATTGGAACATGAGAGCGCTCATCCTCAGAGATTCGCGTGTCTGCTCCAGGGCATGAGTCATCTTGGAGAAGTCGGTATCGCCAAACAGTTTACTGAAGCCCCGCTTCATCTTTCCCATGGCGCTATGGCCCTTTCTTTCGGAATCAAGCACCTTCAAGAGCATTTGATCGAGTAGGTTGAAGTCGGCTTGACACACGCGAAACTTCTTCTCCAGCTCCGATAGAAGATCTGCGGGAAAGAATGGACCAGCCCTAGAGCATTCCTCGAGCCCGGCCTGCAGAGTCAGGAGGACTTGGCAAGTGGACAAGAAGCTATGAGCCAGGTTGTCTAGCCCGAAGGGCATGTTATTTTGCTTGACGGAGGTGAGGTACTCGAGCATGCGGACTGAAATTCGGTCCCCAACTTTGGTGGTCTTCTCGCACACCTCCAGGCATTGTGTCTGAGCTCGGGCGAGGGCAGCCGACGCGGCCATCTTGACGGTCCGGCTTCGACTTGGTGGTCGTATGGGTGTCTCCGTGATGACAGGAGCTGCTGAAAGCCCTTTGAACTGGGTAGTATCGTGGAGAGGAGCCTGTGTCTGTATGCCAAGCCTCTCTTTGGACACAAGAGACAGCTGATCACTTGTAGGGCCGATATTGAGGGCCTCGAGAAAGGAGAACTCGTTGTCAGACTGAGTCGGAGTCGGCAGGGCAATCGACGAATTCATGGTGCTGACAGGCAACTCAAGCGCCTAAATTCGAGAAGGGAAAAAATTGCAGATATGACAGCTCCATAGCTTGGGCTTATGTACGCTTTTAGAGGAGCAAGAGTTGCCTGCGAAGCAGCCATCAGGTCTGGTGCTTATGCCTAAGCCTGCACCCCTCTACCAATCCATGATCTACTATTAGTTGGTATCAGTCCCATGTCGATACTTGGGGCAGAGGCGTGTCTCCAGTACCACCACCAACCTACACGAAGTGGTTGGTTGGCTCATGACCATTGACCATGGCTAGATTATTGGAGAGAACCTATATCAACCGCGGCCAGGCTAGCGCCGGGGAAAGAATAAGTTCAAGCGCACCCGTACACACAAGAGACAGACCGAGCATTGGCCCGTCAAGAGCGTCTGCGGGTGGCCTTGTGAAGGAACTGGGATTGCCATGCCCGCCGTCACTCGTGCCTTTTGCGCGAGGGCACGTCCAGCTCACTGAGATTGATCGCAGTCGAGGACGTCAGCATTTGATCGACGAATGCCCAGGTTTCAGCATTCTGCACATCCACGTTTACGGACACAACTGCAGTTGGGATTGTGGGAAAGGCCGCCAAAGGCGCCATGCGCCGGTGCCTGGACTCGCATCCTGGAACACGAACGGCAGGAGGAATAGCCACAATAGTAGAAGAGCGCCGTTGGTACAGGGGCCTCTTGCGTTGCCTTAGGACGATTGCGTCCTAGATCTGCTTTAGATAGCAGCTGCGGGCTCTTGGAAGCTGGTTCTTGACTCGCGCGAGACCCGCTTCGCGCTATTGTTGAACCCTGACCCCGGCGGCCGCGCCCAGTTCAGCTTTTGAGGGGTATTGTTCGCAACTCGCAAGGTGTCGACTTGGGGAGCCAAGCCTGTATAAAGCCCAGAATGTCAAAGAGACAGACTCTCGAGTCATTGCACTGCGCCTCTTGCAATCGTTGGCCCTATGCGATATGGCGTTGGTCCCTTTGGCACGGGGCAGAGGATCGATCACCGAGGTCTAAAGCCACGCGGGGTGCATTATGCAGGCGATTTCTGATATTGAGTAGCAAGTACCGAAGATTTGTTGTGTTCATGCGGTATGTCTTGCTAAGCCGCGCCGTAATTACTCATTCGTTTCTTGTGACCTTGTCTAGGTAGTAGCTGGCGCCGAGCGTGCCTCGCTATGCCGTGCGTGCGGGTCGTTGTCCGCTCTGCCCGAATGTTTGTCAAGCGAGGAGTTTGATGATCGGACTTGGCGGTCATCGCGGGCACCCCACGAATCAAGACCAGACGAAGCACCCTGTCGGTTCGGAAGACCTCACAGCGTGCCGCGGGAATTGCGAGCGTAGAATGCGTGCGGTAGTCCCGACACATGGTCGATAGCGTAAGCCCACTTGTAAGTCTCTTGCGTGCGGCGTGCGCTATTCACGGGGTCCACTGTGGATGCTGCCAGTGTTGTTTACCGGAAAATGGGAATGAGGGGGCTTGAACTCTGAGTATGTACTATTGTATGAGTGCTATGTGAGAAGTTGCAAATTGCAATGGACCTGGTTTAATCGTAGGTCGGTAGCTGGTTCCAAGTATCTGGACACTTGGGGCTCGACGGACGGGGCATGAGAGTGGGAGAGCAGAATGGTGACAATCACGGCGTCCTGACCGGAGGAAGGTGCATACCTAGTAGGTCAGGTAATACTACCTCGTTGACGAGCTAATACGTGCCTACCTTACCTGCCTGACCTTATCACCCAATGCGCCCGTACTTAGCCAGCGGCGGGTGGCACTTGCTTCAGAGTCGGACACCATCGGGGATTCGGGGTACTTTTCAGTCCAGCCAGGCTCTTTCCGTGCCGCGTGAGATGGAGTCGGATCTATAATCTATTGAGCCACTGATGCTTGATGAAGCACTTCGATTCGTCAGGTGCACGCGTGGCCAAGGCACGTACCTGCCTAAGTATCCGTACGCACGTACAAATGCATTTCTTGGACCACTGGTTATCGGGATTCGCTCTAGACCAGGCACCATGAACAAACGATTACTATCCTCCCGTCCCACACGCACTTTCAAACTTTCATGCCACCAGACACTCCAACAATTCCAAGAGTCAAAGGACGCCAGCTAAGCGTCCCGCCCGGGATCCCACGTGTGAAGATGTTGGCCCTGGCACCTGCGGCCCTGACGGTTGCCATTTTCAGGTAGGTAATTTTAGCGAGTGCTGTGTCTAGACTCTGGAGATTTCCTCCGTCAGTCCGTAACCAGGAGCTAGCGACGCGTCGACGGTCTCTCGCCCTCAACAATTGTGATTCATCCTGGGGCGACTTTTGCGAGACGTGTTAATAGATCCGGTCCACCATCTCCGGTCTCTCGGTGCTCGCTTCCAGATCCAAGGTACACACCCCTTGGCGCTAGAGGAATCTCATCGATCTCCCCGGCGGCCCACTGGATCTGTGCCTGGATCTGTGCTTGTAATGATCAGTACGGAGTACGTACCCCAAGATGCGACAACATGGTCCGCAAACAGAGGCCATCGCGAGACCTCGACACAGCGCACGCGAAGCATCAGTCTGGAGGTTTTCACCGAAACAAAGGAACATGCAGACCCATGCTGCCCGGGGAGGCTAATCTCAACGGCAACGCATCCAACACCCAACCACGTCCCGACAATTGAGCACCTGCTCTTCCACGTGGAGTCGCGCACGTTGCCAGAGGCAGAGAAGACCAATGACAACCCAAACCTGGGCAATTGAAGCTGTACTGTAGCGAGCATGTGCTCCTCACTCGCAGCCTTATTCTGTTAAGCTTAATTAGGCAGCTCTGTTGAAGTGGGCAGGCACTTCCACGCGCGATATAAGGGGCAGCAATGTCGCCTGCTCGGAGCGAGGTTTGTCAAGATCTTGACTTTTTCGTCCGAATCAGCAATCTAGGGTGAAGCTGCATCATGTATCGTCAAGGCTCTCTGATCGCTGTCGCGGCGCTCGCGCGCATGGCTGCGGCTGGTCTCTACCCCGGGATCACAAACGAAAACCACACTTGCGTCCTTTGTATGCATCATTCCACCGTAGCCAAACCAGCCAAGCTGACCACCTCCGCAGCGGATCCTATCCTTTCTTGCAGCAACAGGGCCGTCCCCAACAAGGTCGACACTTGCTGCACTGAGACGTTTGGTGGTCTGGTACTCCAGACGCAATACTGGAACACTCACACCGGCCTCGAGGACCAAAACCAGCTTCTTCCCCAGCATTCATGGACTATCCATGGCTTGTGGCCTGATTTCTGCAATGGTAGGTTGCTGCCTGAGCCTGATTAAAAAGAAGTGGTAGCTAAATCACACTTGCAGGCTCCTATACGCAGTACTGCGACCTGTCTCGCCAGTACGACCCTCTTCCCTATCCCAATACTACTACGGGAACACCGGATGGCACGCCTGTTGTGCCCTACGACGGCGAGCCTATCTCCGAATGGTTCGAGCCCAACGGCAAAGCCGATCTGTTGGAGTACATGGAGAAGTACTGGCCCGGACTCGATCAATCCAGCTGGATTCTCTGGGCCCACGAATACAGCAAGCATGCCACTTGCTTCTCTACCTTCCAAACCGAATGCTACGTAAGTCTGCAAGAGGAGGCACGCCATACGTGACCATCTAGCTGACAGAGACAGGGTCCTAACATGCATGTGTTGGACGATCTGTGGGATTACTTTGAGACCGCCGTCGCCTACTTCCGCACACTCCCCAGCTGGGGCTGGCTCGCTACCCACGACATCATCCCTTCCAACAGCACATCGTACACCCTTGGTGACATTCAGGACGCTTTGACCCAGGGCTTTGGTGAGCTGCCGTTTGTCGGCTGCGCCGGTCCTCGCTACAACGAGACCGAGGCTGGCAAGGGCTCGATGGACAATGGCCGCACTGAGCTCAACGAGATCTGGTACTACTACCACGTCTACGGTGCTCCGCAGCGTGCTCAGGGGCTGCGCGTACCGGTGATCGACAGCTTCGTCACGACCTGCGCCAAGGCTGAGAACGCCATCAAGTACTACGAGCGCACCAAGGGCAGCGAGCAGTAGCTCGAAGGGTTCTGAAGGAAAGGGACATGATGATAACAAGTGGGCACACACCAAGTAGAAATTGTTGATATGATGAAAGACCATCGCGACACTCGCTACAGGGGGTCTGTTGCATCGCTCGCCCCCGATTTGCCCCGTCCCCTACCCACCATCCGTTTTGTTTTTTTTTGAATACATGAATATTGGCCTGCCAAAAAGCCAAAATTTTAGGGAGAACGACCCCACTTGAGCCGACTACGCATCGTCGTTTCCGTCCTCCTCAACCTTGGGGGCCACGTACGAACGCTGTTGGACTTCACCCGAGTTGACCTGTGTGTCGGTGCCAGTGGTCGTAGCAGAAGCGGGAGCAGGCTGACCTGTGGAGGCAGCGAAAGCGGCGTTAGACACGCCCGCACCCCCGCCCTCGGCCTTGGACTTCTTCTTCTTCTTCTTGGGCTTCTCAGTCTGGAGATTCGGTCAATATCAGACGTGCCTGTCCTCGGGTGGAGCGGAAGACTTACCTCGTGCCATGCCCAGACGGGTCGGAAGCTGTCCATAAAGGACACGTCCTCCCACAGATTCGGGTACAGCCAGAGACCGGGGGGTACCGCAAAGTAGGTGATGCAGAACAGAATGACACGGAAAATGGCCATCAGGAAGAACAGGCCGAGAAGGCCCAACATGCCCCAGCTCAGGTAGTACACGCCCAGGCGGAGCTTGAGCGGCCAGAGCGGGTAGAGAACCACAGCAAAGATGGCGACGAGGGCCAAGGCAGCATACAGCTGGCGCTTGACCTGGCTACCCTCATACAGCCATGCGTAGTACATGTCGTCGCCAGCTTCTTGCTGCTGCTCAATCTTCACATTCCACTGGCCCTTGACACGCTTGGCCTTCTTGCCGTTCGGGCCAGGGGGGGGGTCAATCTGCTTGATCCGGAGGGCAAGCATGCTGAGCGGAAGGAGCTTGAAGGCATTCTCGAGTGAGGCCCTATCCTTAATCTCCGGGAGAAGAGGATTCTTCTTGCGCGCTTTCTCGTAGGCGGGTGACTCGAGGGCTCGGAGAGCTCGCTTGACTGCTTCCATGTCAGTTCTGCAGATGTGCGGATGGACTAGCCGGGCCTACCTCGAAACATGTCTCTGCGCTCCCCGTTGAGGATACACGTGCGAGTCTTCAAATCTTGGCTCCGAAGGAACTTGGCCATGGCTAGGGCCTCGGGTTTGGGCGGACCTGGGTTGATCGCCTGGCGCTGAGGGCGCATTTGCTGCGGAGGACCATGCTGGTGCGGCCTTGGCTGTCCCTGCTGCTGTTGTCCTTGCTCGCCCTGCTGCTGCTGGCCTTGTGGTCCTCCCTGGCCTGGCTGTCCCGGAGGTCCTTGGCCTTCCTGCGCCTGTCCTTGCTGTTGCGCTCGTTGGGCAGCCTGCTTTCGGATCTGCTCAATGAACTCGGGCACGGTCATGCCCGCAGCCTCAGCATCGACTCGCAGCTTCTGCTGGACATATTGGATCTGCTCGGGAGTTGGACGCTGGCCTGGCTGGATTGGGGGCATGCCAGCGGGCAGCGGTATCGAAACAGGTACGCCGCGACCCGAGCCTTGCGGTGGCGGGGTCGCCATACTGTAGGATTGATCGAGAGTCTGCTGAAATTACAAGGACGTGAAATGAAGACGATGGCTGGAAAAGGCCGCGATCCTGGAGTACCAATGTGGCTAACGGGAATGCCGGGCGTGTTTGCCGTGCAAGTTTGTGGACAGATTTGTGGTTTGTTTGAATTAGGGATGCGACTAGCCAGGACGATGTCATTGGGACTGGACCTTGACAACAGGGTGTTCACTTGACTGTGCCTGCAGGGAGCGCCACAGTCTGAGACACTGTGTGACGATGCCGCGCACTGTGATTTTTCGTGAATGCCGTTCCAGCATCGGTAGCTCCAAGTTCGCTTCCAGCATCGGCCGCATGTTGACGCTCACTCCGCGCGAACCCCATGCCTAGCGACAATGACTGATCGCCTTACCCAGCTACAGGATGCTGTCGACCAGGTAAGCTCCTTGGAATCACTTGAGTGTATCAAGCCAACCTTGTAGTAGCTGGCCCAGCAATTCGTTGCTGCGGTGCACTTTGTCCACAAGCGGCACGACTACCAGACGCTGGGACCAAATGACAAGGTCCGCGAGGTTAAGCCCGAGGAGATGCAGCAGACTAGTAAGGCGCAGAAATCACCGGTCCTCTCTGATAAATGCTGACCCTCGTCCAAGTTGATCCGCTTCCAGCCGAGGACTTCCAGGCCGGCCTGAGCGAACTGTCGCGCGACCTTATCACGAAGGAACAGCAGATCGAGTACCTTATATCCATGCTTCCCGGCTTGCAAAACAGCGAAGAAGACCAGGAAAAGTCCATCAAGGAACTGGAGGAGGACCTCAAGGCCGCCGAGGCACAGAGGCTGGAGGCGCTCAAGGAGAAGGATGAGATCCTCGCAGAACTGGACCGGGTCATACAGAGCATCCACAGGCCATGAGCAGCCACGAACGGCTCGTATTTTGCATTTTTCACAGCGAGGCGTTTGGCAGGGCATAGTACTGGAGGGGGTCAGGGTGCACATCTTTGACCGAACGATCAGATACCCACAATACGACGCGTTATCGAATGATATTACATCGTCTATATTCTATTAAGATCTGTCTTGTTTTCACCAGGCTCAAGTTGCCCTGAAGAACTGTGGAAACACGTCGCGCAATTCGCGCAAGTGTCGGATCTGGTGCTGTGATGCCTGCTTCTCAGGAAGCGGCAATCCCTCCTCCACGAGGTGGGCGACGTTCCACCCCACGTCTTTCGCCGCAACGCAGTTCTGATACGAGTCATCTAGTCCGTTGTAAGCACGTGTCGAGATCGCAAGGTACTGTATTTGTTCTCACCGACAAAGTAGCAATTCTCGTAGCCTTGTACCCCTGCTTCCTTCATGGCCTTGTCATACATGCCGCGCTGAGGCTTGCACAGGAATGGCACCTGAGCATAGTCGCAAAAGGTCAGACCCTCGAATTGGTCATCTATGCCTAGCAACTTGACAACACGCTTTCCATGTGTCACATAGGCATTCGTCAGAAGCCATACTCGGACTTTGCTCCTATCAATAGACTCGAGGAGTTGGCGCAGCTCGGCATCTGGCTTGATGATGTCTTCGAGTGGAAGCGCGTCGTCCACCTTGGCGTTGTAGTCAAGAGGATCAATCTCGTGGTGTCGAACTAGTCCTTCTATGGCCAGGCCGTAGTTGGTGTAGTATTCCCGGTGCAGTCTTACAGCGTCTTCATGAGCTAGGCCAAGATGAGTCGAGAAGTACTTGTCGATCAGATCAGCCATGAGCTCGAAAACCCTGGTACCTTCAAGCAGTCAGTGAGGTGCTACGATGATATGGCAAAACGCCGGGGGACGAGCTTACTCCTCGGGTATAGACAGTTGTCGATGTCGCTGTGGCCATGTGAGTGAATATGTAACAGCGGTTGAGGGAGTCATGTACAAGAACAATACTGGCTTCGTGGCCATGGTGTCTCCAGCGTCTCCCATCTTGTGAGTCTGGTTCATAAGCTTGAACGTGTGAACAAGTTTTCGGGGTCTGGCGTGGTTAGTATTATGTCAACAGTTGGCCTGTGCGTGACTGTTAAGATGGCAGTGTGTCGTAGTACTTGTAGGTGGACTCACAAGTTCAAGTTGGAGTAGGGGTGGGGGGACTGAGGTGACCGGAGCCGATGACTCGACGGGCCAGCTGTCGTGGCTTCGGTAGCAACAGTTCAGTCCTCGGTTTGTCGGGGTCTTGACCGCAGATTGTTCAATAGCTTCATATATCAATGGACAGACCCTCACTCTTGGGTATCTGAGAGACCATCGAATTCACTTCATCGATTTTCAAAATTATTTTAGCACGTTTTGGTGTACACATGCGTTGTCAATTCCAACGTTACGCACTCTATCAATCCGATGCCACCCAAAGTCTCCGGGAACAAGTGCGTCATCAGTAACCACACCATACTTCAATGATATCCATCTCCAGTCAAGCTCCCATGAATATACCTAGCATTACAGGACGACTCAAGGCCTTGTATCAAGCCACTGTCGCGACCAGTGAACGTGACTTTTGTGTTGCACGAAGACGTGCATAGGGTACGGCATACCGTCGGCCCCACAGGCTCTAAATGTTGACCGCCTTCTGCAACTAGCGACTGGCCTCTTCTTGTTGATGGGCCTCGACAGACACTGGGAAATCCCGACGCGATACTTTCTTCCCTTCAAACCGCGCGGCAATACCAGTCTTCCTATTATCATTAACACCCAGTCCATCGCCATTTGTTCCCTGTCAGTCGCCTGTAAGCCTTTGCTACACGATCTGTCTCTTGGTGCGCAATATTCGACGCATTCGGCGTTCTTGTACTGTGTGACCCGAGCTTCGCGGATGCAAAGTAGCTTTGCGCAGGCCCTGCTGCTGCACAGATACTTATGGCGCAAGGCCATCCCCCGTTGCTGAATGGCACGGGGCATCATCGCCCCGCCGAAGCATCAGGCAATGAACTGTCAACTATCCAGCAACTTGAGAAGATCTTGCAGTTTCGCGACACGGTTGTTTCGGGTCATCACCCAACTATCAAGTTGCCCCCTGGCGTCGCGCCGTTAGCACAGTCGTCACCAAGCTCCAAGCTCCAAGACGAGTCGCTGAACCGCGAGCGTAGCGCGAATAACCAACAGTCTTATTCAGCAAACGCAGCAGCCGTGGTAGCTCCCCCCACCGCGTCACCAAGCGGACTCGCTTCGAGACGAGTGTATGGGCTGGGAAGCACCGAAATCAATCCTATCCTCCTCCAGAAGTCGGATGAGCTGATCAGAGCCGAGTTCCAAGCACAGAGGGCGCGTCTAGAAAGAGCCATCAAGGAGGAAGCGGAACAGCAACGTCGCGCGAAGCAAGAGAAGCCAGAACCATACAATGACTTGAATCTGTCAGAGGTGCTAGCGAAGGCTTTGACCTTGGTACAGGCTCAAGCGCCTGAGAACTCTCTGCTTGATGATGAAGGCTTGACTGCTAACGAAGAAGTCGCAAGTGATTCGTTCGATAACGAGACCTTCTACTCGTCACGACACGACACACCCGAGTCGAATTTGACCTCACGCGTTCGCAGGGACTCGGAAGACAAACAACAAAGTGTCGCACATGGACAGAAGCGTTCACAGCATACAGACACCGCGCCGTCTCATCCAGTTCCCGAGCCCCAGAGGCCGACCCAGCCCTCGTCGATACCCAGTCTACCTCAGACACAGCCCTTGCATACGGGCAATGGCGATGTCAGCTCACACGGTAGCGGGGCGCCATATCAGGTACCTGGATTGAACAACTACGCACAGCAAAACACCAATGCAGGTTCAGCTCCAGGCCAAGCCGGAGTTGGATGGTCGAATGCCACTGTAGGGTCACAGGCGGCTGTACAAAAGCCGGCATCCAACGCGAACGATGCTCTGATGGACCCCGATGACTCGGATAGCTATACGCCGTCGCCTCTGCTCAGTTCCCTCGACCCTGCGCCGACTGTCGCCCAGCCAGCTTCTGCTCCATCGTATCCTGTAGAAGAGCCAGCCCCGCCAGCATCTGGGTTGGGCAACAAGACCCACTCATTCGCAGCGCCAGCCCAAGTTTCTGCTCTTCGTAACGAGCCTATCGCGATTAACAGTCCGGATAGCTCCCCGCAGAGTGGCAGGAGCACCGACAGGAAGAAAGGGAAGAAGAAGAAGAGGAAGGCTGACAGGCAAGCGCCTGAGGATGTCACTCCACACATCAAACCCGAGCCCCGTTCCCAATCCCCCATCTCTGCCCCCAACGTAATCCTCCGACCGAACAAGCGCCAAAAGCAGGCACAGCGGATGGCGGAAGGGTCTGACCGTGACGGCATAGCGGTCCCAATCGCCCATCAACCACAATATGCTCACCCATCTCACTGGGGCGAACCTGTGTCCGCGGTCTATGGCAGTGCGCACGGTTATGCTTATTCACCAGTTGTCACAGAGAGGCGACACAGCGGCGGGTACGGCGGCGTGCCTCAACCCCGATTTGAGACCCAGCAATATCCCCATTACGCCCAGGATGTCCCTGCTGGCGTGGCATGTCCTCCACGGGCAGTATCACACGTTGCGGTGGATGATAGCTATAGGACACCCGTGCGTTACTACAACGATCAGACTGAGACATCTAGGATGAGCGTGCGGCCTGACACTATCCAGTACGCCGGGCAGCCTATGCATTTGCCCTCTAGAATCGTTGTAGACGAGCACGGGCGAGAATATCTGGAGCCGCCTCGCCTAGCAGCGCGTCAATCTGTGGCGCCACCGTCAACTCAAGGTGCTGGTGTGGTCTATGAGCAGGACCCTCGCGCGGTTTCTCGACATCCACCGCCTTTCGATGAGAGAACCATCGCGTACTCTCGTGCGCCCTCCGCATATCCTCCCCCACGGCGCGTGGTTACCCAGCCTGAGTACGTATCGTACAACACGCCGGCTGAAGGACGGCCCAGGGAGTACTCGGTGCGGCCTGCTGGCGGTCCTGCTGAATATGTGCAGCTCATGCCGCCTCCAGGCCGCCACCCTGGCCCTGAGCCACCGCGAGAGTACGTTGCAAGAGCTGCGAGTGCCCGCCCCCCAGAACCTACACACTACGAGCTGCCTCGTGAGTATGGTCGGATGCAGAGCGTGAGGCCCGAGGGAGCAACTTCAGGGTTGGAGTATGGAGCCATGGGGCAACCTCAGGCCAGGAGGGAAGTGCCCCAACCCTACATGGTTGAATACGCTCAGCCCCAGGCCGAGCAGCCAGTGTACCAGCGCAGCTACAGTGTCCGCCCTCCAGAGGGCTACTACGAGCAGCCGCAGCCGCAGCCGCCGGCCGGCACTTATATCGAGCGCCCGCAAGGGGCGCCTGCCAGCGTCATGTATGCGCAAGATGATAGACCAGGACTGTACCGATAACTTGTTTCAAATTTGTACCCTGGGGAGATCTGGAGTGAACCGGATCTAGCTGCCGGAACATGGCGTTATTGGTTTGGAGCATAGCGTTGCCTGGAGTTATATGGCATGGCACGTTGCGATATCGCGCAGAGTACGATACTGCATTCCGGATATAATTGTATACTAATTATTGTCGCGACTCTTTTTCCCGTGTGACTCAAATATCCTCCAACAAAGCTACACTTGCCAGCTAGTATTGACAAGAGCCATATCGAACAGTGATGTCGTCTTGCTGTCAGCGCCTGAGAAAGTGCTCGCTGAATCTACCGCTAAAAGCAACGACCACGAATCAATATGGCTGTGGATCTGCCCTTGGGATCAGCGTTGGGGTATTCGGCAGGGGTCATGTGAGGGCAAGTTGAGGCAGAGGGACCCCAAGTGCCATCACAGCTTGAGGTTTGATCAAATTGCTACAAAGCGAGCTGCATGGAATGATCGTAGACAGATTTATGATAGACGTCGGGCTGGAGGGAATTGATGAGTAGCCGCACGGGTCACGCATTTCAGTGCAGTACCTACACATACGTACCCCGAATATCACCACAATTGCGTCCCCATCAACCGAGAGGGGTTTGCAGGCAGCCAGCTTCGCTGGCAACAGAGAGGTCAACAAGACACAGATAGTCTGCCGCACCCGAGCCAGAGAGGAAAATGCCTCGCTGTCCTTAGGACCATCGGATGCAGGGTGAGCTCGAAAGTCCGCAAGGAGATCGAGCCAGTGACAGGACAGCTATGAAGTTCAAGGCGTATTGTTGGAAACTTGGGGAAGCTACCAAGTGCTTACGACTTGTTCTTGGACTAGACCAGTGGGTGTGGAGAATGGCCAGAGATGGAAGTTTCGAGTTTTTGGGGGTAGGGTTCCAAGCCTCCAGGCTACGATAGTCCTTGTGAAGTTGTAGGAGTTGAGGACCGGTCTGTCGCGAATAAATCGTATTTTATTGTTGCTTTCTGTAGGATGGACCGTTTTGGCGTTAGGCTGTATAATTTGTATGCAGTGAATAATGTTGCGAGCGCCTCGTGTTTCTGGGTCCAGTCCCTCGTTGAAGTCATATCTCGGGCTGAGGGCCCTGGGATTCGGAGACTCGGAGGGGGCAGGTGTTCTGCGTGGCCAGTCGAGCTTCTGGTCAAGGTTTCAATGGAGGGCTGCGCGTACGGCGCGGGAGATGGTGTATGAGCATGACGACGTGCAGAAGAGTGCTTCGTATACAATCTTGCCTTTCTTGCCTTTCTTGCCCATGCTATGCTTTTGTCAAGCTGGATTTGGACTCGTTCTGTTCCCTTGCAATAAGCCTAACCATGAACTTTTTTGAAAGAACAAGCCCTGCTTGGCCTTTGCGTCTCAGATGTCAGCAGGGCATTCTCATCGTGTCTAGATCTTGTTGAGAATATGGGACCTGCAGGTTGGCCACCAGAGAGGCCTGAGGGCGGGCAGCTTGCAAGTTGGTGGAGTGGCTCTGGTCCTGGCGTGCTCGAATCGGTTCGCGGCTGGGGTTCCGTGCCAGCCAGTCCAGCCTGTTCCAGGGCTGGTTGCCTGCGGAGGGCCCCTGAACCACAGGACCGATATCTTTTTAGCCCTAGAATAGACATGGAGCTCCTGCCGCTATTTGTCGACGCAGCCGCGCCGCCAGCAGCAGGGCATTCTTTACCACGCGATGTCGTCAACCTAGTAGTAAGTAATCAGGCTCTCAGCTCAGCACGGACAATGGCAACGACCCGACATGTGGACGATCTCCGGTGGATTTCGAGGCTTGACGGCACGAAAACCGGGGCTCTAAGCTTCAGTCCATGTCATGTTATCCGCGCAGACCTGGCACCTGCAGTAGTCGACGTTAGGGGTCAGCAGCGCTGCGCCATCCAGGGCTATCGGAGGTATGACGCTAGGCCAAGTCACAGCTGGTGGCCTGAGCTAGCACGTGCTAGAGAGTACTTCCAAGCAAAGCAATTCGGCAGTGCTCTCAGATGTCCCATCTAACGTCACCCTATGACAACTCTTCAACTGGACTGCTCCAGCGCTTCTTGCTGCTGCTCTCAGGCTTCAGGCCAGGCCTTCAGGCCAAGGTCCATCATCCTCGTGTGGCCTGCTGCTTCTTCCAGTCCTCTCTCTTATTCTCCCCACCCTTCCATCTCGACGTCCACTCTATCCCCATCTTGTGTCTCGTCAGAGGCACTCACAACTGTTTCTTCTCGATACCAATTCTTCTTTCTATTTTATTTCATTTTCTCCAGTTTCTCCCCGGGCCACCATTTCCAGCCCGCACGACTTTGTCACGATACCCCCTCCCTTCGACTACCAGTTAGCTGTCTCGTCTTTTGCTTCACTGGTCCCGGACAGCCGATTTGATACCCCATACCGCTGCCGCTGTCCACCGAGCAGCACGCCCTCGACTCTTGCCTCCCCGCCATTATGAACAAGTTGGCCAACATGCGGCAATGGAGCGAGCGAATCGGCCCCAATTTCGTCATGGGCCGGCCCAACACCAACGTGCCCATGAATGCAATGAATGCTCATCCCAAGACCATGCCACAACCCGGGGCCCCGATCACCTCCCCGCACGCTGCTGATGCTACGATTCACTGCTCGTTTCAAGTCCCCTTCGCGTCCGACCTCGCCGGCCCCAATACCGAAGACATCTTGCACGCCACGACCGATGCTGTCCTTCGCTGGACGCACCCCGAAGACGCGCCTGACGATGTGCCTGTGCACGACCTGCCGGTTCATGTCAACGGCGTGAACACGTTGGAGAGACTCTGTAACGGTCTGACGACTGGACCTCTGCCCATTGAAGCTCATGTCTCGACCTTGCCGGCTGGTGACGGCAAGGGTAAGCAGACGACCATCGTATGCCTATCGGGCTCTCAGGACCTCGTGCACAAAAGTCGTGAGGCCATCTTTAACGATACGCCCATTTCATTGGTATGCCTTCAAGCCTTCTCTCAGCAATACTTTGTTTGTAGGATTGATCGACTAACTGTGCCCAGCGCTGCACCACGATTGATGTCGACGGCAGTCTTGTGTGTGATCTCGCCGCTGGAAAATTGCGCGAGAAGGTTTGCGAGACTCTCGACTACATCTCCAACTATTGCGGCGTCGACATCTTCCTCCTCGGCCCTAAGCTGACGCCCATGGTCGACGGGATGACCGGCGAAGCCGAAATGCGAATGGACCAGCGTTGGAGGGTTGCCATCTACGGCGACCATCTGTCGTCAGAGCACGCCAAGGTCCGAGTGCTGATTCACATTGACACTTTGGTACGTCTGACGGAGAATCCTCCAAGTAGCTAGTAGCAGCTAACAGAAGTCAACAGCTCGGTCGTATCGCCGATTCCGTCAAGGTCGACCAGTCGCTCCATCAAATTATTTGCGGTCGTCACCGAAAAAACATCAAGCTTATGGAGTCGGCCACGAACACCGCCATCTACTTCCCTCCCCTCTTCTCGCAAGTCTACCGCTACTCGCCCCCCAACGCGAGCCGACGAGACCCCAATGACATCTTCATCACTGGCGATTCGCCAGAGGCAATTCGCGAAGCCAAGCAGAAAATCCATGAGATTGTAACTCGGATCCGGCTATACATCAAGGACGTCACTCTCCCTGCGGCAAAGATTGACAGCATCTTGCTCGACCGTACCGAAAAGGTCCGGAAGATCCTGGAGGCCAACGGCACGTACATCATGTTCCCAGCACTCGGAACTCAGCGTACAACGGTGCGTGTGCAGGGTAGCGAGGGCATCCCTGTGGAGCGAACTGTTCGTGAGCTCATGAACCTTGCCGGCCAGTTCTATGCTGCCGGCTGGTACATCCAGCAGGTGGACACTCGCCAGCTTCCCAACCCATCCCAGGTCAGAGACATGTTGGGCGAAATCTGCACCACCTCTGGTGCCGACTTGATGTTTGACAAGATGGCGTTCAACATCACCGGCTCTGATGACGCAGTCAAGGCGGCTCTGAGTGTGTTGGCTCAGATCAACTTTGTTGCGCAGTCTCAGTACCAAATTCGGGTGAAGATTGAGCTGGCCAACGAGCACAAGGAATTTGTGAGCGGCAAGAAGAACGGCAAGATCAACAAAATCATGGGTCAAAGTAAGTCGGTATGCAGACACCTGGCAATCGCGGACTAACATATTGTAGGCAATGTCCAAATCATCTTTGATGGTTTCAACGAGTACAACTTCAACATCGACGTAATGGCTGCCAGTTACGAGTCAATGCACCAGGGATTGAGTTTGGTGGAGCAGGAAATGCCAGCGTCCATCTCTTTCCACGTCCCCGATCAGTACCACAAACGCATCATTGGCATCGGAGGGCAGCACATTCAACGCATTATGAAGAAGCACTCCGTATTTGTCAAATTCTCGAACGCCATGGATCGGGGTGGCATGGGTCGCGAAGATGACGAAATCAAGGTCGACAACGTCATTTGCCGGACTCCCGCTCGCAACGCTCAAAACCTTGACGCCGTCAAGAACGAGATCCTTGAGATGGTTGATCGAACTGTAAGTTTCCTTGGCGAGTATAAAGAATGAGAAGAAAAGCTTCTGACACGAGACAGGACTCGGAGTACACCTCGCAGGTCGTCCACGTAGATCGACTCTACCACCGCCAGCTTATTGCCCGCCTCAAGGACATTGAGACTCTGGAGCAGAAGAACAACTGCAAGATCAACTTCCCAAGCACTGAACAAGCGAGCGATGAGGTCACAGTCACTGGCCCTCAGTGGCAAGTCCCTCATTGTGTTGACGAATTCCTGGGTATGGTACCCGATCACCACGAGCTCGTCGTTGCGAAGAGCGATGAGCTTGCCAAGTTCCTGGAAAGCCCGCAATTCACCGAAGAGCTCGTCAACAAGCTGCGGACTCAGCACGAGGTTGAACTCTCCACCAAGGAACAGCCTGAGCAGTTGACCGAGGATGGAAAGCCCACCGTCACGCTCCGATGGGGCTTCACTCGCAACAACGCTGGCGGACTTCGGGATGCAGTTGACTTCCTCACCGAGCAGATGACCAACCAAGGCGTGGAGCTCACGGTTGTGAAAGGGTCCCTTCCCCGCCCCAAGTCTGACTCGTTCGAAGATAGCCTGCAATACTTTGATTCCAAGCTGCTCCAGCACGCCCCAGCCGCTGCTTCAGATGCACAGGCCAAGCCTGCCTACGGTGACGAGGTCGCTCGCGAACGCAGCAGCATCCTGGACCGCCTGCGCAAGCCTGGTAGCATGACTGCCATCTCCTCGTTCCTGGATCGTCGCAAGAACAGCTCCCGCTCTCCCAACAGCAACTTCTTCAAGGGTTCGAGCAACGTCTCCAAGTCGTCCCTGATCTCCATCGAGTCTGCTCGCAGCTTCAACGCGGACAGGAACCCTTGGAACGATAGCGGCGTCAACCTTACCGACGATGACAACCCGTGGGCTCCCCGGCCCCTCAGCACCCATGTCGA